ATATTATAATATTTATTATAATATCTAATTATATTTAAAAAATAATATATTTTAAAACTTATAAATAAGTTCTTTTTATTATTACTATTTAAATATTTAGTTTTCTAGCTAATATATTATATACTCTATATTTTAAGATAAAAAAAGAGTATTTTATTCTTCTAAATAGAAAGTTATCTTAATATAATAAGTATATATAAAATAGTTATTATTATAATAAAGTATTAGTTATATCTAACTATATATATTCTCTTATATATTTTATTTATATTCTTCTAATTTCTATTCTAATAGAAAAATTAATAATATAATAGAAAAAACTAGTTAAAGAAGAATCTAATATAGATAAAAAGATTCTTTTTTATATTAATAAATAACTTAATTCTAAAGTAATTTATTTACTACTTTAGAATATATTTAGTATATTTATAAAGTATATAGATATATTAAAAGTAAGATATAATAGGAAATTTAGTATAATCTCTAAGAGCTTAATAAAAAAAAGTAATTATTTTTAAATTAAGTTTTTAATTTCCTTAAAACTTCTAAGTAATATATTTTAAAAAAAGTTTAATTCTTAGAAATTATTTTTAAAATAGATTTAAATTTATTAGATTTTAAAAAGAATTTTTCTAATTTAGTTTTTTTTTCTTTTCTAATAAAACTAATAAATTAAATATTAATACTTCTTTAAATATTTAATTAATTTCTATATATTATTATTATTAGTATACTTTTTCTATTTAATTAAATAGAATATTTATTTATTTTTAATTTTTTTTTTAAAAATCTTTTTTAATTTAAATTCTTCTTTATAGATTTTAATTAAATAATCTTAATTTAATATATTTTTTAATACTTTTTTAAGTAATAAAATATAAAAAACTAGATAAATATATATTATATCTAGTAGTAAAAGTTTATAATTAATATTTAATTTTTTCTTAAAAATCTTAAATAATCTAAGTTTTTTATAATTTAATTTATTATTTAGCTTTATTATTATAATATTTTTATAGAGTAAGTAGATCTTATTTTTCTCCTTTAAAATTAGCTCTTCTAATCTAATTTTATTATAGTATTTTTTTATTTTTCTTTAAATAAATTTAAGTTCTATTTTTATTTCTATATATAATAAATATAATATTTCTTTTATTAATATAGTAATTAATATATTAGATTTATTAAGTTTTAATTAATTTTAAAATTATAGTTTATAACTATAATTTATATATATAAATATTAACTAAATAGATTCTTATATTAAATTATTATAAGTAATTTATACTATTAGTAATAATTATATCTAATTATCTTATTTATAATTAATATATATTTATAGATATTATTTTAAAGTTTAATTTAATTATTTTATTTAATTATTATTCTATAGATAATAAACTATTAAAAGCTTATATTTAATATCTATTTATATTATAAATAATTATTAAAACTTAGAAATAAATATTATTTCTCTATTTAATATAATCTTATTAAGTAATTTATAATAACTAACTATATATTATAAAAACTAATATATAAGATCTTCTATAGAGCTTATTTTCTTATATAGAATAAAATATCTATATTTTATAAATTTATTAATAATTATTAGAATATTATTATATTTTATTCTAGTTATAAATTCTTTTAATAATAATAGTTTAATAATATAATTAAAAAATATTAATTATTATAATTATTCTAATATTAGAACTAGTTTTAATTCTTTATAGAGTTTATACTATATAAATTTAATTTATATATAAATATTATATTTTAAAACTATAGTTTATACTTTTTTTTATAAATCTAAATAATTATAATATTATCTAATTCTATTAAATATTTTTTTAACTTTTTAATATTTTAAAAGTAAATATTTATAGATTTCTTTAATAAGTATTATTCTAATATTTTATTATAGTTTTTCTAAGTTAGAAATAATCTTTATCTAGATCTTAGTATATATTATTTTCTTAAATATAGCTTCTAGAGTTTTTTATACTAAGTATTCTTTATTATTAATAGAGAATAATTATTTATTTATTTTTAAAATTATTTTTTTATATTTAAATTTCTAATTAAAAGTATTAATTTTTTTATTTTCTAATTCTTTTTAATATATAATTTTATAATTAAATTAAAATAGATATTTAGTATAATATATTTACTTTCTATTTAATTATTAAGTTATAATAAAATACTAAATATTCTTATAATCTATATATATTTTAATTTTATATATTATTTCTAAATAATAGTATTTAAATTCTTTAAATATATATATAATAGTTATAAATTTCTTATTATAAATAGAGTAATTAAGTTTTATATTATATAGTTTCTTTAAAAAGAATATTATAAAATATAATATTTTATTATTATCTTTTTAACTAATTTATATACTAATTATAAAATCTAATATATTACTTTTAAATTCTATTTTCTTTATAAAATTAAATATCTATAGTATAAGTTCTAAAAGTATTTAGTTTTTAATTTTCTTAAATATTTATTATTATTTATTATTCTATTAAAATTCTATTTTTTTTTTATAATATTATATAAGAATATAATAATTTTTCTATAGTTCTTAATAAATTATTAATAATAATTAGTAAATTTAAAAAAAACTTATATTTCTTTAATTATTTTTAATATTTTCTATTTTTTAATATAATAATTTTACTTTATTCTATTTATATTTTATTTAATTAAATAATATATTCTAAAAAATTAATTTTTTATATATAAAAATAGTTTTTCTTAGATTTTATAAGAAAATTAACTTTTTATAATTTTTCTAAGATTTAATATATATATTCCTTATATATTTCTAGATTATTAAAATAAATTAGAATATTATTAAGATAAATAATTATAAAGATATTAAAATACTTTTAAAATATTTAATTAATTATTTATTAAAATATTATAAATATATTTATTAGTTTAAAAAGTATAATAAAATACTTATAAAAATTAAACTTTATTCTAAATATTATTTTCTATTTATTTTCTTTTTTAATTTATATTAAATTATAAGTTTTCTTTAAATCTAGTATTATAAACTATTATTTATTATATAACTAATTCTTAAGCTTAGTAATTAATAATAAAAATATTCTATTTTTTTATATAATCTTATTTAGTTATTAATAATTAATAACTAAATAAAGTTTATTATTCTTTTTTAATATAAATATTATAAAATATTCTATAGATAAAGTTAATATATATATATAGTTTTTTATTAATATATTATTAATATATTTATAGAATATTTATAGTTATAGTTTTATAAAATTATAAAGTTTATAAAAATTAAATTTTTTTTTTTTAATAATAAAGATTTTATAATTCTATTAGCTATATTCTAATAGCTTTATTTTAAATTCTTCTATAAATAATATTTTCTTAAAATAATTATATTTCTATAGAATATTTTTAAGATATTTTTTCTATTTTAAATATTTAATTTATTTATATTTATATTAAATATTCTTTTTTTTTATTTTACTATACTTTTTATTTATTATTTATTTAGTTTTATTTCTAAACTTCTATATTAAATAGTTTTAAAAATAGTTTTTTTTATTTTTTTTTACTATTAATTATATTTAACTTTATATTTTTATTATTATTCTTTTATTAGTTATTTCTAATTAATAGATATTAAATCTATATCTAGAAACTATTTCTATTTCTATATTTAATCTAAGATTTATATTATTTATTTTAGTTCTTATTATAATAGATTTCTTATATTATTAGATTATAATACTATTAAAACTATAACTATTATATCTACTTATTATTATAAATTATTATAGTTTTTTATAATAATATTTTTAGATATTAAAAAGTAGATATATTTTTCTAATATCTAATAAAATTTTAATTTTTATTAATTCTAATTTTAATATATAAAAGTATTTTTTTACTTTATCTAGTTAATATACTAATTAATTAATAAGTTTATATCTTAAAATTATAATAATTTTAATATAACTTTATAGATTTCTAATAGTACTAGATTATAAATAATATTAAATTTTTTCTTTTAGATTTTAATTATAAAATAATTAGTTTTAAAATTAATAATTCTATTATTATATTTAAACTTTAAATCTTTAATATTTATAATTATATAGATTTCTTTCTTTTTCTTTTATAATAAGTAGAATTAGTTAATTATTATTAATAAGATATAATTCTTTTATACTCTATAATTAATAAATATTATAAACTAATTCCTTTTAATCTTTATTTCTATAAAAATATATATAAAGCTTTCTATTTCTATAGCTTTTAAAGTTCTTTAATCTATTATTAATATTATACTATATTATAGCTTTATTATAAATAATTTAGATTATTTTTTATCTAATTAATTTATTTTTAAAGTTTATTTATTAGTAATAATATATTTTATTTATTATATATTCTATCTTATTCTTATTTATTAATAGAAATAATTTCTAATTCTTTTTTTTTATTATTTTTCTTATTATTTATAAATAAAAATTATCTATATAAATATTAGTTTTATATTTCTTTCTTCTATAATTATTATTATTTAAAATATAACTTAATAGTATTTATATTATTATTACTATTCTATACTAATATTAATACTTTTTATTTAATTTCTTAATAATTTCTATAACTCTAGTTATAATATAATTTAATATAATTACTATAATTATATATAATTTAATTTTCTATCTATTAGTAGTTATACTATAGTTTAATCTTATTATTCTTATAAATCTTATATTTCTATTTTTAATATATTTCTATTAAAAGTTTTTTATTTATATATTCTTTAGAGTATTTCCTTAGATTCTCTTTAAAGATAGTATAAGATTTTATTTTATAATATTAATAAATAAATTATTATATTTAGATTATATTATACTTTCTAGATATTCTTCTATTAAAAAATAAAAAAAAGTTATTTAATACTTTTTCTTATTAATATATAGTATTAAGATTTACTCTATAAACTATAGAATAAATTAGATTACCCTATATTAGTTAATTAAATAATCTCAGATTAGTATAAAGTAAGAAAGAATAAAATAACTAATTTAGAGCTTTCTAAAGCTAGAAACTTACTAAAGCTACTAGCTTAATCTATTATAGCTATCTATTAGAATAATTATATTAGTAGTTATAACTACTATAATAGCTATTATAGTAATTATATTTAGTAATCTTATATTATACTATAATAATAGTATTAGTAATTTTTATATCTACTATAATAGTTATATTAGTAGTTTTTATATCTATTATAATATTTATATTAATAGATTTTATATCTACTATATAAAAAACCTTAGTATTTAGTTAATAAGCTTTATAACTATTATAATAGTTCTATTAGTAAACCTTATATCTACTATAATACTTATATTAGTAATCTTATAATTCTCTATATAAAAACCTTATAGTAATTATAAGCTTATATTATAGAAGATAATATATTATCTTTAGAGCTCTTAGAGCTCTAAAATACCTATAAGTATAGAGCTTTCTTCCTACTAGATAGAGATTCTTTAAGCTACTAATTTACTCTTTTATTTACTCTATAATCTATTTTCTTAACTACCCTATAGCTAATAAAGCTTTTATTTCTTATTTAGAGTTTATTTCTTTTATTATATCTTTTAAAATAATCTCTTTAGTATTCCTTAGTCTACCCTATAAGCTATACTTACTCTATATCTAGCTTACTCTATAGCTAGTTTATCCTATACTAAAGAACTTAATCTTTTAAAAGATTATAAGCTTAAAAAAAGCTCTATTTTATAAAAAATAGCTCTATTTTTAAATTTAAAAGTTATCTACCCTATACTAGAAAAGTTTTCTAATTTATCTTATATCTTAGTTTAGATCTTAATAGTTTCTTTTACTAAAGAAGACTTAAAATAGCTAATAAAGATAGCTATATAGAGAGATTAGTCTCTAAAGGTATTAAAACCTATCTTTCTTTAATAGTTAATCTAATAACTAGTACTACTATTATATCTAATCTACTAGTTATCTTTAGTACTACTAATACTATTCCTTTAGATCTTATAGTAAATAATACTATTATTACTTAAAGTCTTTAGAATTAGAATACTACTAAAGCTATTACTACTATATAATAAACCCTTTAGTAGCTAATAGCTACTATAAATCTACTATAGTTATAGTAAACCCCTAGTACTACTAGTACTAATTAATTAGCTTCTAGTACTACTAATATCTTATAATAGCTTATTTTATAGAGCTCTTAGAGCTCTAATCTTTTAATTAGAGTTTTTAAAAACTCTATTATTAAGGATTTTAATAAAAAAATCTATAAATTCTCTAAAGTTTTTAAATTATAAAAGCTTTATAACTTTAATTAGTAGAAATTAGCTCTAGAGATCTAATTTAGAGCTTTTAAATTACTATTATTTATAGTAAATCCTACTATAGCTTAATAACTATTAGATCTAAACTAGGCTATTTTATTTATACTACTAAAAAATAGCTATATAGAGAGTCTATAAACTACTATAACTTAATAGATCTTCTCTATAGAGATCTATAAGTTACTAATTAAATAGTTCTTTTATAGTATTAAAATTTAATATAGCTATCTATATATCTAATTTTATAAACTTTATTATAAGAACTTTAAAAGCTTATTAGAAATCTTTAATAGTATATTTAATAACTTTCTAACTAGACTATTACTAGTTAAAATTACTATAGCCTCTATAGATTAAGCTAATTAATATCTAGAGGCTCTAAAAAAGATTTTCCTATAGTATTATAAATAAAGACCTCTATAATAGATTATATAGTTATATATATCCTACTATCTAAGGGATAGAAATAATAGAAGTATTATACTCCTATTACAGAATATAGCTAGATTACTAGGAGTAATATACTCCTTATACTTTATAACTATTATATATATATATTTATTTTATTAGCTAGAATACCCCTTTAGATAGTTATTAATATAATTATTTATATATCTATTATTACTAGCTCTATAATACTTATATATTAATAGTAACTTATATTATATAGTCTAAGATAACCTAATTATACTATTTAGAATAACTCTCTAATTAGTTTAATCCTAATCTACTCTAGATCTTATTTAGTATAAGTTATCTAACTATTATATATTAATAACTCTTATTTAGCTAATTATTTTATCTTAATTACTATATAATATTAAAAAATAAAATAGTTCCTACTAAATTACTAAATAATACTTTATAAGCTCTAATAACTTAAGAAATTATATAGTAGCTTATAGTTTAAATTAAGTAATTTAAGAAGAAGAAAATAAAGAATAAAGGGGAAATAATATAATTAATACCCTTAGAACCCTTTTTAAATAATACTAATAAACTAGAAGAATTTAAAACTTAACTTTAAGTATATTTTAAATTCTTTCTAACTAAGCTAGTAATAGATAAAGATAAAGTTAGATTTATAGGAATATATTTTAATAGTACTATAGGATAATAGTTCTAGACCTATCTTAGGAACTAGTATAATAATAAAGCTATACTAAGCTTATAAGATCAGGAGATAGTTAATACTCTTACTAGCTATAAGAACTTCTAGATCTTACTTATTTTAGTATTTAGCTAAGTAAATAAGAAATAGTAAGCTATTAAAAACCTTAAGAACTTATATTAGATAGAACTAATATTAGAGTATACTACTAAGTTCAGAGAAATCTTAACTTAACTAGATTAGAATAATAATCCTTTTAAAGCTATATTCTATAATAGATTTAAAGAAGAAATTAAGAATTAACTTTTTAAAATAGATAAACCTAAAAACCTATCTGGATATATAATAAATACTATATAAATTAATAACTATCTATATAAAAAATAATAGTAGAAAGAAAATAAATATATAGATTAGAACTATATTAAGAATAAACCTAACTAGAGAGTATAATAAATCTTATTACTATTTATAGAATCTGGAATATATATAGATCCTATAGAGCTAGGAGCTATAGAGAAATATAAGTATTATAACTATAATAAGATTAGATATATTTTATTCTAATATCTAAAGTCTAAGAAATAGAGAAATTAGAAACCTACTAGAGAAAGTAAGAAATAGTTAGAAGTAATTAGAAAAACTAAGATTAAAATACTTAGAATAGTTAGAAGAATTACTTAGAAAGAAAATTATATAATTACTATAGTTCCTATATTTTCCAGAAAGCCTATACTAAGTTTCTATAAGATACTAAAAACTAGTAATAAAAAGAAAAAATAAATAATATTAGAAGAAAACTAATAATATATTATAAATATCTTCTAAAAGCTTAAATAGAAGTATAAAAACAGGAGGGATATTATAGATTATAGACTTTTTACTAAATATAAATATATATTCTACTATATTAACTAGTTTATTAAATAAACCCCTGAAGAATAAAACTAATATATATTTACTAGGGATAAGATTAAAGCTAAATATAATAAACTCTATATCTACTACTAGTAGAAGATATAGATATAAAACTTTAAAAAGATATATAGAATAGTATTATATAGAAGGAATACTATAGATACTATCTGATATCCTAATAATAGATATAAAAACCTAATATATATAAATACTAATAGAAAGTATAACTATAGATTAGAATTCTGAATAATATATTATAATATCTAGTATACTATATATTAGTAGGAAAAAGTATTAAATAACTTTTTTCTATTTTCTAATAGAAGAATATTTAGAAAGTATAGTATAATTAAAATATAATAGTTTATATACTAATACTATAGAATAGGACCTTATACTATTTTTAAGAAAAACCTAAGAGAATACTCTAAGAATTATATAAAGAGAGAACTTCTAGTAGAAATATACTAGGAGTAGAGATATAAGATCTATAAAGATAATAAGATCAGACTATAATATAACTACTAGTAGATAGAAGAATAAGCTATATATAATTATAGTAGTTATATTAAATAGTACTATAACTAGAGCTATAGAAACTATTAAGAAGTTAAATAAGAAGTATTAATATTAGTATAGAATAGTAATAATAATATAAATATTACTAAGCTATATTTTAAATAATAATAACTATAGGAAGAAAAAATATAGAAATAATATTTAAATAGTTAATCTTCTTCTATAGATAGTAATAAAAGTAGTAATAAGAAGGAATTAGGAATTATCTCTATTAATAAATAAGAATAGGATAGGATATATAATAAGCAGAATATACTATTACTAATAAATAAACTATAAGAATAAGTTAATTAGATAAAAAATAACCTATATTATTTATAATAGAGCTATAGTATAGAATAAAATTAATAATAGATTAGAGAACTCTAGAAGCTATAAAAATAGAAAGCTTTATATATATTTTTATAAAAATAAAAATTAAAGGGAATTAGCTTATAGTATTTATTAACTATAGAATATAGGAAAATTATATCTTATTAATAGTAATTAACTAACTCTAACTATTATAGAAAAAAAAGAAAGAAATCTATATAATTATAAATATTAAAAGCTTAAGATTTAAATATAATAATAAGATTATTAATTTAGAAACTAATTATCTTATAATTAAGATCTAAGGAAAGAAATTTAATATTATCTATAATCTAGTATTATTAGGAATTTATAAAGTTATACTAGAGTTACTATAGCTTTAAGATATAAACTTACTAATTAATTAGTATACTAGCTAGATAGAGTAAAAGAATACTCTTATATATTAATATTAGGATTAATAAAAATTAAAATTTTATTAAATATTAGAAAAATATATTTATTTTTTAATATCTAAAAGTACTATTATAAAAAACTATAATAACTTATAATAATAAGTAGATATAGTAGTATTAGCTTTAATAGTATTATAATCTGGAAATATAAGAAATCTATTATAATAAGAACTAAGATAAATAATATAAATCTTAGATTAGATATAGAAATAAGAACTACCCTTAGATATAGATTTAGTACTTATTAATTAGGAATAACTAATAAAGAAATAATAATAAGAATATAAAGTTAAATATAATTAGTAATAAAAAAAAATAGAAAAGCTATTTCTAAAACTATTTAGTATAGGAATTTAGAAATAAAGCTAAATAAGTAATAAATAAAAAGTATAATAAAATAAAGAAAAAAATATCTAGTATAAATATAAATAAATTAAGTATTTAAAATAAAAAGAATATCTTAAAAATATTCTATAGAAATATAAGTATTTTAAGAAAATATTATTTATAGAAGAACTTAAAATAGAGCTATTAGAATATAGCTAGTAGGATTATAAAATCTCTATTATTAAAGAAGGAGAACTAGATTTTTATAAATTATATAATCTTATAGAATTCTAGTTATAGATACTCTATAAATATATTAATAATATATTAGTAAAAAACTATATATAACTATTAACTTTATCTATAGAATACCCTATAATATTTATACTAAAGAAAAATAGTAAACTCTATTTAGTTATTAATTATTAATAGCTAAATAAGATTATATAAAAAAATAAAATACTCTTATTACTAATTACTAAATTTAGGGATTAGTTATAGAGTAAATAGTAGTTTATAGTACTAGATCTAAAGGAAGCTTATAACTTAATATAAATTAAGAAAAAAGATAAATAGAAAATAGTATTTAGAATAAAGTTTAGTTTTTATAAATATCTTATTATATCCTTCAGACTAATAAATATACTTATAATATTCTAATAAATAATTAATTAAGTACTCTAAGAGTATTTTAATATCTTTATAGTTATTTATCTTAATAATATTTTAATTTTCTCTAATAATCTAGAGATATATAAGGAATATATATACTAAATCTTAGAAAAACTAAAGAAAGTAAACCTTCTTATAATATAAAAGAAAAATCTTTTTATCTATATTAGATTTTTCTTTAGCTAGTTTTTTCTACTATATTATTAATTTTTCTATTAGAATAGGAATTAGAAGGGTATAAATAAAGTATATAAAGAAATATATATAGTTAGATATAACTAGTACTTTATTATAATAATAACTATTTTATATATACTTATTATATTAGAATAACTTTCTATTTAGAAGAATAAAATACTCTTTTTTTATTTTAAAATATAGAGTATATAGTATATTAGCTAAGAGACTAAATATTTAAATAATAGTAGTAAGAAGGACTTACTTATAAGTCTTAGGATATACTAGCTTTTAAATATAATTAGATATAATAAATATTATAATATAACTATTATATATAGAAAGAGAAAGAACTTACTAAGATTATATAGAATCTTAAGGATAAGACTAATAGAGAGAGGGTATTATATTATAAATAAAGACTTCTATAATAGATTATATAGTTATATATACCCTACTATCTAAGGGATAGAAGTAATAGGAGTATTATACTCCTATTATAAAATATAGTTAGATTATTAGGAATAGTATACTCCTTATACTCTATAACTATTATATATATATATTTATTTTATTAATTAGAATATCTCTTTAGATAGTTATTAATATAATTATCTATATATCTATTATTACTAGCTCTATAATACTTATATATTAATAGTAACTTATATTATATAGCCTAAGATAATCTGATTATACTACTTAGAATAACTCTCTAATTAGTTTAATCCTAATCTACCCTAGACCCTATTCAGTATAAGTTATCTAACTATTATATTAGTATATTTATTCTCTTTCTATTATTATTTTTTATCTAGATAGTTATTAATTTATATAGTATTTACTATTTATTTAAATAAATTTTTAGATTTATTTATTTTAAAAAGTTAATTCTTAATTTCTTTCTTAATTTTATTATAGAATATAATCTTAAAAGAGCTATTATTCTAATTTAATTAGATTAAGATTTTTCTAAACTTAATAGTATATTCTAATACTAATTCTATTTAATATAAATTCTTAAGATCTTTAATAGCTTATTATTTCTTATCTATTTAACTAAATACTAAAATAAATATAATCTAAAAGTTCTTATAATTAATAAGAATATTAATAATTTCTTATTTCTATAAACTTAATATAATTTTATTATTATACTAATTTCTAAGATAAATCTAGAATTATTATTTTATAATACTATTAAAATATATTTCTATAAATCTAATTTTATCTTTATTTATTATAAGCTTAATTAGAAAGAATTTAAAATATATTTAAAATTAGATTTTAAATTCTTCTAATTTATTAATATTATCTAAAAAGAATTCTAAAGGGATTAGTTATATTATTTTCTTTTTATTCTTTATCTTTTTTTTTAAAAATTATTTAATTTAAACTATAAACTATTATATAATCTTCTAAATTATTAGAGCTTATAGAGTATTATTTAGTAGTTTAATAAAAACTATTTTATCTTTTTAATATTATATAGTAATTAAAATAAAATAATTAGCTAAATAAAAATTATTAATATATAATAATTAGATAATTTATATTAAATAGAGTTTAAAATAAATTAAAATTAAACTAATTAGAATATTATTTTAAATAATATAATTAGATTATTTTAAGCTATATAATATAAATTATTATTAATATATAAGTATTATAGAGCTAGTAATAATAAATATATAGATAATATTATTAATAACTATCTAAAGAAGTATTCTATCTAATAGAATAAATATATATATATAATAATTATAGAGTATAAGAAGTATATTACTTCTAGTAATCTATTTTTATTCTATAATAGAAATATAATATTTCTATTACTTCTATTTTTTAGATAGTAGGATATATATAATAATATAATCTATTATAGAGATCTTTATTTATAATAAATATTTAACTTATAGTTATTTACTATTAAAGATATTAAACTCTAACTAGATAAAATAATATTTCTTTAATAAGCTTTTTAAGTTTATTATATTATTATAGTTCTTAAGAAATAAGATTATATTATAGCTATTAAATTATTAATTAATTTCCTTTTAAATATCTAATTTATATAATAAATCCTTCTATTTTTCTAAATTAAACTAGTTTAAAGATAATTAGCTTTTATTAAGATTAGATTTCTTAGTAATTTTTTAAAACTAATAAGAAATCTAAATCTTAATTAAAATCTTTAATTAATATATTAATTAGTAGTTAGAATTAAATATATATCTATAGTTATTATATTCTTTCTATTTTATAGCTCTTACTTATAAAGTTCTTATATATAAATTCTCTATTAGAAGAGGGTTTTTACAATAATTAGAAGATATTATATCTATTCTTTTTTTATTTAATTATTTTAATCTATAAATTAAAATTAATTTAAATTACTTAGAGTATAATTATATATTTCCCTATTAAAATCTCTATTTATATTAGAGAAAAAATAAATAATACTATAGCTATTAATAAGCTTAAAATATAAACTACTAATTATATTAAAATCTAATAATCTTCTATAATAACTATAAAAAGAAAATTTTAAGTTATATATATATTCTTATTTAATTAAATAGTTTATATTTATAGCTAGTTAATTAATCTATTATAGTTACTATAATATTATAAAAGATATATCTTTTATAAGAAGGGATTTTTAAAAGTAAAAATAAGAAGGGGTAAAAAGATTATCTTTTTCTATAGATACTGAAAAATAGCTAATTTATCTAACCCGGCTAATTTGATAAGTGGGCCCCGACTCACTATTCAGTAACTCTGGGAGTACTGGGTCAGTCAGACTTTCAAGCATCACACCGCCCAGTAGTTCTAACAAGAAAAAAAAGCCTCAAGAATTGAAATGTCAAGTAGTTACGCGGTTGTCGTGCGGCACAACCTCGCGGGCAGCTAATTGGAGAGAAACATCATGAGGCAGGAGTAATCAAGATGAACTGTGGAGTAATGAATATAAGACAGCGCGTCATCCTCTTTCTCACGCTGGACTAAGATCAATAACGTGTGCCTAAGTGATGTTGTTGATATCATTTCCGGAATGCTACGCGACTGAGACACGTCGCGGTTATCAATAGATCTCAACTACCCTAAAGCTTCGTTTCTAAACCGAGCTCGGTAGTAATAATCGGGTGAGAACTTAGTAAACTATTCAAGCAAAAATAAATCCGCGTTTATAGGTTTATGAACATTATCTATTTGTTTCAAAATGTATCCTATTCTTATTGTTGTTCTTCATAAAGTAGTTGTTATGTTGATTCTTCTCCGTACTTTCACTTACATTCCAGTTTATAAACTACCTGATGTCCCTATTTTAACCTTCGACCATGATGCGGCGGATATTTGGTTGAGATAGTTTTCCACAAATTGAACACCAACTAGAGGAGTAGAATGGCCGCTGCGCCGGTTTCCATCGAGAACATTTGGTCCTAGGGGAAGAGTGCCAAACATGGCGGCGACTGCTGCTTCATCGCAGCCGTCAAGCACAGTTGCAATACGAGCGAGCGAGCTGGTTGGATGAGCCGAGGCATGACTAAGCGCCTTATCACGCCAGTCCAAAAATGGCATCGTCCCTTTCGCGGCCCCGGCAGCAATCAGCATCCCAAACAATTCACCAAATGATGGAGCGTCCTCGTGTTTGAAGTCGAAATCTTGCCCAATCCGCGACACATCCCGCGTTACGACATCGACCATGCTTCTGCAAAGGTAGTCCACTGGAAGCACAGTCGACAAGTCTGCATCCACGACAGGAAAGCTGCCCATCTGAATGCTCCCAGCAATCAGATTGTGCAAGAAGTCGCCACGATCGAGACAGAAATGCCCAGTCGACGACGCGAAGACGAACGGCATTCGATACACCGACGCCCTGGCCCCTCGCCAGCGAGCGGCTGACACCATGCGCTCCGCCATCATCTTCGATGTCGCGTAGGAATGCTCATATTGGTCTTCGGAAACGTCCCATCCCAGGTGCATCGGTAGTGTGGCGATGGTGGACACGAGATGGACTGCCTTGCCACGGCCCCGCGAGGCTAATCGCAATACCTCGTGCGTGCTGATCATGTTCGGGCCGACGTAGTCATCCAGCGGTCGCATCCAATCTACGAGGCCAGCAGAGTGACATATAGCATCGACCGTTTCACTTAGCTCTTCGAATAGCTGCTCGTCGAGGCCAAGCAGAGGTTGGGTGATATCCCCTACAACGATGTGAAGGATCGGCATGAATCGAGCGTCCCATAATCCATACCAGGTCAGCGTGTCGACCATTCGTTGCCTCGCGTGATGGTCGTTATTTGCACGTACTACACAATACACCGTGATGCCCTGCTTCAGTAACTCATGAACGATAAATGCACCAACAAACCCCGTGCAGCCAGTCACAAGAACGGACTTGGGATGCGCGACACATTGAGTGGCATTTTCGAATTTTAGACTGGCGTCCAGGCAGCCTTTTCGGATCGAGGCTAGGTTGATGGAGGGAGAATCTGTTGACAATGGCGGATTGGTGACGGGGTCTAAATTACTTGACTGGGACAAAAGGGACGTAGGGGCAACATCATCTGCGTCCCAAGCACTCTGCAGTTTGCTTGTCAAGTGATCACTAAGCGCCTTCACATTCGGATGATGGTATGTGAAATTTGCGGACAGCTTCAAGCCGGTGAGCACGCTGAGGTGGTTTCGAACAAGCACCGCCGTAAGCGAGTCGATCCCGACATCTTGTAGACGTTTGTGGACGTCCACCTCATCTGGGTGCGCGAATGCTAACGCGCTGGCCATGGTTTCTTGAACCATGCGGAGTACAATGCCGGGCCTTTGCTTTGCAGGCGCGGCAGTCCATGCCCTGCGCAGATTCTGTCCAGGCCGGCTGCTTCTTTGACCTAAGAGCGAACGAAACAGGGCCGGAACTCCTCCCCGATCGTCAAAGTGACTCTGTAGCCTTTTGAGATCAAGCGAGGTAGCCACTGTGAGAGCTCGGCCGCTCGAGGCTGCCTGATGGAAAAGTCGCAGCCCTTCCTCATGGGTCAACGGACTGCGGCCAAACTGTGAAGTATGCGCGCGAATCGTCCCACTATGACCAGCTGCCATTCCATCTCCCTGCCAGGTTCCGAAAGCTATTGATGTTGCCGGTAGGCCTGTGGCGGTTCGCAGATGAGCCAGCGCGTCCAGAAAGGCATTGGCCGCAGCGTATAGGCCGATCCCGGGCAACCCTATGACACCGGAGATGGAGGAGAACAGGACAAAAATGTCCAGGTCCATGTCCTTGGTCAGTGTGTGCATGTTCCAGGCGCCGCTCACCTTGGGTGCAAACACTTCGGAGCAACGCTCTGGCCTCAACGTGGAGAGGATGCCGGTGTCTGCCACCCCTGCCGTGTGGACAACACCGCGAAGGGGTCGACTGGGGTTGAATAGCTCCATGATGCGCTGCATGCTTTCAAGGTCATCCACGCTTCCAGTGATGACAGTGGTATTGGCACCAAGAGAAGCAAGCTGGGCCACCACCGACTTGGCATTCGGCGCAGACATACCCCGGCGAGACACCAGGACCAGGTCCCGGACCCCATGGCGGCTGGCAAGAAAACGGGCAACATGTGCTCCGAGATCTCCCAGGCCACCGGTAATGAGAACCGCACCGTCTTGACGGATCAGAGGTTCTGCTTTCAACGATCCTGGGTCCTCGGCATGCGCTATGCGGGGCACGAGAATCTGATCTCTGCGAATCGCGCATTCGGGCTCGTCGTTGAGAGCTAGAATCGAGCTGATTATGTTCGGTGCTGTCCCTCCAGTCTCTGTCTCCGCTTCTAGGTCGACTAGGCGCAGGCGCATTTCTGACTGCTCACCCCTGACTGACCGCATCAGACCCCATAAGGGGGCAGCTCCAATCCCTTGGAGCAGCTCCGAGGCGACGACGCCAGTGCCAATGGCTTGCCGTGTGACCCATACTACCGGTTTTGAGAATTGGACCGAGGACACTTTCTGGAGCTGCGTGAGAGCCTTCACCGTGAGTTGGCCTGCCTGGCTTGGAGTATGGCTGGCGGTGTCTGACTCCCAGGGACATATCAATCCATCTAAGCCTGCAACTTCCTCCAGGTCATTGACCAGGACAAGCCTCAAGCCTTCAACGGTCGACAAAGCGTTTCTCACGTAGTCTGTTAATGACTCCGTACCTGCGCTGGCTACTGCCGAGTCCCACAAACCCCATATTCCCCGTGTTGGGCCTACGTTGTCGACGTCAATTGGATTCCACTTGATTTCCAGTGGGAAAGAGCCTGTTAATGGGACTTTGGCGCCTTTAGACGAAGTCGTCGCGTGTCCATTGATGTCTGACTTTATCGCTGCCCCGTTCGGCCCTATGACCTCTCGCTGGAAGGCGTATGTTGGCAGGAGCACTCGCTTGCAACCGAATGGCTCAAAATATGCCTTCCAGTTGATGCCAACGTGGCGGGCATGCAGGTCAGTGAGGCTTTTTTGAATCACCATCACGTCACCTTTCTTGGGAACGAGTGACGGTAGCCATGCAGCCTCACATCAGGTATCCCCACGCATAGTTTCGCTGGAGAGGCACGCCGCTCCCATGCCACACAAGGTGGGAGAAGGACCCAGCTCGATGAAGGTGTTTGCACCGTGGTCAGACAATTCTCTAATTCCATCACTGAAGCAGACTGCTTCCCGGACCTGTCGTACCCAATACGCCGCTTGCTCGAGGTGGCCGGGCTCCGCCAACTTGCCCGTCAGCGTACTGACCACGGCCACTTTCGGAGGACGAAAATGCAGCGCCTCAGCAACTACCTGCGAGTCTGCAAGCATGCCATCCATGTGGTGGGAGTGGAACGCATGAGAGGCCTCAAGCACCTTGGAACCATGGCCTTGCCTCGACGCATAACCGCATAAAGCCTCGACTGCGTCCATGTCCCCAGAAACGACGGTCTCTTCCGGGCTGTTGTAGGCCGCAATGCTCACTCTGTGTCCAATATCTGGCTCCACGATTGCCTCCCCAGTCTCTGAAGGGCCAACCTTCAAAGCCGCCATCCTACCTGTGCGATTTACAGCTTGCATGAGCCGACTGCGTGCCGTCACCAGTCGACAAGCATCAGGAAGATCCATGATGCCAGCAACATGTGCCGCAGCCAGCTCGCCTGCGCTGTGACCTAACACAAACTGTGGCTGCACACCCCAGCTGTTCCACAATCGCCATAGCGCAACCTGGATCGAAAACAAGGCTGGCTGGGCATAGTCGGTGCGCCGCAGTAATGCAGCACTCTCGCTGTCTGGGTCGGCCCATATTACATCCTGGAGTCGACCTTCGAAGTGTCCTGCGACCTCGTCTACGGCTGCTCTGAAGACAGGATGATAATAAGCAAGCTCTTTCCCCATTTGCAGAAGACGACCGCCCTGGCCAGTGAAGAGCATGGCGATGCAAGGAGTAACGGCCTCATAGCTAAAGCTAGCCGGTGCTTCTTGGGCCGCCAGTTCGAGCGACAACTTCTCGTCAAGCTGTGCCAAGCTCCCCACCATGAACGCCAGCCTTAGGCTATGGTGGTTGCGACTGGTTGCTAACGAGAATGCAACATCAGCGAGGCGCAGAGCTCTCGCATTTCTGCTTCTAAGATACGAGCGAAGTCTCCGAGCTTGTTGGCGTAGGGCAGCCTTGCTGTGGCCGGATATTAACACGGGAAGCGAGCTTGGCAACGCAGCTGAGATAGGTTCCTGCGGCATGTTTACGCCGGCTGACCTTGGTGCTTCTTCCACAATGATGTGAGAATTAGTACCACTCACACCGAAGGCGCTGACACCGGCTCGCCGTGGCCGGATTTTTGTTGACCCCCATGGCTGCTGGGTTTGTACCACAGCCATGCCGGCGCTCTCCCAATCTACTGTGGCGGTCGGCTGGTCAACATGAAGACTCTGGGGCAAAATTTCATGTTGCATAGCCAATATGACCTTCAGCAATCCCACCATACCAGCAGCCGCTTGAGTGTGGCCGACATTGGACTTGGCCGACCCCACCCATAAAGGAGTGTCCTGTGCGCGACTGCCACCAAAACCCTCCGCCAGGGCTGTGGCCTCGATAGAGTCACCTAGTCTGGTGCCCGTGCCATGAGCCTCGATGTAGTCGATGCCATTTGGCCGTAATCCTGATGAGGCAAGAGCCGCGATAAGACGCCTCTGTGCTGAACCACTTGGAGCGGTAAGGTTGGAGCTGTGTCCATCGTGATTGACGGCATTTCCACGCAAGGTAGCGAGTATCTCATCGCCGTCACGCTCAGCGTCGGAGAGGCGCTTGAGAATCACGGCAGCGCAGCCTTCTCCCCAGCCAGTCCCTTCTGTATCGGATGCGAAAGCCCTGCATCGGCCATCACGCGACATGGCACCAAGACGGCTGAACTCGACATGTAGTGCTAGCGTCAGCAGCAGGTTGACGCCTCCGGCGATGGCCATGTCGCAGTCACCTTGTTGCAGAGCATTGATTGCCAGGTGTGTTGCGACGAGAGAAGACGAGCATGCTGTGTCTATAGTTAACGAAGGCCCTTCGAGACCCAGCGTGTGCGATATGCAACCCGATGCGATGCTGCCAATGCCTCCCGTGCCGCCATGATGGAGCGATTCACCTGCTCCGTTTCCTGGCGTGAGTGAAGAGGGCCAAGGAATGTTGGCAGTGGTTATTGGCTCTTGCACGTCCGCCCATGATATTGCCCACGACTTTGTTGAGAAGGGCTATGAGGTCACAAACGCACAGAAGTCCAATACGACGGTTGTGTCAACTGATGCCCTCATGGATTCGATGCAAGGACTTTTTGCAGAAGACGGTCCACCAACAGAGGATGCCGATCTTGTGATGAATGGGATGCTGATGTCTTTACTTAAAACCATGCAGGTCCAAGCCAGCAAGAAGACGTGCAACTATGATAGGGATCTGCTTGAAGGCCTTACTAAGGCGGGCTATAAGCTTGACGATGGACCGCGTGAGTCCGGTATGATGTTTAAATTCTTTCAACGGGCCGGCGGCTATTACATTGATTCCGGGACATCACAGCTTATTGTAGATGGAAGGATTAAGATGGCAAAATCGCACCAGATTGCAGAAATCCTCCCCCACGGTGTCAAGTTCGTCGATGGATCAGAAACCAAAGCAGACGAGATCGTGTTTGCTACGGGATATCAGAGTATGAGGACACAGACGCGTCAGATTTTTGGTGATGAGATTGCCGACCGGGTGCCCGATGTCTTCGGTTTCAACGAAGAGGGTGAGTTTCGCGGGCTTTGGCAGAGGACAGGGCATCCGGGATTCTGGTTCCATGGGGGTAGCTTGGCTCTGTGCCGCTACTACTCACTGTTGTTGGCACTGCAAATAAAAGGATTGGAGGAGAATCTCTATAGCTACAACAAGATTTGACAGGTTCTGAAAAGGTGGCTAGTAATGAGAATTCGATAACAACTAAATCTAAGCCCCATCTGTTTCTTTTTGGCATGGCTCGATGCGTCTGTAATCCTTATGATCAACAACTTTGTCGCAGTTGACACGGTTGTTCGTCGCCAGTCTCTTGAACAGAACTGTTTTCGTTACTCTATTATCGATGGAGCCGTAAGTCTAATTGAGAAAAAGCTTCATCGCTTCAAACTCTTCTGATTGAAGCATCTCGCCTCGCATAACACCTCTGACGTAAGAGTCCCCTATATAACACCAGTCCTCCTCATCAGGACGAATGATATAAGGCGTTGTGCCGCCTCTGACGATGCATATGACATCCGCAACCTCGGCGTGCAAAGGAACAAGCCCAATGCGACCATTCTCTGTGATGCAAAATCTTCGGTGTGCGATGACCTCGTGCACGTACTCCCGGTCGGGCAGGAGTTTCACCTCTGGGCAGTCCAGAAATGGCTCGGGATCAAATACATTCTGGAAGGCTTGCTCAATCGGATCCCTCAGATTGTCAGTCTGTCCTTCCCTGAACATCTGCCAACAGTGATTCGACAGCTCAAAATATTGAGATCGGGATTCATCAGCAATGCTGAGCGAGAAGCGAGTGTACTTGAAGACCATGGCGACGGCGATGCACTGTAGCCACAACGGGACGTTCTTTACACAGTCTTCACAATCTGTGACAAAATTCAGGGCGTTGTGAAGGATAGCATCTCGGATCGTGAACGGTGCAGGTCCCTCATGTTTTCCATTCTGACAGTATGCTTTATTGGCAATTAAGGCGTCGAGAGTTTGCATGATGAGGCCGTCACGAGGCTCACCAAGGGTCCAAGGCTCTGAAATGTATGCCACAGAGTCTATAATGGCGGCATTTACGCATAAAGATTTTTTGTCTCTATCGACATATACCTGAGCCTCCCCGTCCAACCCACCTGCATGATACAAGTATTGTCCAAATAGCTCATTGAAGCGTTTTGACTGTACGCCGGACCTAGATGATGTCCAATCGGGAACCCAGGATGGGAGATCCGCAAGCCTGGTATTCCCAAGACGGTTCAAAGCCGCTGAATGTAGTACATCGCACCATTGACCGCTTTCGATGAAGAAGCAGGCGTATTCGTAGTAGACATCGGAGACACTCTTTGAGTAGTCAGGCTGAGGAGGGTCAGCATTCTTTTGACCCTTGATTTCCGCCGTCTCTCCGTCATGCGTATAAGTAATATCCGTTGCCAGTCCTAGCAGGGCATATATCTTGTCACGCGGGTCGGTCGATTCTCGATTGCGGAAACTCTCTAGTAAGTCAAGCAAAGGGTACGGAAAGGGCTTGAAGTTGGCGTCAAAGTATTCCTGAATCTTCTTGAACTGCTCTTGCTTCTCTGGCTGGTTCCCAAACTGCCTCTCCAACCAGAATCGCCGGCCGTTGGCCATGTGCGCCGGCTTGAAATTTCGGGCGATGAGTTTCGTTTGGCGAATCTGGCCAAGTGAGGTAATGAAGGGATCATCATGCATGCTGGCCGTCCCGGTGGTGAGGTTGAGCCTGTCCCGCAGCAGCTTGAATTCTATGGTTGTGTCGCCAAACATGATGATCGATAGTGCACTGGCGGCCACTTCTTGAATAACCCACGTTCGTGAGAACCAAGGTTGATTCATGAAAGTCTGCACCGCGATGCCCGCAAGTCTATTCTCCTCGTCTGTACCGAGCTGATTCGAGGTTATCTGCTTCGCGAACAGGTCAACCCGCACGTCGTCCTCATATTCACCGACATAGATATAAGTCATATGTGAGTTTTTGTATATGTCGCGCATCATAGTAACTTGCGCTGCCTTCTCGGTCATGTCAGCCTGGTTGATGCAGATTGCGTCCGTCCAAATCACTCCATTCGTCCTCTGAGCCCTGAAGCGACGCAATGCTAGGTCCAAATTGGCCGTGATGGGCACTAGGCAGTGCCCGATCTTGATGAGCTTGGTCTTCTCATTGGAGCCCCAGACGTAGCTCAGCGTGTTGTACTCGAGTGGCTCGTCCACCGGCATGACGGTAACTAAGCCATCTAGCGGATCGTCGAAGCAACTTGACGACCGGATACGTAGGACTCTAATCTGGCGTTTCTCTATCTTGGTCCTCTCATAGAAATATCTTATGTTCCATTCCAAGTAGAAATGAGCCTCGTGGATCTCATGACTCGGATCACACCTGGCACCAGCCTCATGACATTCTTTACATATCATGTATCCTCCGTCGTGGTCAACATGTCTGCAAATAAATACCCCGAATTTAGCTGAGAAATCCTTGGAACATTTGGCGCAAGACCAAAGTGGCATCGACTCAGCTCTGTCAATCTCATCCTCGGCCACTCCGGGAATGACTGGGCGGTTGTAAGTGTCAATCCCACTCTCGCCCTCTGCCAGGGGAGCGGTAAATCTATAGACCGACATAATTGATTTGATTCTTTTGTATGCAGCGTAATGGAAGGGTAACCGAAAGACGACCGTTTCGTGGATTCCAGAATGCCACGTTGTGTTGCGCTAAAGGTTTCATTGTTGTCGCTTATATCATTGGTTCTGGGTTATTACATAATATTCAGTCAAAGTTGGGGGCTACTTAATATAAGCATAGCGAAGTTTTGCTTATAGTAGTAAAGCCACTGATGCCGTTAAGCGAATGGTCCTGAGATGAGTGATAAGATAAAGTCATCGATACGCCTTCTAACCACAGACGAGGTTTAGTAGCTGGAAATTATCTCTCATATGCAAAACATCATACGGACAAGGTTTAGAATGGGCATGCTTTTTCTATCGCGCAGATGAAAAACCCCGAGTTTTTGACTTGGAAACCAAAATTAAGCTCATTTGCAGATAAAGCAAGATGAATTGTTGAATAAGGACTAGTCCAACGGCAGAGAAAGTTCTTCACAAGTACTGTGAACAAGACTATAATCAAAACTAAACAAAGCCTAGCCGCGCTGTGAATACTCATGATGGACGGATTGATGGTTCCTATGCAGAGGGAAGAGGCCATTTGCCTGTTTCCACCATGGCTCTCCTTGCTTTCGCCCAATCTTCGACATCAAAGCGCCAATCCCAGACCTCCTTCTCATCCTCAACAATAGACCAATCGGACTTCTTGAACACAGAAAGACCGACCTTTTCCATCAAATTCACCCAGGGTTCATTGGTAAGACCCGTCTCGACGCGAAACAGCCTACAGTCAAGCTCTCGGTGAGCAAACTCGACTAAACCGCAGAAAGCTTCGACGCCATAGCCTTTTCTCCAGTGCTTATGGTCAATAGTGATACCTATGTCAGTCTGCAACATCGGCTCAGAACTTGCCTCCGGCTTCTTCAGAAACTCGGCGGGTTTCTCAGATTTGAATGCATTGTACCCGCAGAGCCCAATCACCTCACCGGTTTCACGTAGCTCTATAACAAAGAAGGCGGCAGCCCCAGCCGAAGAATAATTGGGCATGTTTTTGATGAATTCAGTTATGGTTTCGCGTGTTAGTTCGGTCTCCGCCTTCTCATAAGGATAGTTCTTTTGGTTTGTAGAGAGGGTGTAATATACGTCCTCATCCACAGAAGTGGGAGTCCGGATGAGGAGTCGCGGAGTACGGCACTCGTAGGACCTGCGAGCAAAAAGCTGGGGAGGAGACACCATATTGAGAACCAGGAGGGGCGAATCGAGGTTTAAGGTCTGAGGGGAAATAACAAGGCAGCTTTGGAGTCTATCTATGATTATTGCGCAACAACAGCTTGCTTGCCTTTTTTATGTTACGATCTGTTTCTGTGACTCAGTTGGCTGATAGTTCTAGTAAGACTTGAAGATGCAGTAGCAACGAGTTGGTGATCATCCTAGAACCATTAAATTCTGTTTCGTGACATAATACTGAATCACATAAAGCCTATCCTGTGGTTACACCTAGTTTATGTTGTGCCACTACGTCAAATTACACAAAGCACATCCTCTCTTCAGGACTAATTTCACTGTATGCTGAAGACAGAAAATTACAAAACCAAAGTTTTATCCTAAATTACCTGTGTAAATAAATAGTCAGCATGCGTCGGTCAATTCAGTTACCTTCTACTAACCTGTCATAAATCTGCCATAGAGTTGAGAGTAACAGACCTGCCTTGTTTGGTTTGCTTGTCCTCGACTTCTTTATTTATTCCCTAAGGCTGTGCTGAACAAAGCTTCTCAAGCCTTTACCCTGAGAACAGTTCATTGAACGAATTAAATAATCAAATAATTAAATAAAAGAGCTTTGTACTCTTCATCCTGCTCAGAACTCTTTATGCTGTAACTATCCTGTTGTTAGCATTTTATTGCGAACATAGGCGGTCTAATTTGTTCTATGATTGCCTTTGGAAACTCATTTCATTTCTATCTCAATTGTTACCGCTTCCATCTCGTCAGCAGTAGTCTTTTTTAGGGTAGAAATTCATGGCTTGAATCAGGGCGCTGGTAACAAAAATCCTATATAATTACTTGGAGCGACCTAGCTAGAAACTTCTATTATACAAAATCACCCTTTCCAAGATGGCGACCTGGGCGGTGAAGGAGAGCTATAGAAACAACATCCCCTCTTAGCATGGCTACTCAGATGTCTAAATGCACAGAAAGGGAAACAGCTAAGTCTTTGATTCGTAATTGGACTTGTAATTTCTACATCCTCAAGTTAAGACTTAATTGAATATTCCTGTGCTTCCTTGTTCTTAAGTTGTTTTTGCGTTTATGATGCATCGTGCTAGAACAATGGCTAGGAATACTTGAAGAATCAAAGGAGCAGCAGCCGTGTGATTTTCTTCCACTATAGTAGGTTGGTCGACAGTCTTGAACCAAAAGTTCAACGACAATACACGTTGCATCCCACTATGTCTGCGGCAGGCACGTGGACATGGCGAGTAAACATTATAGAGCTCCATGCTTCAAAAGGCTCAGTACAAACCGAGACAATCCGTATTATCTAGACCTCGGGGATAGTGAACTAATGGACTATCTGATGAAGGCTTTCAGATCGCTCTCACCCTCCCTTAGCATACGGGCGTGCGATCGCGCATCCGCTCTCAGAGCATGTACAGTTAGGGCTGAATCTAGAAGGCGCTTGTGAAAGAGGGAGGATAGTTGGATGGCCTTATCCATCTGCTCACCTGCCAATCAACAGTTCGGCTAGCGGGAGTCCTGACAGTACAAGCCTGTGCGCTGGTCGCCTATACATAGCAATTTCTCCCACCCTACATAGTACGTTGAAATAGTCCGAATTGCGAGTGGGCAAATTGCGGTCGGTGAGCCAAAACAACGCTGTGAGGTCAGTCTAGGGTGTGAATGGAGAGACCTCACCTCGCTTGCAGGCCCCCTCCTAATTAATACTATCTCTTTGAAGCAGCTAAAGCAGCAGTATGTAACTTGTAGGGGTTTAATTGGTGTATTGCCATGAGAAACTCGTCGGATAAGAGATACTTATTTATTAGAGATCGCGTCACTATAACGAAGTACCGCTGATCTGTAGCCTACTTTTCTGAACCTCGCTACCAATTATAATTCCATCTGGACTTCGATCCTAGAAAGGCTGAATAAGTACTTGATGGTACTCACTGTACTCTGTAAAATAGCGGGGAAATACATTGCTGCTGCTCTAGCTGCTTCAAAGAGATGTAAAGTAATAGGCTAGGATAAATAATATTGGTTGATCGTTCTGCGCTGCATACCAAGTGAAGCGTAGCTAAACAAGATGACGACGCGAAAGAAGCACGGTTTGATTCATGTCCACCGATAGGGGGAGAGTTCACCTTCGCAACGGTGGGTGACGAGATTGTAGCCCCTGGGAGCCCATGATTCCCGGTAGATTTCGAAGGAATGCGAGCGTAGATTATGCGAATACGTAGGTATCATGCCTCAAGCGGATTTGACCGCACACTCAGAGCTTGGCTGCGTTGATTGCCCTCGGTGTAGCCAAAACCGTCGAAGACCGGACTGACGACATCAATTGAAGCAATGATACTCCTAATGGTCGCGCGGAGGAGGGGAGGATTATTATCTCCTTGGCAGAGACATGCCGCAATACGTGGTTATGAAAGAGGAAGAGGCCGAGATATGTACCATTTTACGTGCTCAATTTCCTACCCCGCAGGTCGAATGCACGCGTTTCAGTGTGTCCTATTCGGCTTTTACCAATCTGGAAAGAAATCCGAACAAGACAAAATCAGATATTGCCAATTTCCAAGTGCCTTGGATTCAAGAATCCTTGAGCCCCACCCCCATGGCTAAGGATTACATATGCGGTTCATGCTCGCAAAGACAGACCTGATATTTCCTGGTTATTCAGTACCAGCGACAGAATTGCTTCATCCAAATTTAAGAAACCAAACAGATTCTGAAGCAATGATTGTGGTGAACCTGCGAACATATTTGCAGGGCCAAGATCAAAGGTTAAAATGACGAATCTGCGGCAATCCTTTCAACTCTTGGCTAAGCAGGTATTCAATATATAATTCGCACAGCCTTAACATGGCCCCTTCATTTATATTGGATGAGTATATTAATATATATTAATTTGGACGAGTTGCATAACATAATGGAGGAATCTTGCACCTCATTTCATCTCCCGGCTGAGGTTGGCATGGCGACATGGGTGTCCACGAGCAGCTAAGCACGTTTCGGGCCATGTATTTTGACCAGATCAAAAATGCCTTTGCAACCTTAGCATCCGGGGGTGATGGCCTAATCACGGAGCATCTTTCATTTCAATTATCACTTAGGAGAATGATACTATGGGCGTCCACTACCCTATACGGTCCGCCCATAGCAAAAGTTTAGATTCGAGGTTGCCTCTTGAGTAGATGATTATGCACACGAATAAGACAAAATAAACTATGTATATGCGGGATTATCTCACGTCCTCATTTGTATTCCCAGAGGCTAAAGTAAGTAGATTCTGTAAACCCCCCTAAAAAAATCGTGGATCTGACTGTCTTGTGTAGCTTGTCATTAACTTTATCATTCGACTGCTACTAGGTGGAAATCGCGGATGTTTGGAGAAATGCCCCTATCATGAACCATGGGTCTCTTGCAAAGGTAGTGCGCAACCAGCCAGCATTATGTAGAAATAGGATCAGACAGTGGTACAACATCATGTGAGAGTTTAAGTCACATAGGAGGAGCGGAAGCGAGTGAAGGGCATCGGAGTGTGCTTGCTACTGTAGCTATGTGAGAGTATGGTAAGGTAGGAAGAAAGAATCAAGTCCTCACGAATCGTATTATATGGAAATGCCAGTTGCTGAGGAACTCGTACCGCCTTGATATCCAATAAACAGCTGAACGCCACTTGCCAATACTGTCATCACAAAGGCCTGAAGGTGCAAGCTTCAAGCTTCGGCCCCCTGCCAATACTAATCATAGAAACTGACTGCTAAGGTGTTGGAAGATGTAGCATCTTGGAGTGTTCCCCTTTACTAAGGCACTAGTGTAATTTGATTTTGAGAAATATAGCGATTGGACCCCACTGCACTGAGTTGGGCTACTGTTAGTTCACTACTAATAATAGCTGAACTTTGAGAAGTGACTGCAATGCTCCTTCAATGCTACACCGATCGGAGAAACGACCATGCAAGATTCCCTGCCAGAAGTACCTAAATCACCAAGAAAGCATTGCCCTGTGGAGGCGTTAGTGACACCACAAACACCCCAGGATTTTATGGAGCGGTAAGGGTTAGTAGAGGAATGCAACACCATCCGTGTGTATTTGTGGCATGAGCTGATCATCAATCTGTATAATGAACTCCATGGCTGGTTTATCCAGTGTTCACCGAAGGCTTCGCCATTATTGAGGCGTGGCTATAAGTACTTGATCATTGATTCCTGCAAAGCTCAGTTGATGTTTGAACGTAATAGTTGAACTTGAGGATTTGACTGCTTAGATGAATACTCGATCTGGCTGAGATTGCCAGAAATATTGGGCAGTACCAGATGCCACGCTCGGGTGATATCACCTCCTGAGGGCATGCGACCCACCAATATTGAACCCCGACCATGGGTGGTGTATTGACCTATACTTTTGTTCGAATCCCAAGAGCTAGCTGAAAGCGTATCTTGCCGAGCGGGTCGGCAGGCCGTCGAAGAATTGATTTGCCAAATTGGAAGGAGCGGACTGGGAGTGTCCAGAACTAGGCTCTCTTGGTCATTTTCTTTTTGAAGATATTCGTTATTTTATAACCATTTTCTGATATCCCCGAAGCCCGCCTTACACCTCATGAAAGAAGAGAGTGGATGAACGGCATGACTATCCCAATGGCATGCTATATTCAAGCAAGGGGTGGATGTGGAAATGTAGGACCCTCGAGAAAGACGGAAGAAATATATATAAAGGCTGAACCGATCTGAACAACTTGTGCCTTTCTTCCTCATCAAACAAACCCTGAAAAATAAAAAATAGTTCTTTTCAGTCTATTCTTTACTTCCTGACTTTATCTTTTTTTACTTTACTTTTTTCTTCCCTTTCTTTATTTCTTATTCCTATCTTCTCTAAAGTTACTATTTATTTTCTAGGATATTTTCTAGAATATTTCTTTACAGTAGCTTTTATAATGGTTGCTTATAAGAACCTCAGCTTCGCAGCTGTCCTGTCTCTTGGCCTTGCCGCCCACGGACTAGCCGCCAAAACTGAAGCCACCAATCTGATCGCTCGCGGTGTTAAGTCTGATGGCGCTCCCGAGTTTGTTGCCCGCGACGCCGAGGCCGAGCTTGAGGAGCGTGACGATGAAGGCGAGCTAGAGGCCCGCCATCTTCTTGAAGAGCTTTACGAGCGCGACATGTACGAGGAAGACGAGTATTTATTTGCCCGTGGTGGAGGAGGTTCAAAGGAAAAGCCTCCGTCTAAACCTGACGTCAAGCCAAAGGGAGAAAAGGGCAGCGGCAAGAAAGGGAAGCGTGGTCTACTCACTCGCGGCTCAGGGAAGAAGAACCCTCCGCCTAAGCCTGACCCTAAGAAGGACAAGGGGGGAAGGGGCCCGACAAAAAAGCGTGGTTTACTCACTCGCGGCTCAGGGAAGAAGAACCCTCCGCCTAAGCCTGACCCTAAGCAAGACAAGGGAGGGAAAGGCCCAAGAAGACATTGAAGTGACGCTGCCCTCCAGGAGCACTCTCGCAAGACTTCTGAACGTTGTTTCGCGAATTCTGCCCAAACCCTCTGTTAAGGGTATTGGTGGTGGGCAGTGGCGGACATGCCTTTAAGGGGGGGAAGGCTTATGAAAGAAGTTCAGTCAAGCACAAGAGGCTTTTGTGGTTTAGATTTTTTGGTTTAGATTTTCGAGACATGTGGTAGCTTGTGCTTTTAGAGACCATCACTGTTTGTATCACCCGATGTCTGGATTATTGTTTGTGGTTTTCAGTATATGTGACCAGTTTAGATATGGGCAATGTATGTTAGATTTGAAGTGGTTCTTCTTAAGGAGGTAATCTTTTCTGAATATTAGTAGTTGGCATTCCCAGCCATTTCTTCAACTTCCAGTGACGGCCTTTACTCTCACACTTGCATATGAAATTACCGCATAACGCAGTACATGCAACGGTAATAAACGAATTTATCTCGAGTGAGTGTTTCTTGGCTGGAGTGACATCCTCTTAGATTGAGGCTTTAAGCAGCGATACGCGACGATTTCGAATAGGCCTATAGCCGACATGAGTAAAAGGGGGGTGGCTTATGTGAACGATTTTGTCGTCTAGACAGTGTAACTGATCTTCGATACTGAAGGCGGCAGGATTCTGTTCAACTCTTCATCGTCCTTTTGATGTGCATCAACATAGCATCACGTGTACTCTCACAGGAGGGCACAACCTGCGTACTATATTCCATTCCTTTTTCCTGTTGCGTTTTGGCGGGCAAAGAACTCTGTGAGATATGGCTTTGCCCAACCGAGCTGAAAAGCAGACAGCAGGTAACTAGAGTTCATCAGCTGCGCCATCATTGCGCTCGCCTTTCCCCCCCTGCGGAAACCAGTCCTGATCCATCTCCCAGGTGTCCAAAACAGGCCCATTGGGATCTTCTTCTTCGAGAATTCCATTGTCGTTATATCCACGAAATCGCGGCGATGCCTCCAGGACATACTCTCTCAATTTGCCGGTCCAAGCCCAGGTCGGTCTTTCGCCACCAAGTAGTCCAGTGAATCGGGGTGTTGCTTGTGAGATGCTTGGATCCTCGGAGGGGGTGGACAAACACTTGTTTGGCAGGCAGCTGTTTTCTCTCTGTTAGTATGACTTCCTGTAGAGTAGAGAAGACTGGGCGGTGTTCTTACATGAATAGGGAGGATAGCAGAAGCTAAAATTCCGGGCAGAACGAGCCCATATGCTACCCTATTCACAGTCGGGCCGGCGGACCCAAGAGCTGGTGAAGCCACGTACGAGTATTAGTAGGAGAGGTAGAACCAAAGCGCCGGTGCCTTTAGCAGTCCTGATATACATACAAATGATGTAAGCAGGGCCATAGATTCATTGCCAATGGGACCAAACATGACTCCTCCTGCGTCTGCAACACTGTAGATCTCGCGGTGGCGAAGTTTGAAAACACCAACAATATCGTCAGACCAGGTGGTAATGATCCCAACTGTCAGCAGAATGATAACACCGGGAATCATGCCAAAGGTATCAAACACGGCCGGCAATGAGAGGACGCCAAGTCCGATCTGGGATTTGACCATGAGCGCGGCGGTGCCTAACCATCGTTATCACACTCTGTAACGCTGCGTTGGTCCTCGCGTTATATCAGAGAATAATAAGGTGCCATTTGCCAGCTCGTTTTGGACCTATTTAGAAGGCGGTGAGGCTATTAATATCTCCTTGAAAAGATGATTGCCAATCATTTCTTCCAGCCTCCGTCTGCCTCTGCGCCCTCATCTGCCCATTTGGTTTTCTTTGACCTCCCCTTTCATTATTCTCTCCAAAAGAAAACAAAGGGACACCCTCATATTGAGATACATGACACATGATGGCTATAACTCAACGCCTATCTCCTGCTCATAGCAAAGGAGTGGGGCTCAATAAGCCCCTCACTCAAGCGCAGCCTAAGACAAAACCCAATCTCTTGCTAGCAAGCGATATACCCTCATGGTACGCCACTAACGCCTTTCTCCGGACTGGCTACCGGCCTGTGAACGGATCTGTCAAGCTGTGTTTTGAAAGCTTGCGACATATTCATAACGAGACCGTCAACATTTACTCCCACTTAATACCAGCGGCCATCGCCATCGCCTGCAATTGCTTCCTCCACCTGTATTTCCACAGCCGCTTCCCAGATGCACGTCTAGCGGACAGACTAGCTGTACACATCTACTTAACTACCTCGATCTTTTGTTTCGGTGTCTCGTCCATCTATCACACCGTGACCTGCCACTCAAAAGATCTTTCAGGTCTCTGGAACCGCTGGGATTATGCAGGCATCATTGTTCAGACAACAGGCTCGTTCGTTTCGGGGGTCTACATGACATTCTACTGCGAGCCAACCCTAAGAAAGCTGTATTGGACTATGGTAAGTTTTAATCCCCATCCGTTCTTCACAACGCCATAAAGGCATTTTTGACTGATGCGGACTTGCATAATAGACTGGGGTGCTTGGGTTTTGCTCGACAACTATTGTCGTGAATCCCCGCTTTCAGGGCAATCGATGGAGACCACTTAGGATCGCGACATTTGTTGCCATGGGTCTCTCAGGCCTGTTGCCTGTCATTCACGCGACCTATATTTATCCGTTTTCTCAACTTAACCAACAAGCCGGGGTTGGGTATTATCTTGTCGAAGGCCTTACACTTATTCTTGGCACAGTCTTCTACGCGGTAAGTGGAACGTGAAGGTGATGGGGTGGAAGATTTATGGCAAACAACTTACCTTGGATCGAGCTAATCGTCATTTACGTAGACCCACTTCCCCGAATCCTGGGTGCCCGAGAAGTTTGATATTTGGGGAGCCTCTCATCAGATTTTTCACCTGCTAGTTGTTCTTAGTGCTGTAATTCATACGTGGAGTCTTCTCAGTGTAGATGGGTGGATTTATAAAAATCCCCCTTGCCTAGGCTGAAACCCAAGTAAAGATTATTTACCTTGTTTGTTATTTGAGATCCCTGGCAGTTGGATTAGAAATAGACTTTCTGGTGGCTCGGCTTGTTATATTAGCGGCAGTTGGAACACACTTTTGACATCGGCAACCGCCGTGTCGACCTGTGACAAATGATCTTTATTTAATTCGCCGAAGTTAATGGTAACCTATTGATATCCTCAAATCTCCCCAACCTTCCCTCATATGTCCAAATAGAGAGATGTGAATAAGCTAACATTTTTAAGAGGTAGAAATCATAAATCGTCTTGATGAACGATCAACGCCAGACAATAATCATTTTAGGTTCCAGCCTGCATTTCCATTCCTTCAACCACTTGAACGAACTACTCTATCAATCGATCGCCTACATAATTGATGTTCGATTCCCGGAACCCAGAAATTTTCGTCCTCCCATTCGGAGCAACATATATATGATAATCTCGCTTTAGAGCTTCGCATTGGGTAAGTGTCAGAGGCAATAGGCTGTCTGAATATTGTAAGAAATCTGTACACATCAGTAAACTCTATTCTCTTTCTCTTCCGTACACATCAGTAAAATCCTTGAGATGACTTGCCTAAACAAACCCTGTCCACGTTTATATGCCAGTTTCCGGGTGTCTGGTAATTATGGTTAATTGGGAAATTCCGTAAAGGTATGTGGGTTCATCATACTTTGTGGACGTTAGCCAGCTTATGAAACAATTCCTGTCGACTGCGTTCTAGCCTTTGCCTTATCTCCTGTAGCTCATTATGCCTTTGGTCAAGTTAATAATGTGTGTTATGGAGATGATTGGATAGGGTGTCCTTACCACTTGGCTTGGCTTTCTGGATCTGGCAGAACGAGATCTACCAAATGTGACCCATACGCAGGAAAAGAGGAAAACTCTCACCGAATCATGCAACGAAGCTGATACTTGACAGCTGCCGCAGCTTCCTTGGTTGAAGCCACAACATGTAATGCGCCAACTCTTTGTCCATAAAGCCCTAGATTCTTAGCAAAGGACTGAGCAATAATCATCTCAGAGCCCAAGCTTGCAAAGTGGCGCACTCCATATGCGTCCTCATCTAAGCCACGGCCAAGGCCTTGGTAAGCAATATCGAAGAAGGGCAAGTGTCCGCGGGAGGTTATTTCCTCCACAAGAGTCCGCCACTGCTGCTCTGTCAGCTCGCGACGGTTGGGTTGTTGCAACACGGCTGGAGGACAAATGTGCCCCTATTTGGTATGTTCCTTATTACTGTAATGTGAGTTGAGATGGAGGTAGATGAATGTTAGTTGACTAGTCATAAAATGGCGAATATTGGATCGGTGACAATAACTCAAAGCCTTAATTGGTAATTTCATTCTGAACCATCAACTATTTTGAAGTGAGAATTCCATCTATATCAAGGAATAGAGATCTTGGCCGTCTTCTTAGATGCTCTTCCTCCGAAGCCCCAACCAATCTGATGAGCAACGTGAAGATTGACCCCCAACTCGTCCGCCCATGCCCACACGAGACCCGGGTTCTTGAGAAACATGCGGCCGGCGGCTATCAAATCTAGTGGCGTATCGTTGGTATCTTGTCCACCTTCAATAAGCTTTTGCGCGATTTCTCCTGTCTTGATGCTTCCTACCGCGCTGACGAGCATAGTATCTCCCACTGCCGCCTTGATCTTCTTGGAAAAGGGTGCCTGGTAGCCTGGGCCTCCAATAACCTTTTGGTCAGGGTGGTTACCGCCACTCGAGACATCCAAGACATCGACACCGCGCTGAGCAAAGAGCTTGGCCAGCTTGGCGCTTTCATCGACAGTCCAGCTTGCGCCGCCGTTCCAGTCCGGGTTAGTATCCAGCCAGTCCGTAGCGCTGATGCGAACAAACAGAGGCATATCCTTGGGGATAATCTCTCTAGTCTCCTCAACCAGCTCGAGGGCGAGCCGTGCGCGGTTCTCAAAGCTGCCTCCGTATTGATCCGTACGCTTATTTACAGCCGGCGAGAGGAAGCTCGAGACTAGGTACCCATGGGCGAAATGGAGCTCGATGATGTCGAACCCGGCGCGCAGTGCCCGACGGACGGCGGAGGCATTATCGCGCTTGAACTGGGCAATTTCGTCTAATGTCAGAGCGCGTGGCTTGGGGAAATGCTCATTAAACGCCTCATCGCTCGGCCCAACCACGTCGTTCGGCCAGCCGTCGACGGCTTCAGTAGCAGTAGCACCAGAGCTAAGCCAGGGAGCGACCGTGGACGCTTTTCGTCCAGCGTGGGCAAGTTGAATACCAATAAGGCCATTTTGGCTGTGCGCAAAGTCGACGTGCTTCTTCAACGTATCTAGGTGAGCATCGAGCCAAATGCCAGAGTCTTCTGGAGTAATGCGGCCGTTGGCTTGCACAGAAGTGGCCTCAATCATGGTAAGACCGGGCTGTCTTTCGCTTTAGTTTCTACTAGGTAATCTTCAGAGCAGAGTCAAAAAACAATGCTACTTACACCTCGCTGAGCAATGCCTCCGTAATGGGTAATGTGCCAAGGCGTATGGAAGCCCTCGTGCGCGCTGTACTGGCACATGGGACTGACCCAAATACGATTCGGCAACGTGACGCCACGGATCTTGAGCGGCGTAAACAGCTTAGGGATCGGCTTGCCTGACGGCTGGACATCGGTCGGTGTGCCAGCGGGAGGGTCTTGTTCCGGGGTGAAGAAGGGGGCATTCTTGGCCGCAGTGTTCGGGATTGGTGCAGAGCATTTCGCATTCTTCTCAGGGGCAGGTGTTCCTGCTCTGGACACCGTGATGCCGTGATGAGGGTGACATATGCGCTGAGTGAGGTATGCCGCCATTTTTGAAAGGTTGCTGGATTGCAAGGTGAAATAGTTGTGTGTTGGATATATCTTGGTATCAAAGAGACTGTTGATGATGTGAAAATGAATTCCTGGATGGTTCTTTGGGATCTATTTAAGCATTTACTGTAAACCCTGTTTTTGGACTAGTTATTCCTTCCGCGCAAAAACTGCCTAGTAAATGGAGTTTGGATTTCTCAGTTATTGGGATTTGTAACAACGTGGACTATGCATGACGCAAAATACTTGCTTCAGTCCAATGAACTTGCCATGGCGTCATATCAGTGAAGGCTTATTCGTTGGGGCTCGTTTAATTATTGGTTTAAACTGTGATCTACTACAACTCGGTCGTACATTCCTCAGATATGCTTCGGCACTATCGGCAGTCTCGGAGCTGGATGCCGGAGCGCAAACCGACTACATGTGGTGTCTCCAGAGCTTGGTTGAGCCCCGATAACTCCCCGGTGCTCACTGACAGTGCCTGATGAACTCCGACAACGCTGTTGCTTCGTTGATCCGTAATATTGATCGAGTTATGAAAAGTATCTATCAGATATATGAAAGCCCTTATTTGTAAGCAATGTAAATAATAGTTTGTTGTTTGATCTGCGAAATACTTCATAATAATACTAGCAAAATTTGCAGAATGCGGTTCTAGAAGGAAATATTTTACAATTACTTGATCGTCTGAACCCGCCTCCATTATCAACCTTAAACTACATAGCGTGGAACACTAAGCTGGAAATCATAACACACAAGTTGATGTAGTCATGCGAATGTCCACATCCCCCGGGAGATATGTCATGCATGCGCCAGGATGACATATGTTTTATTAGGCTTATGCTTTTCCCCTCATTGCGTCGGCAAACTCGGTCTTCCTCCGAACTTACCGAGGTTGAGTGGGTCTTCGCCGGAGCCATCGGTAAGGCCTCTCTCTGCCTTCCGACTCTTCATGTTGGTTTTTGACATTTGCGTTGTAACATGGGTCGACATCTAGTCCCCGAAATGGATAACCAAAGAGATGCCTCAAACTCGTTATCCCGGATTCGCAGCGCCAGCTCATCCCTGCATGACCAGAATGACGATCGCAGGGTGACTACTCGTGGCGCAGGCCGTCGCCTACGTGCCTCAACAGCGTGTCAAGTTTGTAGGGCTCGCAAAGTCAAGTGTACCAATGAGAGGCCGTCTTGCGCTGGGTGTGTCAAGCTCGGTTGTGAGTGTCGATATCCTGAGCCTGCTAAGTACATGCAACCAAAGTCTGTCGCAAATTGACTCCTATTACTTCAACGGCCCAACAGCCAAATCTAACATCTCTTCAGTCCTAAGGAAGGCAACTCCAATTCCGAAGTCATAGAAACCCTGAATGAGATCTTGCATCGCCTACCTCCTGCAACTGAGTCGCGACATGAGAGATGTACAGGTGACTCTGTAGCCTTCAATGCTCTCTCCTTCACGGCTGTAGACCATGTTTTCGAATGGCCGACATTCGCTGCCGACAACTCACTTCACCTAACGCCCTTCAACCTATTAGCGATCAATCAAGCCCAAGAGCTTCATCCAGGTGCCAGCAGCACCGTCGGAATGCCGGGCTTACAAACCGGGGAGGTTACTACGCTGTTGACGAGGTTTCTGAGAATGGTTCACACCATGAACCCTATATTGGATTGCAACACTCTAATGAGCCATGGGAGGATTGTTGCTGAGCTGGGTCCGCAGTGGGATTCCCGGACCTGTCTTGTGGTAAGTCCGTCTTAGGCTCCAAACTATTGCATCTCTGAGTATCTACATACCAGAAAAACACTGATACCATAATGATAAGCTTATCACCGCCGCTCTGGGAGCCTTGGCCCAGCCATACACCTCCTTTCCAGACACAAAACAGACGCTTTCCAATTCGTCTTCTGTGGAAAACGGGGCCCAGTATCGTCAGCGTGCGGAGGCTTATTACCAGTTCGCCCGAAGACGACTTGGTATACTAGGCATGGACCTCACAGCATGCCAGTGTCACTACCTTTCAGGCATTTACCTATTGCATACTTTACGTCCGATTGAAGCATGGCAGGCTTTCTTCCAAGCCTCGTCTCTCTATGCTGTGTATCTCAAAAATCAGGCGACACTTCGTACAGTCAGGGATACAGTCATGCTTGGTGACCAGATGATGACTGATGAGCAATCTCTTCCCGATGATTTAGAGCATGATCTCCAACAACGGCTATACTGGAGCTGTATCAAGTCCGAAAGGTGAAATGCACTCTGCCTGGGTTTTTGCTTTCTGTAACCAACAGCTGCACTACTAACACGGACACTTTTTGTAGTGAATTATGCACTGAAGTAAACCTACCAAGGTCGGCCCTCCACGACATCCACTACCCTTACCAGTTTCCTTCCCCGCCGACTCCAAGAAGCGTGGACGGCTTAGATGAAAGTCCGCAACATGTTACGCCATCATCATCCAATAACACCACAGCCACTATCTCCTCATCGACCACACCCAGCCATTACAGTGAGACACAGGACTTCAAAGAACTTCACGAGTGGTCATGGTACAACTATTTGTCTGGAATATCGCTATTTAATCTCTCAGGCCGCGTCAATCAAGCATTTTACTCCAGGCCTCCCTCTTCATGGGCAACCATGAACCTGCTCGACATGATCAACACGGCATACGAATTCGAGAAACAGATCGAACAGTGGAAGCTGACACTGCCACAGGCCATCTCCTGCTTTCACACCACACTGGATATTACCACTGTGACCGAGCTCCAATTGGCTCCCTGGCTCCGGTCCGCTAACATTCGACTTCGCATCTACCGCCCATTCCTCTATCGCCTTACCTGCAAGATAGACAAGGACTGGCCGCTTATTGACCCAATGCGCCATTTAGCGGAAAAGGCGGTCTCATTATGCCTCGAGCCGCTTTTCGATCTGGGATTGAGACACAGAAATGCTGAATCCTGGTTTAGGTGCCGTGAGTCCGCTTGTCGTGCTTTGCTTCTTCTCTGCGCTGGGAAAAACGGGCTTCTACGCCGGATGGAATTGGAGCACCGCGCAAGCGAGACATTGCAGCAGTGCATTTCACACTTGCGCTATTGGGAAAGAGAAGCAGATGATGTCAGGTTGGCTCGCCAAACCCTTGAGACGATGATATAGAGGAAAATTCGAGCGCTGCATGATTAAAAAAGAAAAACTCAGCCTACAATTTAGATAGCTTATTTTCTCTTGAATCTTTGGGTTCGGTAGAAGAAATGAGGATATATATCTTTGTGGTCTCACCAGTCCTTAATCCAGGGAGGGCGTCGCTAATTCAATCCGACTAAACACTGCGGAAGGCTCCAGTTCCTGTTTCTCTATCCACCGCTTCAATTTCTACCAAGTTCTGGAATATATAAGACTAATTAACGAGATAAGTCTGAGTCTGAATATTCGCGGATAAGCCGTGTGTTATAATAACCATACAGAAGCATTGTGTCTTGCTACCTAATGACGGGGAGACGAGGGATTCTCTTTATATACGGTATTTGAGATTCAATTAACCTCTCCAGGCAACAGTTCAGTTGTTTTTAGGCAAGGGCTTTTGTCACGCATATGGATATAAGAAATTGTTCAATAAAAACATAACGCTACACCTCGTAGAAGTTCTCTAAGCAGAGAGCAAAAAAGTCATCAGCCTATCCGTACATATCTTAAGTTATCGACTAGGGCTGGGCCACTGCCCTACATCACCCTTGCCCTAGAGCATATACCACTGGGTTGTTGGAGCGATTATACCTCGCCTTTTAGAAAGTTGATGTAATGACAATAGGCTCTAAAGATAGACAGTTCAGCGATACCAAATGGGACTCGTGCGATCTGCGCCCAATGCAAAGATTCCACAGCGGGATTGCATACTGTGTACCATATCTGGGCACGATAGCTGAAATAGCTCGGCCCATATGCAATTGCATGTCAAGAGAGGACCAGCTCACCGGAGGTCCGAACTGCCAGATACAGTGCCATGTAAACACGGCAACAACCCCTAAGCCAACCAACACCGAATAGATGGAAATAAGGGCCAAACCACTACGTCAACTGATAAGAGTGTTGAAAACCGTGTAAGAAAGAAGCGGCCAGCGGATTTCGGGCAGTCTTCTTTCCCGGTTCCTAGTAGAATTTGGTATATCTTCATCTTCAATTAGATGGAACAAAAGGTTTTTGAGGTTGTGTATGTTGTTCGGTGAAGCTACTGCTAACTTCCATAGAAATACCCTTAATCATACCTTAATTCCAACTATGGCGGATGGCTGAGCTTGAAAAGAACCCTAGGCAATCAGCCCCAAATAGCGCCGCACTGGTGAGCAACGCTATTGGTAAATAGATCACTAACCCAAGCTCGCTACGAGACTAATATCGTTGATTAGGTGAGACTAGCAGATTGGTAACAAATTTCTCTCTCGCGATATTCCTTTTTTATTTTCTCCTATTACCCTCCTCCTTCGAAAACCTCACTGTGACTTATGTCGGCTCAACTACCACCCGAGCTGCCCACAGGGTGGTCGGCGCAATGGAGCACGGCGCGTGATACTTGGCAAGTTATTCATCGACTGGAATGATATTTAGGGCCACTGGCATGCTAATACCAACCATAACAGGTTGTACATTGATCTGAAGTCTCTGCGGAGCCAGTGGGAGCTCCCAACTGAGCCACCACCAGGACATATGGATACGACTCTATCGTTTTACCCTTCCAAAGGCGCGCCTCAGGTCCCCTCAGGCTGGACACTTCAATGGCACGAGTCGTACGGAGCGTGGTTTTTCACAAACTCACAAAATGGCAAGTCACAGTGGAACTTTCCTCGGCATGCGGCCATTTCCGCCACGGACTATAGTCCTGTCGACTACACTCACAAGCCCACCAGCTGGGGTCTTGACGATCCTACCAGGACCGTAGTCGATAATCTGTATGTTTGGAAATTCACCCGTCACATGCCAGTTAACTTCTCCTAAGACGTATGCTACAGATTCCTAGCTAGCCAACAACACGGCAAACGGCAAACCCCTCATTTATCCATCAATACCAACTATATCCAGGTCAGACAGCGCCCTGTGTCGCCGCATTACACCTTTATTCCACCAACGCGACCAAGAGCAATTAGTGACTGTCCGCCTCCTCTACCAGACATCCCCATGTCCAGCCTCATAACCTCACACCCTGTGGCTTTGGATCCGTTTTCAAAGACCAAAAACGGTTTCCTAGCTGCACCAGATGCACCTCGCCGCCAAAACCGTCATTCATTTTGCGGAAGCGGGTTCGGCAGTGCTTATCTCAATGCCAGCCGAGCGGAGAGCCCTAAGCCATCAGAGTCTGATAACTGTAACCATACTTCGATGATTGCTGTTGAAGAACTGGTATCTTTGATTACAATGTCGATTGGTCAGGAAGAAGGGAGCGAGAAGAACGAACATGACGTCGTCTCGCGCATTCTCACACCGCCCCTGGGCTCGAAACCTCCTACGCCCGACCCTTTTCCTCCCGGGCATCGGCCCCTATCGGAGATCAGACAGATGCTTAGGACGGAAACAATCGGGTACACCCAGGGAACATGGCCAGTGGGTGCAGAAGACAGAGGTTACTACCCGACCCGTGTGATTGAGGACGATGAAGGTGGATATATGAGCGACTCAAGTTACTCTACTGAGTATGCAGAAGATGAGGATGAGGGGGAAGTCGAGAAGGAGCGGCCGCCTGAAGTTGGTTTTACACCCCTTGTGATCAAATCCGAAGGGCGAGAGGCATGGGAATTGTCTTATTAAGGGGCAATATCATTCAAGAGATATGTAGGGTGCAACTCGCACTTTTTCTTCGCCTCGTTTCTCAATTCACGGGGAGATTCATTGGGATCTAATTGCTAGACTTTGGAACGGCGAGTGGGTGCTCAGGGAAATGAGACATGAAGTAGTAATCTGTACTACGTTGCCTCTTAAGCGTGTAATATTTACACTCAATACTTTAAAGTAAGCAGCTTAATATTCCGAAGTCTCAAATTCGACGTCATCCGGTTGGAGGGATGCTCAGAGATGTTAGAGATCCGGGCACCCTTGCCTAACGCGACCGGAAACCTTCAGTCGGCCGACGGCATATATAATTAATTTTGGCCTTGAATACTTAAATCCATTATAGGCCGCTCATGTTGACTGTATGGCCTGGCTTTCTGACGTGGAAATTATGAGCGATCCATTTTTATCCAATCACACGAATACGCTCCACTTTGCTCCATCGCAAAAGACTCCCATATACGGCCGTGATTGCGTAGAGAATAAGCGGAAGGCTCGGGACTCATGGAGAATCTATGAAGAGAAGCACTAACTGAATTCAAGTTGCAATGATAAGAATTTCAGTTGGGGTATATATATGGAAGATATTCCACGCTATAACTATGTTGTTCTGCTATTCGCATTCAATGTGCAATCTTTAATTCAACAGCCTAGTATCGTCAGCCAGTGGTCAACCATGAACTTTCCAACAATCTCTCTCGGACTATCCCATCTCAAAGACCAGTACATAACGAGCAGCAACACCAGCTCCTATAAGCAGCCCCTGGTCATGGCTGCTGTGAACGGAAGTGTCCCAATTTCCTTTTACACCTGGATCGCACAAGAGGCTGTCTTTCACGCAACGAGCGCTTTGTTTGAGTGGCTTGACAAGACAGGGACGGTAAAGCGCTTCAAGATTCGCGCGGTGGACCGGAAACCATACGCACATTACCTGCGCCGAGTTCTGCTCAACCAGTGCCTCATTCTTCTGCCTAGCATGCTCGCCGCCGAGTACTTCGGCTTGTGCTTCACGGGTCCGACGATCGAGGCCCATCAATGGGGACGAGTACTGGTGTCTCTAGCAGGCATGGCTGTTGGTCATGATATTGTCCAGTACATAACGCATAGGTTTCTGCTGCACCAGCCGAACGTGTTCCTCATGCGGGCTCTGAGACACTCTGTCCATCACTCCACCGGGGCTACCAAGGCAATCAGCGCGTGCTACATGTCGGCGCCAGACTTCTTCCTTGAGATTGTTCTACCGTACCTGGTTCCGCTTGCTTTGGTTGGAGGTGGCGGGTCCGGCATCACGTTTCATTCGTTGGTCGCCGGCCTCGGGGCCATCGGCGGCTTATATGAGCATTCAGGATACGACTTGTCCGTTAATTTGAGGACCGGTGGAAAGGCTAACCGCGATGGCTCCGCGCAGGTCTTGCTCTCTACAATCGCGAGCAAGTTCCTGGACAATCGGTCCCACGCTCAACATCACGTGCGAGGCAATGTCTCGTTCTCGGATGGGTTTGGAAGCCCTGGCATAAGTGACACTATATTCGGAACTCGTTGGGATCTGGCAGCCAAACGTCGGGTTGAGCATGCTGAAAAGGAGTGGCAACGACAGCGTGCTGAGTTGTCCTAGCCTAGATAGCAGTGCCTACACTGCTATAAAAACCTAACCGCTCCTTCGCCCTTATATTGAATTCGCCTCCTAATGCAATAATAGTCGGAGATTAGAAGGCGCTGCGTGGGCTCATTCTTTAATTTTCGCAACTACTTTGTTTAGTGAGGCTCTGATACTGTTGTGGGTGGAGCCAGTTTGGGAGTTTCTCAGGGGCTAATTTGATGAGTTGCGAATAGGATGAGACTGGAATGCCGTTCTAGCTCCGAGGCTCCGTACTGCCTCCTCAATATCGCGGATCATGGACTTGGGCAATTCATCTCTTGAATAGTTAGTATATATTGGCACTGAGAATGGTTTCATCATTCCTCTTCCATAGCCAGTCAAGACTCTTAGCACCCTTGCTTTGTAACTATGTAAAATATATATTGCTAGTTTATACACCCTTTTATTACGCCTTCATTTCCATCCCTAGGACCAGCTAGCAATGTAACTAATAAAATGTTGTACTGCGTACACACGCCTTCCATGCGTCCAGTTCGCTTCAACTAAATAAGTAGACCCGATTTTAGGGGGGCCAACTCACTTTGAAGACCATTTACTTTTCTTGCCTGTGACAGTAGTTGTCAAATTCTTCTCCGAGCTTGACTCATCAAAGAGAGTATGGTCCCTTCCACCAGTTGCCATGTCATGGAGCTCAAGATCCCGCCGCTGGTGGTCGATATGCATATCCCTTGTGACTTTGATCTGCCCATCCCTTGGACCGCGGCTGCCTGACATCTCGCCCGTCAGTTTCATCGTTCCAGCGCTGCTGGATGGGTCTCCTCTGTAGCGGCGCCAAAGAGGCCGGATCGTCGGTAGGCAGATGCAAAGGACAGCAAGAAGAGTCTCCAGGACCGACACAAAGCTGCTGGCGGCCATGGTGCCGGTAATATCGGAAAAGTCGACAGTGGAAACGTATACGCCTCGGAAGAATGAAGCAACGGTCGCACTATATATTGTTAATAAATAAATTAGAATAATCAAATCAACCACTAGTATGGAGCTTCAGGAGTTCAAAATAAGCAACTTACATCGCACCTAGCAAGATACAACCCAAAACACCAAGCTTGTCTGCCCGCCTCATCTGAAGGTGAAGGATACCTACATGAGTCAAATGGTTAGATAGCCATTTTACATCCAGTGCCAACACCAATTACCGCTCAGACCTACTTCGAATAGGAATGGCCATCACCATTAGGTCCATGACGGCATTGGAGAAGATCATGGCCACGAGCATCTTTGTTTGTTGAATACAAGTGGCACCCGCTGCCTGCGCGGCCAAGTCCCATGACGCCTTGATTGGTTTGCAGGAGAAGACCACCGCAAAGACGAACGTGACCATCCACACTCCAACCAGAACCATAGCAGAGTAGGACGCTATTTTGACTGATCGGACCTTGAAAACCCGGGTATAGAAGAACAGCACGCTCATCTTCAAGGCGAAATTCGTGACTATTATCGTAATCTGATAGGCGAATGCGATGCGAAGGATGACGGAAAGATTGTGCATGGTATCTTTCAGAGGATAGCCCGAGCCACAAGTCGATACTATTTCGGTCGTTAGCAACGAGATGGTTGAACGGGTTAGTGGGGCCAAACATGACTTAACCTACATGTTCCTTGGAAGGTCATCAACGGTATGTTGAGAAGCTATAACAGTTAGTTAGCACGTCGGGAAAATACACGGGGTATTTCAGGATCTGTACAGCAGCGAAAATGGCAAACCAATCGTCAATGGCCAGCCCTGCTCCAGTAATTCTGGCATATATCCGGCCGACGACAGACAAGGCCATGAAGAGGGAGATGACGCCGTTGATTACCATGAACGCTAGCACATTGGATTTCCATGGCAGCGGACTGCAGGTGATTGGAACCTCGATTTCGACGGACGACATTGTGGGCGACGATGTAGAAACGGGAAAAGACCGACCAGAGGCTTCAACGTCTTCCTGCCTCAGCCTTCGAGGGTAGGGGCGTAGAAGCGGTTCAGAAACGTTTCCATTCAAACGGAAAAAAGACGGGGAGTTGTTGTCGGCAGGAGACGAATGCTAATAAATTTAACGAAAGGGCAGTTGTACCGTCTGAAAGGCTGTGCACGCGTCTCAGGCTCCTTGAAAGTGGATCGTCTTGAAGCCAGTTGATGTTCAGAACTTCAGAAGGCTTTGCTAGGCTAAAGATGGTGCCAAGATGGGAACCATACGTCGTTCCTCCAAGGGTCAAGGGTTAAGAAACGGAGGCAGTCATGCCATGACTTTGGCAAAAACGTCGACATATCTTTCCGGATACAACAATATAGCGCCACAGCATAGCAGGCATTTTCCGTTAAAAGACCAATGGGAACTTCCCGCGCTTAGGCATGGTCCGTGCGAACCATGGCCTTCGGCTCCGTGTCTCACCACACTGATGGCACCATGATCCATCCCGCTGCCCTGCTAGTCACTCTCTGCCTTGCGTATTGGTCCCGGCCCACGTCTTGCGGTCTTGCCCGGACCTACGTCCGGGCATATGTCCAGGTAGAAATCCATCAAAGAACTTTGGATAGGAGAGGACAAAAGCTCCCCACATTAGCAGCTGGACCGTGCAATTTTAGACGACATACTGAACCCAGCCAGCGGCACTAGTATTTTGAAATCGACCATCATGCCCCCTGCACGGCGATGTCAAATTCAGGACAAGTAACACTCGTGAGCGTCTTAGACGGAGGCCTTGACCCGCCTCTCTACACCCGAAATGAAATGCTTGCCTGGGATATTCCTGGAGGTTTCTTTAAGAAGCTGATCTTGCCCCCAATCCTACTTTGTGAAGTACCGTTCCTGCATGCTTAAACGAAACAAGACGTGCATAAACGCTCCCGACACTATGGCTTCCACGGAAAACCTCCCTCTTGTTCCTGACGATGTCACAAAGGCATGGCTCACCGATGTGCTTGGTCTCAAGATCAAGACTGCCGAGCTGACACATGCTATCCACGGCACCGCCAGCAAACTCTTCTTCACCCTCGCCTATGAGGACTCCGAGGAGGCAGTCGAGAAGCCCGAGTTTATTTGTGTCAAGGGAGGCCTCAACCCGGGATTAACTCCATCCATCCGGGTGCTCCTCACCAGCCTCTTCCGTCGCGAAGTTTTATTTTTCAATGACGTTGCACCTAAAGTCGCCAAGATGGACCTGGTTCACTGCTGGTGGGCTGGGGAAAATGACCTCCAAGGCATTGTCATCATGGAGGATCTTCGCAAAAAGAACCTGAAGTTTGGCACAACCGCGGAGCCATGGGGCCCAGACCTGGTGAAGAGTGGTCTTGGTCAACTCGCCATCCTCCATGCTACTACCTGGGGCCAGGGTCAAGAAGAGTACTCTTGGCTCAGTCCTCATTATGACCAATCAGTTCTAGGGATGATTCCAGCAATTAATTACAACGAGTTCGTCCTCGACCCCGAGCGTCCCCAACTACCCGAGCATCTGCAAAAGCAGGACCGGGTCGAGGCCTTCATCAAGAAGTACTTCGCTGCGCGCAACCCCAAATTCAGGAGTCTGATCCATGGTGATTGCCATGTACACAACACCACTATTTCCCCCGAGGGAACTGCCGCTTTCATTGACTGGCAATTGATCGGCGGCGGCTCCTGCTTCCATGACGTGGCCTATTTCATGAATTCGGCCATGGACATCGAAGTTCGTCGTGCTCACGAAAATGAACTGCTTGACCACTATTTTGAGGAGTTGCACAAGCATGGCGGCCCAAAGCTCTCTCGTGGCGAGGAGGATGTCATGATCGAGTTCAGAAAGTCTCAGCTCGCTGGTTTTGGTATGATTCTCGCCACGACCCAGATGCAGCCGATCGAGGTTCTCCGTCTCCTAATCACACGTTTTGTTGCGGGAATTGAGGACCACCAGGCTGTTCAGCTTGTCGAGAGCCTTTAAATCAAGAATTTATACGTATATGTGTACGATCTGTCGTAAGGCGGTGAAGCTAGTTGAGGACATGGAATCAGAAGTCAATGATAGCGTTCTAATTAAGAATGTATTCAAATTGATCTCATCCCTGATGAAAATGCAAAATGACAACATCTTCCTCTAGAGGTCTGAAACTTGGAAAACCCAGTGATAAACAATATCACAGCCCTGTCAGAAACAACAACGAATTTTCCGGTGCTCAGCCTGGGGCAAGATATGCAGTACTGTTCATTTCGCTTAAGATCAAAGCTTTGACATGTACCGCCTAATAAGATGCCTGTCAATCCACGATGCTATTCTAAACGTTGGCAGTTGTCCAGGGGAGGAGTATTCTCCCCTCTCTTGTACAGTACCTGCTACTTTCGTACATAATCGCGATCCTTGGTCGAACCATGTCTCCATGCCGCCTTATCGTTATTTACCTATGTCAACCAAATTGACGCCTGTTTGATTTTTGGCCAGTATGGACAACAAAACCAGGATTCGGCTCACAGCCACCAAATCGCCCGGGATTATTATCCGGAAAAGGCCATCTCGTACCACGTACCTGTCTTTCCACACGTACTCCGCGCTATCTTTCCCAAGAGAGCAAGAAACGACACCTGTGGGATGCAAGGATGGGATAAGGAAAGTCCAGGCAGGAATGCCATTGGACGAGGTATGGATTCAGCCCCGTCGGTAAACAAGAAACAGAGGAATTTGCTTCAGGGGTCCAGCCAAAAAGCTGCATGCCAGTAAAACCGCCATAGTCACGGATTTATTACTCTAGCATACGATCAGCATAGGCGGCAGAGGCTACAATCGAGTCTCGGCCTTTAGGTATTGGCCGCTGGTAGCTGTCTGGCTTTTCCTTTTTCAATACAATGATGGCAAACCTTAGAAGATGTTTGGCGGGTCTGTCAGCAAGGCTGATTGACCCAATCCAATAGCCTTTGTTATGGTAAAGAAATTACGTTGGAGTTACTCATGTTGGAGGCAAAAACGGTTAACGGGACCGCTCAACCGCTCTCGAGTGGGACAAGAGGAGGCACTAAATTAGCGCTGACGGGACCCGCCAGATTAATGCTGAAGGAACCGGTATTCCCTGCCAGAAATGCCAGAAAGCGTGGGGATAGCGCCGTAACACTACCTACCCTACACCTAGATGCCACGGCCCATCATCTCAGACATTCTCCTGACCAGACAATCTAAAGGAGAATATAGTCTTGCTTAAATGGAAATATCAATTCTGAAGCCTAGAAATATATTGTTCATGTACCTAAGGTGAAAATTCTGTTATAACCATGTTAAGGTGAGTATATGGACCTAAGAAACTATCTTAATAAATGAGGCTGAAGAACAAACAGAAGTCCAGCAGAGCTTTCAGACTAAGTTGTTGGTCTTCGAAACACCAGAACGAACATATACCTTTTACGGTTTGGCACCAGTAATAAATCGCCACGTCAAATGTTGTGGGAGGTTGTAACATCTCGGTAGGGTAGATGGCCCAGTCCATTCCAACCCGTCCTACCACCGGACCCTGTGTTGAGGATTATCATTTGCAATTTATCTTGTGATGCTCTCAACCATTGCGCGAAACTAACGATCATTAAATTATTCGGATACAATTTCCATTAACAAATGAGCTAATAATCTAATAGCGATGTTTTGTAAATCTGGCATGCGAAAGGTGATTTGTATATTCATATAGCACGATGAGGGTTAGATAGTGTTGTTTACATCCACTACAACATGTCAAATGTCACTATGGGGTGGCGAATGCAGGATGAATGAGATGTATCTCAAATTCGAAGAAATAGTACAAAGTCTCTATGTATGGTTTGCTCCAGTAACTAGTCTACAGATACTCTTGAAAAGAAGAAATACTATAACTCCCAAATTGGACATTGCCTACATGAAACGAATGGAGGTACTAATCTTGACGGTAATATAGTTAAATGAGAACGCAATCCCTAATAAATAGCCTGAGAGATGAATGATAGGTGCGGCTTGTTACTTACTATGACGAGTGGCTCGCCTCTACTCGGCAGGAGCTATATACGTGTGCTTAACATAGTCGCATAGCCCCTTGAATGGCTTGGCTCTGAATTCCAGAAGCTCTTCATAGTAAACCATGGCCAGATATTCTTCAAAAGTCAGAGCCACCATAACAACATCGTCCTCGTCTACGTCTCCGTTCCCGTCATGGCCATCCTCTATTTCCTCCTCATCCAGCTCCATTTCGTCGTACAGATCCAACATTGACATCAAAATACAATGATGCCCAGATTGACTGAGATACAAGTAGGCGAAAGCACAGGCCTGTTGGTCCCAATAGAAGCGCACAATGTAACCACCGCTCCCGTTGTCCACGGAGGACGGGCACCTGACCAACTTCGAAAGGTTGAAATACCAGGCAGAATAGCTTGGTATGCGATGATGAAAGTGGTTATCTGCCATGAATGCTTCGAAACCTGCCGGTAGCTTCAGTCCGAGCTCTTCAGCCTTGGCAACGAGGCGCTCAATCTGAGCTTTGGTGGCAACAGGTCGGTCCCCTTCGCGCCCATTGTGTGGCTCCATTTCATCAGCGATTTTCTTCTCAAGCGACTGCAACCAGCTGAACGTCCCGTCAAGGGCTATCCAGCTTTGGAAATCCGGAGGTGAGCTGCGCACGTAGGGACCCCCGTCTTGATCTAAACCGAGACCCTGATAGTCTCGCCTTGGGATCTCGTCGCGTACTAGGTGATGGTCGGCCAGAACAGGGAGGTATCCAGGATAGGATGGCAGTACTCCGCGGCTGCCACGTGGATTGAAGAGTTTGCACATAGCCCGGGCATTTTCTATCCATCCTTTGCGGGGTTCAAGAAGCTGAGCAGCAGGGTAGTACAGGCGCGAACTGAGCGTTTTGGCCACGGACTCGAGGCTAAAGGGGTCGAGGCGTCCGAGGATGTTCATAACCACCTCAGGTGGAATGGTCAGGATGGTGGCCATTGTGCTATACGCTGAATTCTTGCTCTGTAGAGTCACAGAGTTACCCACAGTATTTTGATGGTGACTTGATACTAATGCAAACTCCAAGTTCGAGGACGGACGAATTCACAGCGAGCGCCATTTCAGGCAGCTGAGGTTAATTTCGTTTTTGGTACTCCGTATAGCTTTCCATCTCTTAGTCTTACGCACTGTGTGGTTCACCGCTTGATCTCTCTAGCGCTTCACTTTGTGCGCAGTAATCTATGGCATGCATCGTGAATGGGGATTGGCCTAATCGCACTGTGTACTTACTGTATCAGCTGAAAACCAGCCTCCCTCTGTGCCGAGCGAAAGCCGAGGTGGTGGAGGTGGTGAAGAAATTATTAAATTTGGGAGAAAGGCTTTTTGTCTCTATCTAGCTACCTCTACTTGTTTAAAGTGGACTCAATACAAGTCGGAAGCCAGAAAAGTATGGTCGAAATTAATATCCATGTGATATGACTGACCGATGCTAACTAAACTCTGGCGAAAGGGCAATGTAACTTAGCAAAAAGCAGCTTCCTCTTTGAGGTTGAGTCCTTGATGCGGCGAGCAATAAGAATTAATTCAATGTCACTGTCGTCAATCCTTTTGACAAGAGTGTAACACTCCTATGATTCTCTGTTGATCCCTTCTTTGGCAAACAGTAGCAAGTCTTCCGAGCTTTATGTTATGTAAATAGATATCTAGAAGAAAACCTCGATTCCTTGTTGATTCGACGTTATCTACGCTCGCGATTCCTCCTAACACACCATCTGGCTGGATGGACGCTTGTAACAGATATATAAATGCTGCAAAGGGGAGATTTGATTGCCCAGTGATGATCATACATGAGAACTAGACCTGCGATACGTCAGTGCAATACCTCTTTTCATTAACATTCTCTCCTTTTCTGAATGGATAGCGTACGGGAATGTGTATGATTCCACCTGGAGTAGTCGAAGAAAACAACATACAATAAATGAGGGGGCGAAGGTATATATATTTGGCAGTTCAAGGTCAAATATTTTTTTTCTCGTCCAGAGAGTTACAATAAATTCCACAGTTGGTGCCCTTCATAAGGGTTGCAGAAAAAAACCAATTTCTCCAAAGAAGAGGTTACGTCCTACGCCAAGTCCTCTTTCTGCAGTGAATGTTGTTTAATGTATTGAGAAATGAAAGGGATGGAGGGATAAGAAGGCGATGGACGAGTTTCGAACTTTGATGACCTTCCAACGTTGGGGAAGGTTTCTTGGGGTGCCTTCACATGAATTTGCCTTGGCTATTCAGCAATGAGTGATTTAAAATTGATGTTTGAGCGGCCTACCTATTTTTATCGATTTGCAGTCTCGGCAATGAACCATTTTCATCCACCTGCTTTCCCCGTCTCGGCTGGAGCCTGTTTGGATTGTCCCAAGTGGAACTTTAGCCCATTGCCTGAATCCTCAAGTGGAATGACATTATAAGTACGAGCAAAAGTACTGACATAGAGCTAAAAGCTCGGTACTTTAGTTGGAAGTAGTGCCACCCAATCATTTGAATCACAAATAAATGGATATAACGCGTTATCTGTGCATGAGATTAGAGTCTAAGGCCATCCTACGGGCTTCTTAATGTAACGGCCGTTGTGTTCCACTCGTAGGGGTGTAGAACTACATTATTTTCTGTAACACATATAATATGGACTGAGGTCGAGTTTGGTATCCAAACAAGCTCCCTATAGTTTCTGCCTATGACTATGGTCTGAACCCACCATGATTGCTCGTACAACTCTCGTTATTTCTTCATTCTTGGTGCTTGCAGCACAAGCGAAAATTATAAATTACCCCCGCCCATCGATCTACTCTGAATCTAAAGTCTTTAGTTTGTTAGCCAACGGCACTGAGATAAACACAATCGACTATGCTGGGTACGACTATGCCCATCTGGCCATGGATGCCGGACATGCGACAACCTTCAGTCTCACAGCTACCGGCGAGAAGGAGATCAACGACCTCATCATATCCCCCCGCGCCCTGAAAGTCAATGCCAAAACAGCTGGTAATAAGCTCAAATTCTCTATTAGCAAGCCGCAATACCTCATCATCAAAGTCAACAAGGTCAAGGAAATGGTTATTTTAGTGGACTACATTGAAAAAGACCCTCCCAAACCCAAAGCATGTGGAATATTCAATGTGCTCAATTACAAGGCCGACAACACAGGCAAGACTATCACTGAGGGTATTCAGACTGCTATGGATGCTGCTGCTAAGCGACCAGGCAGTACAGTGTATGTCCCGCCCGGGGTCTATCAGATCGGCAACCTGGTGCTTAGGAACCACACTTCTCTCTACCTAGCAGCTGGGTCCGTCTTGCGCTTTACAGGAAACATCGCAGACTATGACCTGATTTTCTCGAAACCCTTCACTGGGGTAGGTCGGGTCGATGGTACATGGTGGCTGCAGACTGAGTTTTATTCGACCGATATCAAGATCTTCGGACGTGGGACTATTGATGGAAACGGATACAGCAGCAGACAGAACAAATCTATGGCCCATCTCGTTGTGCCAGTAGGCACGAGGAATTTTAGGTACGATGGGCCCTTGATTCGAGACGGATCGTTCTGGACGGTAGTTCCAACTCAGTCCGAGGATGCATACCTCACCAATCTCAAGGTCCTTAACCGGAAGGATGTCACCCAAAATGATGGGGTTGATGTCGTTGAGTCAAAGAGGATCACCGTCAAACGCTCCATTGCCATTGGTAACGACGATAGTTATTCAGCAAAAACTTGGGAAGCCGACAATGAGGTTGCACTCCATTATCCGTACAAGCCTCTGCCCAACCAAGACATTGTCTTCGACGACTGCTTGGCGTGGACAAACTGCTACGGATATAAAATCGGACAGGGCGTTGTGGAAAATCAAGACAACGTGACATTCAAAAACAGTGTTGTGTACAATGCTGGCGTTGGGATAGGAATCCATCATCTTTATGGTTGGGCGACAGCGAGCCGTATCACATTTGACAATATCGACGTCGAGGATCAGCATGGTAACAGTGGAGGCGTGGCCTCGTGGATCGCACTGTTCATCAATGGTACAGCTAAAAGAGGAGTAGGACCTGTTACAGACGTTGTTGTTAAGAATATCCATGCTCGTAAACAGGGCAGCCGTGAAGGTTACGCCCAGGGATTCAACAGCTCAATCAAGTTGAGCGGCGTGAGATTTTCCGATATCTTCATGTACGCCAACAAAACTCCCGCTACGAGCCTAAAGGAAATGAACATTCTTCGGACAGAATATTGTGAGGGAGTCAAAATCGCAAACACGAAAGACCAAGCGTAGAGTTGGCTGGGCTAAAGGCAACAACATTCGTTTTCTTCTATTTGTAAACCTAGCTTCTTCTTTACAGTATGTATGTATTTACCGATGTCTAAGTGACATTTAAGTACTGCGCTTTGGAATCAGCCCAGCCTGTTTCATATCATTTAATTGCTGCTCCATGAAATGTAATGCTCATGGATATACTATATTAGTGGCACAACGCGTCACGAGACTGGAGTGAGAGAGGACCTGGAGCAGTGGAAAACAAGCCTCTTGCAGTGGATGCAACCACGCAATACCTAAAAGTTAGACAGTACGGGCTGGTACAATTCGGGGACGCCTAAAAGTTTTTAGCGGGAAAATAAGATAGAAGGGAAGAAATACGCGGGCGTTTGGAGAGTCGTCAATTGGCGGCAAAATTACTACGCTCGGTCCGGCCGGCATGCATAAATGACATTGGTATACACAATATTCGAAATGACCCTCTGTCTCTCGGCTCTGACGGCACACGATACAGCCTCTTAGGCCAATTCTTTTATGACTGAAATTCTGACTTAGAAACACTCAAAAGGGTATATGGAACGAATTACTCCATTCATAGCAAAAGAGCCCTGTGTTGCTTCGGAATCCGGCTGTTCGGCATATATTTCAATTGATCTCTCCAACAAATGAGTTAGGTTACAACTTTGAAGGATTAGATTGAACGGAAATCGTATTAGTCTACAGTTGAAAGAAAAACTATATATAGCCAGTAAAGGACTTCAATCCTAACATCTCAGCACAAACAAGGCCTTTTCTCTACATTCCAATAGTCACAATGGCCGGATTTGCTGCTATTTACCTACTCGCCGTTGCGGCCACTGGCATTATCGCCAGCCCAGCGCCTCCAACTGTTACCCAGGCCCCTAACCTTGAAGAGCGAGCGACAACTTGCACCTTCTCTGGATCCTCCGGGGCAGCTAGCGCAAGCAAGTCGCAGGCCTCCTGTGCCACTATTGTGCTCTCTAATGTCGCTGTTCCGTCTGGGACAACTCTTGATCTAAGCAACTTGAACGATGGTACACATGTAGGTATCTGTAGCAACCAAATATTTCAGCCTTTCAACTAACACCTGGAATTATCAGGTCATTTTTCAGGGCACTACAACTTGGGGCTACTCCGAATGGTCTGGTCCTCTATTGCAGATTCAGGGAAACAGCATCACTGTGGAAGGGGCCTCTGGCGCAGTTCTTAATCCCGATGGAGCTCGCTGGTGGGATGGAAAGGGTGGCAGCGGTGGCAAGACAAAGCCGAAGTTCTTCGCCGCACACAAACTCACCAACTCTGCCATCAACAACATTCACATTACCAATACTCCTGTCCAGGCACTCAGCATTAACGGTGTGAATGGCCTGACTATCGCCAACATGATAATAGACAATGCGGCTGGTGACAGTGGCGGCGGTAAGAACACGGACGCGTTTGATATCGGGGATAGTACTGGGGTTACCATCACTGGCGCTCAGGTTCACAACCAAGATGATTGCGTGGCAGTCAACTCTGGAAGCGTGAGTAATGACCGTCAAATGCTTCAAAAAAAAATTCCGGACCATTCCTAACATTACGACTCTTTAGAATATCATCTTTTCAGGCGGCCTCTGTTCCGGTGGACACGGCCTGTCAATTGGCAGCGTTGGTGGTCGTACTAACAATGTGGTTTCCAATGTTACCTTCAAAGATAGCACCGTTCAAAATTCCGTCCAAGGTAAAATACAGCGTACCGAAGCGGCTTTTTGGCTCTGATCTTGAACTGACCTGTGAATAGCTATCCGTGTTAAGACTGTCGCCGGCACAACAGGTTCTGTGACTGGTGTCACATACTCGGGGCTCACGTTGAAAAACATCACGAAGTAAGTTACACCGCCCTATAAAGTCCCAATTGCCACTCTCTTGGGAAAAAAAAGAATGATATTCATGTGGATCTTAGGTATGGTGTTCTTATCGAGCAGAATTACAACGGAGGAGATCTCAAAGGCGATCCGACAACCGGCGTGCCCATTACTGGTCTGACAGTCGAGAACATCACTGGAGGGGGAGGTGTTGCTTCTGGAGGATACAATGTCGTCGTGGTCTGTGGTAGTGGCTCTTGCTCCGGCTGGACTTGGTCTAATGTTGTGATTACTGGAGGCACCAAGGTCTACAGCTGTCAGAATAGCCCCGTCCAGTGCTCTTAGAGAACAAGGGCATATTCTCATTCGCGCTCGACCTTGAACTGGTAAATTAGTTGAATTAATGGAGAGCCGAATAATGAAATGCTGATGATGCACGGGCAAGCATTCACAAGAGGCATGGATGAGTTTTGTTTATGATAGAGGCAAATCTCAAGCAGTGTTCAATTCCGAATTGCCCGGCTAGAATGCTTTCTCTCGCATATGGTTGAGGCCACCTAGGGCGTTATCAACAGTATTTGCATGCAGTGTCAGGGCAGTAGCCATGACTACAAGCGAAGCTGCACAGCCCTTTGTATCCATCGCCTAGGCCATCCGCAGGACATCCGTTCCTTCCGTCTCCCGAAGGAGGGTTTCCAGGTGTTCCATTTGAAGTGCACTTGCACGGACCGGGAGGGCAATATCCGTAGCTACAGGCAAAGCTACACAGACCAGAATAGTTGCCCGACTCACCATCAGCATTGGTGCCGCCATTGCAGGGTTCTGTTATACGTATTAACTCGCTGATTCGTCTTTTAAAAGGTAGATTACGAGATATAGACTTACGATTTGAGCCTGTGCTTGTAGGTGCGGGTACTGATGAGGTCTGGGATGGAACTGAGCCGCCCGTGGACGTAGGACTGGCTGTGGTGGATGGAGGTGGAGAGCTTCCCGTACTCGAAGGGGGCGAAGAGCCTCCTGTGGTTGAAATCGGGGGGTTTGTACCAAGAGACGGTTTGGCTTCGCAGGTAGAGACGTGAAGGCCTATGGTGAGAGAAGCTAGACCATCAGGCTGCAGAGGATCACTCTCACCAGGAGGAACAGTTCCCACATAGGGGTTAAAGTTGTACAAGCCACACGGGCAGATGTTAGAGATTTCCATCAAAGACTTATCCTCAAGAACCACTTTGCCATTGCGGGACAGACTGAACGTTTGCGAACCGACAGCAGCAGGAACTTGAATCAAGTTGGCCCCGGCGGGGACCTCTTTTTCGACTGATTGACCACCAGAGTTGACGGTAAGCGTGCCGGCCTCTTTGAGCAATGTGGCAACATATACCACGTCATCCATTGTCTCCCACCCGTTAGGGCGACCCATGAAGTAGTTACCACTATCATTGTTGGCTGGCCTACCAGCAGTAGTATCGGTAGCATCGCAATCTAGACCTTTCAAGGTTCGGCGATACCAGTAGACGATTTGATCACCGGTGATATACTTGTCCACGGTCTTCTCCTTTGCTTTATAGGCGGCGATAAAGGGCTTAGAAAGCTCTAGCCATCCATTGTGTGGTCTGGGTGAAGAATTAGTTTGGTGGCGGACTTTACCTGGGGATAGTCCAGCTTACAGATCGTTGGTCCACTTGGAGTTGCCATCATCATAATGCGGCGAACTGAGAGGACCGAAGTGATGAGACTCGCCGTAGTCGTTCCAGGTGATCATCTCGACTAGAGGAAACCCTTTGTCCAGAATTTGATTCCAGCGATCAAAAATCAAGGCACCACCTGGAAAGACCCAATTTTTGCTGAAGGAGACTTCCTGCATTTCGATTTTTAGCGATTGACTGGACTTGTATGATGGTGAGACTTACCGGTCCAAAATGAGTGAAGAACCAGGGAGAAATAGCTGCTACTTGTTACTTGTGTTGTCCAACTTTATCGGCAATAGTACTTACGAGCCATGTAAGGCTTGGTGCCAAGCCAGCTGAGATACTTATTGTCACCATCTTCAACGCTAATTGAGCTTCCAGGCTTTGGGGCTTTGTTGTTCCCATCATTAGGCCATGCCTGGAATTTTGTATTAGTTTAATGCTGTTAGCTTATGTGGATAGAGGGAGACATACCATCCAGTTGAAGCCTCCATCAATGCTATTAGGATTGGCTGTTTGTTCGGGGTGGAAATTGGGAACAAAAAACACGTCAACGCCGGCAGCATTCTTCATAGCAGCGACATCAAGTCCATCTCCACCAAAGGAGGATGCAAAGACTCGATTGTCTACTTTTAGCTGAGCTGGCTGATTTGCGTATTTGGCAATTTTCTGGCCGACAGTAGCAGCTTCTCCAGTTTTGAACCAGTTGAAATCAAAGGAGATGAAGACCTTCATGTCATTGTCAGCTGCTGACTTGTAGGCCAGGTCTAACTGCGCGTCTGTATATCCGTCCACTCCAATATTGAGGGCAAACGCATCAATACCTGCAGCCTTTGCACGGCGCATATCATCATCATATTGCGAAGCGCTGTTGCGGTTCCCAACGATGCCAATCTAGAGCATGGAGCAGTTAGCTGGTGATTTCTAAGACTTGTGAATGGTCTACTGATGGAGAATCCAACCATAAAATGGCAAAAAACCAGTCGATCTGCAGCTGCAGCACGCTTCTCAAGGGACACCTGCTCTGCAGCATGTGCAATGGCAGCGCCATGAACAAAGTTCGCTGTGGCAAGAAGCCCCAGGAACGCAGTCTTGAACAACATTGTGACGAATTCAGCCCAGAGTTTTTCAGTATTGCGAGTATCTGATCTGACTTTTTTTGGGGTTGTCACTGGCAAGTCAAACTAGCTGGTATCAATGAAAGGTTCGCTCTCATTTATATCATCAACCGATCTAAGCAGCACGTGCATATTGCCATGTAAACCCGCCGACAAAAGACACCCAATCCCTTGAGATGCATCCCTGCAGTCTCGGCCCGAAAGAAAACTGATTTTCTATGCAACTACCGAGCCGCCAAGCCGCATTTATTAGGGATCCCTTCCAATGCTATTGCCACCTGCAGATTCCGCTCAGAGGGCGCTAGTCGATAGGCCATAACGTACCGGGTTTTGGCAAATCGTCAGACTTGAAACGCGGGGTCAGATGGGACGGATGGTGGATCAGGTGATGGGATAGCCCTGCTTCTGGTCATTGCTTGTGTTCGTTCCTTGGCCAATGAATGCCCTGCTCAACACCCCCTCCTTCTGTAAAGGTATATACAAATGAGGCCTCTTGGCAGCAATTGAACACCCGGACTGGGAACTCCATTCAATTCTAAACATTGTCTAGAGCTGAACCTCAAGTCCTCGTCAAAGGTAGTCTCCCTGCAGACCGACGGTTATCACAAGGGCATTATCGAAACACACGTTGCAACCTGCAGTGTGTCAGATGGCTTACATTCCTCCTCTCTTTATGCGTGTTATGCGTATGCAACGGTTACCTTTTCAGTATAGGCATCTGATTTTTAGCGCTCTGCCTTCGAGGGACGGAAACAGGAGCTCGTAGTCATCGGTTACGGAAGGTGTTGAAACCCGAACCCCATCAGACTAAGAGATGACTACAAATCAGAAACCACGTTAGGCCACCCTGCCGCACAAGGTGGCTTAACTTGGGAGGATTTCACTTTGCCATGCGACCAAGGGTGGTCTGCTTCTTGCCGTACTATTCGGACCTTCAATTCAGTCAGGGTATGATCCAGCTCTGCCACCACGATTATTTTACGATCTGTCGCCCTAAATGGAGCGCTGCGTCCTTGATGGGGAAGGTCGTATTCCCAACAGGCCTGCACACTACGTGGTGCCGCTACCGGTGATTGCAGCTTTTCTATTGCCCGAAGCCGTTGTAACAGTCCCAGGGCAGTTCCCAATATAGGAACAATATCCTCTTCCGCTTACTTACCTTTATGTTCGCAGAACATTCAGATACCGGACATGACACATTCTTGGAGCCAGCCGCTGTTCGCGGATCTTTTCCTGGGTTGGATAGAGGAGACTAACCAATGCCGCCAGGGTAGTCATACATCGTCAGTTATCGTGACTGCTGGAGATGCCAAAATTGGCAATAAAGTCGTCTAAGCGGCATATTTGAGGGCAAGCCACTCGTCACTTTCGTCACCGAATACTACGTATCATGCTTCTCAAAACTCTGGTCATCCTAGAGGAACATTTCAGCAATCTTGTGCTCCTCAATCAAGGCAATGTGTCAAACACTCGACGATCATTAAAGTCGGTGATATCAAGACTGCATACCTATGTTAAAGTGCATCTTGCGAATGCATTTACTTACAATCACACATATGGAAATTGTTAATCCCGAATATTTTTGTTGATCAGAAATTGATACGCGCTAAGAATGAGAGCGGTAAACTCAAGAAACCCGGATCCTAACCAGCCTTCTACCCGGCCCACGCAGCCTATCACCTCTGATGCAGTTATTGTCGCGAGTGTGAGCTTAGGTTTCGCCTAAACTTTATCGTTCCTGCCTTGACTCATTATGATTCGCACAGCCTCTTGACAGTCCTAGTTTCATCCTAACCTCAAGTTCTAGGTTACAAAGCTAGATATGGCAACCAACAATGCCCGAGAGTCTAATATCCACGTAATTATCTTCAGAAGTAGATCAGGGCTACATACAATGGTCGAATGGAAGTCCCATAAATAACGCAGAGGGAAAATAAGCACTTTCTACTGAATGCGGGGACATGAAAATAGTTCGCCACCTTTTATGGTACAAGATGTTATTCTCTCGCTGTTTCCTTCTCGGGTCGTCCTCGTTACTACTAGCTAGCATATCGATATCGCAATAACAGCCACTGAAACTGCCTCCTTAGCGAGAGCTAAATGGTCTGATAGCTCAAACTGACAATTTGAAACGAAAGCTCATTTCACCATGGTTCATGTTTTCCTTACCTTACCTCTCCTCTTTCGTAGGTCTAGAAGGGTTATGTCACTTGTAGCTTTCTCCTCCACGAAGACAGAACGTCCGAGTTCACATCCGTTTGGGTCGACCTGCGAAGGCTGGCATCTTCGTGGTCTCAAACATGAGGACAGCAAGAGACCTTTTTCTCAAGATATAGCTGATCTCGGTATAATAATATGGAGCTTGGTTACTCACCCTCAAGTCTGAGCCAAGTGTATTTGGGTTAGGTACAATTGTTGGGCATGAGGGGGGAGGCATTGCTGTGGAGGGAAATCCCAAGCGGACTCCACAACTCCACAACATGCACAGCTGACTCGTTGCAGTTGCCGACCACACATGTGGACAGTGCCAGTTGGCTCACCGGTGAATTGATTTTGAGTTTTGAGAGAAAGTCCGGGAGAATTCGCCAATGGCTTCCTCCCATCCTCTTGTTGCGCTTCCGCCTGCTCTTTTCATCCGCATGCACACGTATCGAGTCGCTTCCAATTCCCCCTGTCGCATCCTATCATATGCTCTCTCGATGCCCCCGAGATAATACAAAATCTGTTGATATTTTTCAGCTCAGGTGATCTGTTGCAGGAATGCGAGCTGCAAAATGATCATATCCTGCTAGGGGCCATCTTCTCCCAAATTTGAGGATATGAAGCACCGAGAACAGCTTTAGCCTTCTCTTACCAAACATAAATTGGACATTATTTATCTTTTCTACTACATTGTTACATATTGCTTTGCACTTTTCTTCTCTTCGTCAGTCACATTTCTTCGCCATGGCCCCAGCAGTAGTCGCCGACGTCGACGTTCTCCCAAACGACCCGGCCCCCAAGGCAGCACCTACATCAGGTTCCAGAACAACCACCACGCCTGCCCTTTTTTCCCTTGCAAGTAAGACTGTTGCCATCACCGGTGGTGGGCGTGGTCTGGGCCTCACCCTCGCGCTCGCGGTAGTCGAGGCCGGTGGCAGCGTGGCATGCCTCGACATTCTCGACTCCCCAGCCGCCAGCGAGTGGGCGAGTCTCCAGAAACTTGCTATTGCCAGCAGCCTCCACGTTACATACCACAAATGCGATGTGACCAACGAACAAGAGATCGCTGAGGTGATCGAGGCCGTCGCCGCTGCTGGGGACGCGTGGGGCTCGGTCTTTTGGGGTTGCATCGCCTGCGCAGGCATCCAGCAGCAGCTTCCCGCTTTGGAATACCCTGCTGCCGATTTTGACAGGATCCTGCGTGTCAACGTGACCGGAGTGTTCAACACCTGCAAGTACACCGCCAGGGTGCTCAAGGAGAGTCGCCGGCCAGGCAGTATCGTCATTATTTCCAGCATGTCTGGTAATATTGCAAACCGAGTAAGTGCATAACGAGCATGGTCATCACATCTGGGATATATATCTCTCTAACAATTATTATCACATCGTGTAGGGTCTCAGCTGCACTGCATACAACTCAAGCAAGGCTGCGGTACAGCAGTTGTGCCGCTCTGTTGCTCAGGAATGGGGCCAATACGGCATCCGTGTAAACACCTTGTCTCCTGGTGTAAGTCGACTCTAATCTATGTTGCACCAAAATCCGCTGAATGGTTATGATTTACTAACGATTCCCATCGGCAGTATATTCGGACGGCGATGACGGATCAACTCCTCCTTGAAAATCCCGAGGTGGAAAAGACATGGATGGCTGGAGCGCTTCTTGGCCGACTGGGTGTTCCCGAGGACTTCAAGGCGCCCGCTGTATTTCTTCTCTCAGAGGGTGCCTCATTTGTGCATGGCGCGGACCTGAGGGTTGACGGAGGACACTGTGCCTCCGCATGATGTACTAATTTATATACAAACACGATATTAAAAGACTCAAAATTTGAGATTGAATAACGAATCTTTTCCACCGCTGATGCCTGTCTCCGCTACTTCTCACTAAGGGACTATGATTAGGTACGATGTAGTAAATTAAAAAATTTGGGCTGTTACTGTGTTTCCGACCAGCGAGTCACGGAGGCGTCAAAGAGTAAGCAGTGGAATTAACAGGCTCTATCATCTAGACCATTCAGGGATTCTAGATCCGGTACCTATTGTAACACGAATAATGAGTAGTCTACTCATCGGTAATGACCAGGCTATTTATAGCCATGTCCCCCAAACCCATCACCCCATGGAGATTATGAGACCGTTTTCTCTCCGACGTTCTCAAGCCTACCAGTCTCACCGGCAGCGTCCTCCTTCTCCCGAATCTCCAGCTCTCCAGGAGCACCCATGCTATTGTCCCACTTGAGGAGAACCTTGGGTCCAGTAAACAGCTTGTCAATCTGCTCCAGACTGAGCCACTGCGTCTCAGGGTAGAGGAAGTAGATCATGGGGATGAAGCAGAAGTTGAAGACAGCAAAGTAAATGTATGTGCGCCATCCAATGCTATCAATCGATACCGGCGTGATCTCAACGACAAGAAAGGTAAAAATCCAGTTAGACGCAGTGGCCAATGCCGCTGCCCGTGTACGGATAGCGAGGGGCGCGTACTCAGCAGGCACTAAAAATGTTAAATGAGTTCTCATACGGGTGTGTCAGGGGTAGGGAGGGATAAGGGAACTTACAGAGCCAGGGAATAGCGAGGAGTCCGACAGCGAAGAAGAAGTTGAATAGAAATAGCATGATCACAGCAACGATACCTGCAGCCTTGCTACCATCTGAGACTGTGCCAGCCAGGATCGCCATGCATGCACATTGGCCCGCAGCCGCGAAAAGCATCAGCTTTCGTCGACCAAGGCGGTCAATAACCCAGATGGGGATGAGTGATGAGAAGAAATATGCAATCCCATTAAACCCAGCCAGCAGAAGGGACAGGTTGTGAGACATGCCCACAGATTTTTGGAATATCACAGGAGCATACTATTAGAGTCGAGGAGCTGATTAGAAAGGCGTCGTCCAAGTGGTGAGACGAGAGATAATTGACGAGGATAGTGTACTTACGTATGTGATGAGGTTGATACCAGAAAGCTGTTGACAGAATTGGCCTCCAATGCCCAACATGGTGCGGTACAAGAACCTTTGCTCGCCATTCTTGAACATAGCTTTAAAACTGCCGGTGCTGGCGGCCTCTCGCTCCTCTCTGACGGTCTCCTGAATCTCGGACAACATGCGGTTCACGATAGGATCCTCCTCGGTACGCTGCTTGGCGTCGTCTTGTACTGCCCAAAGAATGTGCCTAGCCTCTTCGAAACGGTCGTGGGCGATGAGCCATCGTGGCGACTCTGGAAGGACAAGAATACCGAAGAAAGTGAGGATAGCGAAGAATATTTGGAAGGCCAGAGGGAATCGGAACTGAGAGTCGTTCATGACAAATGACATGCCGTAATCGACCCAGTACGATAGAGCCACGCCGAAAATGTTGACGGCGAGCTCGATCGCAAGACCTTTACCACGGTTCTTAGGCTTAGAAAGCTCGGAATGCCACACGGCTATATTCGCCCAACATATAAGTCCCCTGCTTGTTGCTCGGCGGCCCATGGCCTATTATATATGAGAATCGAAAGAGCCAACTTACGGATCGTAGATGTATTCATGCCATTCCCAAGGCCAGCGACAATGCGGCCGACAATCATATGGGGGATCGAAAACGCAGTCGCTTGAAGAGTCGCCCCTATGGCCAACACGATGCAGCCAAGCATGATGGACCAGCGTCGCCCCAGCCTCTCCCCGGCCACGAGGCAGAATAAGGCGCCAAAAAAGCAGCCAATCTCGTAAATGGCGACGACGGTGCCCTGCAGCGAGGCGCTACCACCGTTGTCCGTGTCGATCTCGGGGAAGGTCGAGGTGAAGGCTTGGCCCGTCAACAAGCCGGACATGACGCCCTGGTCGTAGCCAAACAGGAGGAATCCCGAGCCGGCAGTGGCTGTAATAGCCCAATTGAGTGCTCGACCAACAAGAATGGTCATCTTGGCATGTGTGGCTTATTCAAAGAGTCCCCTAAAGTGACGACAGGTATCAGAGGCAATTGCACAGTCCCACGCGCTGTAGTTGTCATAGACACGCCTACGTGGTTGCCAAATGATTTTGGGAAGAATGAGATAATTTAGCATTATATGCTCGGAAGAGGCAGGGCAAAGTAAGATAAGCACAGTAGCGGTATATATATACCCGGAAGAGACTCTAACGAGGTTCAGTTGATCGCCATGGTTCCTCACAGGCCTACCATGTTCTTACCCAAGAATGCGGCCATTTTCGTTGCCAAAGTGCGTCATTCGGAACTCTACGGCCGAAAGGCTGAGGTTCAGAATGTCATGACTAGGATCAGTGTCCCCATCCATTGCTACATAACCCTACCCCAGGAACACGGGGACTCCACCTGGGGAACGCCAGGCTCTTCGGAAAGGCTTCAGTGCAAGGTTATATGGTTTCGTGATGAATGGACTGGGCGGTGTGGAGGCATGTGGAAGCGCAAACTAAGCCATAACCTCGGAAATTTATGCGAAACAAAAGCGGCATTTCTGGGAAAGGCAGTCGGATGCGGTGGTCAAAACAGCCAAGTGGAGTCCAGGGGTCTTTCCACCAACCAAATTGAAATGTCTCATATCTGTCGGTGGGTCTTTGGCGGCGCTTGGAACTGCCTTCAGCTTGTCATGTTGATCTGGTGGACGCATACGTGCATGTAGCAAGGTCAATTGAAGCCTAGAAGTGTTGTTCCAGAAGTAGAAGAAGTATGTAGCGACCAAGAGCTCAGATAAACGTAGGAAGTTGACTCTAATGGCATTCTTGAGAAGTTGGAGGTGATTAGTCTTGTCCATGACTTTAAGACTTTAATATGAAAGCCGCTGTCTCGAAATATGAGCGCCCAGTCAAAGTTACGCCTATAAATGAGTTGAAATAAGCGGCTATAAACAAACTTAAGTCGAGTTTCAGAAACCACAATTTCCCTACCTGCCTCTTGTATGTGTTCCTCGCCCCGAACGAGTTCCCTCTGTAATAAAAGCAAGTTGGCTCTAGGGTAGGTGATTCCCCAGACTTGGATTGTAAAGTAGCAAAACGTAAAACTTGGGGAAATGCACCCCACAAATTTCTCTCCCACGCAACAAACATTCATCACGTCCGCTTCCACCTGCCTCAAATTGCCATGCAGCCCGCCTTGGTAGCCATCCATAAACCACAAACAAAACACACGAGGACGCGTACAGGGTGTCTGAATTGTCGTCGGAAGAAGCGCAAATGTGATGAGCGCCGCCCGGCTTGTGGTACCTGCCGCCGGAGGCAGGAGAAGTGTCTCTGGGGAGTCCAACTCAAATTCCTTACCGAAAATGCTAAGGGTATCAGCGATGAGCATCCTAGCATGCGGAGGCTGAAGGGCAAGAGGCAGAACAATTGCTTTGAAATACTGGATGTCACCGAGGATGTTATTCGCGATTACGACCCAGGCTCGCCGCCAATGATGGATGATGACTTCAACTGCGGCGACGACGACGACGACGGCTTTATGGGCGTTAGCTGTCCTGGAGACCGGGGCAGCACCGGATGTTCCCATACGCGAAAAGCAGATAGGACGTCCTTGATGGATGAAGATGCAAACATTTCATCCTCTGTGGAAAGCACGCTCCTTGGAGGTTATCCCGGATGGGTAGACACCTCGTCGCCCTCATCGCTCAGGCAGACCGAAAGCGCTGTGGCAAACCTAATCTATCTCAGCCAGGGTGGCTCTAGGACTGATCCAAGGTGTGATGAGCAGTCGAATTTTGCCTCTTCTTCCTTCGGACTTTGGCCACTTGACATGAGCGAGTACTCCGATTTGCAGCTGGACGACGATGGCATCTTCCTGCCGGGCACCGCGTACCACGAACTTCATTCAACACTAAGAAGCCATCTGATCCAAGAAGTGAAGTCCAATGATCCAACTCGCCCACCTAGTCCGCTTCCAGGGTTGGAAGAGCTGGATACTATTAGTGAGGAAGTAGATGATATTGTCGACGACCTGAGCACAGCTGAACAAACGCTGATATCTAAAGATCGAATTCTAAGCAAAGAAGAGGAGGTTCTTTTGTGGAGAAATTGGTTTGATGAGATTGCCCCTTGGCTTGACAAGTTCGATAATGACCAGCATTTCAAACATGTCATCCCCACTATGGCGCCCTCCAACTCCTTCCTACAGTACTCTGTTCTCGCTCTTTCAGCACGACAGATCGAATTGAAAGAAACGACCTTGCCTCACGATCGAAGTTTGCTACTGTACCAGCAGGCTATTCATCTACTGCTCCCTCATCTACCATCTCGAACCACAGCCGTCATCGCTAGCTGCGTTATCCTCTGTGTTCTTGAAATGGTTTCCTGCTCGCCCAAAGCATGGAGGCGCCATTTGGATGGATGTGCTTGTCTTTTATCGGCCGTCGGCATCAGTGGGTTTTCTAGTGGCGTGGAAGGCGCGTTATTTTGGTGTTTTGCACGCATGGACGTCTGTGGTGGTCTGATATCGTCTGTGAAGACCCTCATCCCAATCTCCCAATGGGCACCTGGGTCGGGTGTTGACGATGATGTAGCGCTCTTCAAGACAAAGGCGAAAGATTTTCATCATTGGGCCAATTTCGCTGTGTATCTTGTCGCCTTGGTTTTAGACTTTCTGGAGACCACGGCGTTGGATGCTGAAGGGAGGCTTGAATCGTGGATGAAACTCTGGGGATACATTGCCGAATGGCACGACTTGCGGCCTGCGGCTTTACATTCGATCATCACTCTGCCCTCGAGCGAGGAGTCACCCTTCCCGACAGTACTTTTCTCGAATCCAGCAGCGATATCTGGAAACCAACTCTACCACACCGCCTCACTTCTAATGCTGCAGAATAAGCCCGCAGGATTACGTCTTTCGTCGTTGGGAACCTCTTCGGGTTCTGTCACGACAGGCGCTGCTGCAAGATGCTTGACAAAGGCTCGTAGCATTCTCTGGCACGCGAGACAAGTCTGCGGGATCAGCATTTCCAACGACCACCACGGCGCGTGGACGAATGCCTTGCAGCCGATATGGATTGCAGGCCGCTGCATGAGCCATCCCGCGGAGCACAAGGCTATCCTGGAGCTACTGGATAAGATCGAGCGCGAATCGGGGTGGAGCACGAGATGGAGAGCGGACGACTTGAGAGAATTCTGGGGGGATTTGGGAGAATAACAACCTCCGTGTACGAAATCCATCCCTATCTAACTTGAGACTATATAATTCATCTTGTAAAAGACATCGTATTTGATTAGGCTACCAATTTCAGTTAGCTCGGGCAGAGATGCAGGAGAAAAGGGTGGCCCAATGGCGAATGTGCTCAAGTCACCTGGCTCTTGTGCAGGCTACATAACCAAATGCTGCGTAGAGTGGAAATAGCTATTTTGTTCGTTGTAATAGAGATTCAATACCCGTAAGAGAAGAGAACCAGATTCAGCGGCTTCAAACAGAAGAGAGTAAACACTATAGCTGTCATTGACTAAGCAGTTAGATACCTTGATATATATACATTTATTTCAACATGGAGATCTCGGCGTCCATATACTCTCACCCATACTATTTAAACCTGTCTTATCTCTACTTTGCTTGTCATTTACTTAGCCATAAAAGTTAGGATTCACACAGGTGGTTTCTATTTCAACATCTAGCTATTCTTGTGGTTCTCCCCTGTGAGGGCTCCGGATGGTCTGTCCGCCAGGGCCTTTTCGACCTCCTTGCTCACGTTGTATCCATATAGCCAAGGCTGGACTTCTGGGCAAGTCCACCGGCTTGGAAACGGCGCTTTTAGGTCTTTTCCCAACTGCGATAAAAATAACTCGTCGCGGGCTTCCTGTTCAGGCCCGTTTTGCATATGGAATGCATCACGCTGTGGCCGGTTAGATAAAGGACGGACTCAAGCGGGGGAGGAAAACCTGCCTGCTTGAAGGTTTCCCGAACGATGGCATCACCGCGATTCTTCCGAAGCTGTTCGTAAAGCTTCAAAGCTTGTGGAAGTTGTTCTTTAGCTTCGATTCTCCAGAGGAGTGACCCAAGAGCTGCGCCGTCTTCTATTGCAGAATTTGCCCCTTGAGCGAGATATGGCAGCATGGGATGACACGAGTCCCCTCTGCATCTTGTTAGAAAGCCCGATCGCTTTTTCTCAATGACGGGTTCTTTCAACTTACACGAAGACGAGATTTGATTTATCGTTTACCCAATGCTCAAGTTCGTGCCCTGTGTTTAGTCTGTCAGGCAGGTGACTTGATACAGTCAGGCAAATGAACTTACTATGCATCAATTTCCATTTATCCACGTGTTTCACCAAGTCGAGGAACCTCCCTAGAATAGGATCCCATTCTTTGAACAGTGCCTTCATCTCCTCAACTGATCCCTCTTGGCGTCTAACCCCTCCAGGGAGATCGTCAGGGACCAATAGCACGATGTTGTACAAATCTCCCGCTCGGAGTGAATATCCGACGGCGTGCGCTCCTGGTCCGATCCAGAAATGTACTGATGGCTTCGAGACCCATTCCCTCAGCTCAGGGTCACCGATCTCATTTAGGGATAACAGCACTCGATAGGCCAAGTCGCCGGTCGGCATAGGGGGTTCATCTTTATTGAGGTAACACTGTCGGCACCTCGACCACAGCCCGTCAGCGGCGACGATTAGATCTGCTTGAGCCGTCCTGCCCGACTGCGTGATGACGATGGCCTGTTCAGAGTCAATTGAATCCACCTTCTCGCCCAGGTGGAACTTGACGCCTAGCTGTTTTGCTCTCTCGTACAAGGCCAGCTGGAGGTCGACCCGGTGGAGATCCACGAATGGAGCTCCGTATCTTGAGCGCATTTTCTTGTCAAAGTCTCGCTCCATGGCGAGCACTTTGCCAGAATAGCGATGGACGGCTAGATAGGTCGGCACTGCAGCAGACTGCCATAACTTTTCTGGCAGCTGCCATTCTTGCAATATTCTGGTGGAGTTTGGTGTGACCTGCAAACCTGCGCCGACCTAAAATCCGAGTTGAGCATGGTGATGCGATCACATCGAGGCCAAGGTTCTGCTTATTGAAACTCACCTCGACAAGCTCTTTGGCTGACTCAAACACAGTAACCTGATGTCCGGACAGAGCACATGAGACTGAAGCAGCAAGCCCGCTAAGGCCAGCTCCAACTATAACAATGTCCAGGACTACAGGACTTTCAGATCCGGACTCCTCAGAGACAGATTCCTGGTATTGATCGGCAGTCATTGCGATGGTGGCTCTGAGTCGTTGGTGGTTTGTAAGCGTGATTCGTGATAGCCGCCTCTCTTTCCCGAACGAACGGCCACATTTACTTTCTTCCTCTTCTCTTTTAGTACTAATGGATTGAACATCAACTTGAACAAGGCACAGCGCCTCGGCGACGTTCCCCGCGGTCCCCATGGAGAGGCTTTCCCGGTTACGTTTGCAAGCCCGGGAACTTCCACGCAGCCCCCCTTCGGAATTGCCGCCGATCTACACCACATTCCAAGTCGTAGCGTTCCCCGGCAGTTGAAACTTGGGAGCAACCTCGCGCGAGTTCGCCCGGGAATTCCGCATCACATCACCTCCATAGAATTTGGGCTGATCCAAACCCCGCAAACCCCGGATCATATGCATTATGAAGTTGGGCTGGGATAAAATAGACCATGGTCTTCACACCCTCCTTCCTGGTCTGGTCAGTTCCACACTCGCCGCATTAAGATCATTCACTGACTGTTGGTACTAATATCTGCGGCGAAGAAAACAATTGGTTCACCCAACTCAGAAAACCATCTAACAACATGCCGCCCCCCGTCCAAATGGGCCTGGAGCCTATTGCGCCACCAAAGATTGGCGAAAAGGGCTATGTTGGATTCAACCCTCGCAAGGAGATCTTACAGGCAGGGTGGAAGAGTGGTCAGAACACACGGCCCCTGCCAACAGACATCCTAGTTGAACACGACTTCGCCGTGAAGGTGCGAGATGGCGTGACTCTTTACATGGACATATACCGACCCCCATCATCCGACCAAGGCACAAGAGTACCCGCTGTCGTGGCCTGGAGCCCCTTTGGGAAGAAGTATAATGGCATCATGAAGATGGCCGCCTTCCCCTACAACATGGGTGTCCCTGAAGAAACTTTGAGCGGGCTGGAGCGATTTGAGGGACCTGACCCTGCCGAGTATGTTCCGCGAGGCTATGCCATCGTCAATGTCGATGCTCGTGGTGCTGGTGACTCGGAGGGTTCCGTGGTCATCATGGGTTCTCAGGAAGCCGAGGATGGTTACGACGTCATCGAGGCTCTTGCGCAGCTAGAGTGGTGCACAGGGAGTGTTGGATTAGCTGGAAATTCTCATCTCGGAATCATTCAGTGGTTCATCGCTGCCTTGCAGCCCCCGCACCTAAAAGCTATTGCGCCTTGGGAAGCCCTGAGCGACCTGTACAGAGAGCAGTTTGCCCGCGGTGGCGTGTTTGACTGCGGCATGTTTGATCGCATTACACGGCAGAACATCCAGGGATATAACGGCATTGAGTCCCACAAGGAGATGTACCGCCGAAGCCCTCTCCAAGGCGCGTATTGGAAGAACAAGCGTGTCGACTTGAGCAAAGTCAAGGTCCCGACATACCTGTGCGGGTCATACTCGACGAATGTCCACACCATGGGTTCAATCCGAGGCTGGCTGCAGATTGACACCAAGGATAAATGGTTGCGCTGGGATCCGTACCAGGAATGGTTTGATCTTTGGGTGGACCAGGAGTCTCGGGACGAGCTGGCGAGCTTCTTTGACAAGTATCTCAAGGGTCTTGACAATGGCTGGGAAAAGACGCCAAGGGTTCGTATGTCGGTCCTCCGATTCGGCGACAACGAACCATACCACTACATTGTCGAGGACGACTTCCCTATTCCTCGTACCGAATATAGGGATCACTTCCTGCATGTAGATGGTACTCTGAGAGAATCTGCGGCCGAGGTCGAAGGCACCGTGTCGTATAATTCGGAAGACTCGGGAGATGCCGTGGACTTTGCTTCGTTCAATGTTACCTTCGACAAGACCACCAGGTTGGTTGGCATGCCAAAGGCCGTCTTGTACATGTCATGTCCCGACCACGACGACTTAACGGTATACGTCCTGATTCGCAAGCTAGACAAGAACGGAAACGCTATGATCAACCTCAATATCCCGTGGAAGTACGCCCCCATCAACAAAATGAGTGAGGTTGATCCCAAAGACCTTCACAACCTGCTTTTTTACAAAGGCCCGCTCGGTGTTTTGAGAGCTGCGCGTCGTCACATTGATCCCACCCAGAGCATGCATCCGCAGTACCCATTCCACACCCACGACCGGGAGGAGCAAGTCACTCCTGGTGATGTCGTGGAACTGGAGATTGGTATATGGGCAATAGGTATCGAGTTTGAAGCCGGTGAGACGCTGAGTGTGCAAGTCTCGGGTCAGTATCCTGTCTTCAAGAGTTTCCCCATGGATGACCGGTCTAAACCTGAAAATGAAAAGAATTTCGGCACGCATCGTATACACACAGGTGGAAAGTACCCAAGCCGAGTTATTCTACCCCATATCTAAAGGCACATGAAACATTTCGGAACGACCTCCCATGAGCCAAGGTTTCAGAGCTCATTTTCAACAGATTCTGTAGAGACATGTCAGGGTACACTACAAGCGTTAAAGATTGTTAGGAATACTTCAATATATATCGGTTACGCAGCTCTCAAGTATAGAACGCTAGATTCCGTAGATGAATTATGACATATCCATTGAGTAGGAGGTCGCATAACAGATAGCCGGGAATATACAAGGGTCTTAGCTCTCCGTCACCTATTGAACGGTACTAATAGCTTAATTAGGCCCAGATGAAGGAACCTTGTTTTTTCACGATCGAATATAGGCGCGGAGCCCGGCAGGGCTCTATCATGCGTGTCTATCTGGGTCCATTCAGCTGGCCATGTCAAAGCCGCAGTTGCGCAGAAGGCTCCATTCCTAATTGATGGCCAAGTCAAAATTTTTGCAGCTCCTAAAATTTCAATTGTGAAGTAACTTCAGACTGGCATTACGCGGGGTATTTGGATCAATGCAAACTATAGAGACGAAATGCTGAGAGGAATTGACGACGCAAACTTTATTGTACGATCCAACAACCAACAACCCCCACGGTGATTTAAAATATTACTCATCTCTTCTTCCCCCTCCAAGATTGAAAGATATTGATATTAAATGCGTAGCACTTCCAAAATCCATATGGGCCATGGGAGCGCTCAAGCTTTTTCAACCATCTCCACAGCCTCTTTATTTGAGCCAACTTCTATATTGTCGTTGTCCTGGTCCAGGGTCTCGTTGTGCTTCTTCTGTTTATAAACGAGCGCAGGGCCATCAAAGAGATCTGCGATAGACTCGAGTGAATGACCACGGGTTTCAGGGAAGAACAGGAAGACCACAACAGTACTGATGGCGATGGTGACGATGTAGACAATGTAGTATCGCCATCCAATGGCAGTTAGAGCAATTGGGTTGACGAAGGAATTGAACATCAAAAGCAGCGCGTTGACGAGGTAATTGGCGGCAATGGTCTTCTGTCTCGTGTGGAAAGGTACGATCTCGACGGGATAAGCTGTTGTACGGTCAGTAAGTTTCCTGGATATGTAGAAAAAGAGCCTAGAGGAAACTATGCTTACCGAATGTCAACGGGGTGATTGCCACATCGTAGTGGAAGTAGTACACAAAGATAAAGACGACAACCGTAACACCAAGAGACGGCACCCGCGTGCTGTTAAATGCCCCTGAACAAGCTGTGAGGACAATGAAGGACCAAAGCATGCCGATACATGAGAACAACAAGAGCGGTCGACGGCCAACTCGGTCAACCATCAGTGCTCCTCCGATAGCGGCGATGAAGTTGAAGATTTGGAGGATGCCATTGATCAGGGTCTGGTAGAAAGGATCGGTAACGCCGACAGTATTGAGCACGAGCGAGAGATAGTATGTCACCAGGCCAGTACCCGTCCACTGCGCGAGAATTGGCACGAAGCAGGCGACAGCGGTTCGCTTGCGATCGGCCTTCGTCTTCCACAACTGCAGCGAGATCAGAACGTGTTATCTAAAGAGAGACATTCTAAGTTACTTACCGACCGCCATCCCATGTCGGCGATTTCGGCCTCGGCTTGCAGGTGGCTGACCATCTCGTTCATCTCATAGTCGATAAGGGGGGCTGTATCATCGCCCCCGGCATGCCATCGACACACAATCGCGCGAGCCTCGTCGACTCTTCCTTTGCCGACGAGCCAGCGAGGCGACTCGGGGACAAACCAGATGGTGAAGAGTTGGATGATAGGAAAGAGTCCTTGCAACAAGGAGGGGATTCTCCAGCTCCAAGTCGACGACTGGAGTTGGAAGGAACCAAAGGTTGACCAGCTGGCCCCGATGGCACCAACATAGAATACCGTCTGATACAAGCTGCTTACCTTGCCACGGTGCGTTGGATAGGCCAGCTCGGTGATCAGCACCGGAGCTGGAACACTCCCAAACTCACTTCCGAAGCCGAGGACGAAGCGGGCCGCGATGAAGGTGGCCAGATTCGGGGCACCCCCCTGCAGTCCAGCGCCGAAAATGAGAATGAGTATACCGAAGGCGAGTGTGTATTTTCGGCCGAACTTGTCAGCAACCCATCCGGATGGGAGCGCTCCCAGGATCTACGAGAGCATGTCTTGTTAGCCTCACACGGGCAGCGCCGCCGGATAAGGGGGTGATACTGTCTTACCTTTCCGAGGGGAAACATGGCGTTGATGGTGCCGAGGAGCGCGGGAGACGGCTCGTCAAAGAAGGTCCTCCAGGTCTTCAGTGCTTGCAAACCGTTCATCATGGTTGCGTCGAAGCCCAGAGTGGAGGCCGACATAAGGATGACAAGAAGACGGAAGTTCAATCCCCGCAAATGGGGCTCGAAAATCCATGACTTCTTGCTCTCTGGCAAAGCCTCAGCCATGGCATGCCCAACCACATGGGACTTAGTCATCTTGAGAGTGCGACCCTCCGTCATCTTGCGCGGCAGCCAGGGGTTGGTGTTGAGAATGGGTTCAGTTCAAGTGATGTAGATACAAACGCCTTGTGATTTAAGACAAACTGGACTGTAGATGCGGCCCAGCTTCCTCTTTACATAGAAAGAGAATTCGGCAAGTCTCTTAGTTAGCGCCCTCCAGCCCCAGGACATGCCGGTGGTGGGAGAAGAGTGCGGGGAAAGCATGGGGAAGGCCTGGGGCAAAACATTGGAGCATGGCATGGGGTATTGCTGACAGGCCAAATGGGAGGGAGCAGGCTGTTCGAAAGGAGGGGGCGATCGAGTCAGGTGAACTGTGTTTGGAGGAGTACGGCCTCCGGGAAACTTCCGGGGATAGAAGATGTAGATCATGATTTACAGGGGCGGCGTTTCTGGAGTGCCTCCCTTGGCTAAGCCTATAATCGGAAGACTGGCGCGAACTCGGGCGCTCCCAAGGAAAACGTGGGATTTCCGGGCCAACAGACGACTCAGGGTGGCGAAATTACACTCGTCCGGATAGATCCGCCATTTTCCCATCAACAGCTACGGCTCCCTAGTAGAACTAGAGTTACAATACATGGGGTTCATATTGGTTCTATACTTGTAGCGAGCCCAAAGCTGGGAAGTCCCAGTGGATATAGGGTAGGTTTGTGAGCAAGGAGGCTGGTTAAACTCACGCATGTGTATGATTGGCTAAGCGCGGAGAGTGGCGGAACTCAGAAACGGGGGCATCAAAACTTTCCCCGACCAAGTCGGCTTCAAACGGATGGACAGATCGCTTCGGCATCTCTCTCTCACGTTCCAAGATGAGCTCGGTCATTCGTAGCCTCCGCGAGAGCCAACGTGCTCCTCTCCGCTGCACCGAGTGTGCTCGCCGGCGCGTCCGATGTAGCAAGACCATCCCCTGCGACAACTGCGTCCGAGGAAGGGTCGCCCATAAATGTACTCGTGAGGTTGTTTTAGTGCGTGGAACCCCTGTGCTGTACGTGAATCTCTGTCCCGATGCCCCTGAGTCGTGCGTTTTACCCCGCGGCTGATAGATGTCCTCCAATCTCTAGTGGTGAGGATAACAATGAAGTCGAGCAACAGGAGGCTGCGCTGCTCACAGAAAACTCCACTTTAAGAGAGCGCGTCGCCTATTTACAAGCCATCATCCAGGGTCGAGGGGGCACGAGACCCGGCTCATCCAGGAGCCAGTCGTCTCTTAGTGCAGCCGAGCAAGGAGACTTCGAAACATTCTCGACGATCCTTGAGCAATGGAACCTGGGTGGCCCCGAACAGGACGCCAGCCAGAAAGCACCTCTATTGTCAGAAACCTCCGAGGATTTTTCCCCCATCTTGAGTCTGATTCCACGGGGTGAAGACTGCAGAATCCTCGTGCGGTTCTCTCTGGAGACTCTCGGCTGGATCCACTGTGCACTGGACGCTTCTGCCTTTTCCATTGAGGCGGAGGCATTCGTGGCTTCTCTTGAGCAGGGCCAATGTGAGGGCTTGCGCAACCATGCCTGGCTTGCCATCTTTCTTGGCGTTCTCGCCGTAGGGCTTATCTTTATGGAGGGGACCGACCTGGTCGCTCAGCTGTCCGACTCATTCACCAGGCGTCATGATCTCGCCATGCTACCTCGGTTATGGTACACGGCAGTACTTCGCCAGTTGGAATTTTGTGATTTTATAGGACGACCGGGTATTCACACTGTCCAGGCTATCGCTGTTTTGAACCTTTGCAGTCGTCACCTTGGCGAGAGGCAGCGGGAGATTACCTTGACAGGAATCGCCATAAGTACGGCTCGATCCCTCAAAATGCACCTACTTGGAAACGAGTTGTCATGTCCGGAGAGGGTACGTCAAATGCCTGAGTGGCAGAGCAAAGCTGATAGAGAGTTGGGGCGCCGGTTGTGGTGGTCGCTCGTCATATGTGACTGGTCCGTTTTATTACTCCCTGAGGACATTGTGTGTTAACACTGACGTCTCTCAGGCTCGGAGCCGCGACCCATCCTCCATCTATACGAGCAGACCAATTCGACTGCGAAATTTCAGAAGGGGAGTACGATGCAGCCCAACTGCTCGGCCCAACAGCCATTGACCAGCATCTGAAGAGTGCCTCCCCTGTGTTCCATCACATGGCCATGGCCAAACTGGCGTCTGTGCTACGCAGCCATTTCGAAGAAGTCGATAAGTCGTTAGATACATTATTTGAGACGCTGATGCGGCTGGACGAGTTAGAAAGCCAGGTCCCATTTGTTATTGACGACAGCGCGGACCAACCCATTTGGGCTATCGGACAGCGCTGTCACTTCTATTTTACTCTGAATCACTTGAGACTCAAACTCTGTCGAGTATTATTCCGTCCCGATGTGAAGAGCTTTGATCGTTACGACAACATCCGCAAGTGCGCACTCTCAGCAGCCATCGCCATTTCCGATATGACGGATTTCCCTTACGTTTACAAAAAGACTTGGTACGAACCCGCCTCGAGACATTGTTCTCAGATCCCCCTCCTTGCTAACCAATGCAACCTTAGGATCTTCCCCTCGGCTACAATAGCCGCAGGTGTTTTTCTCGCTCTCGACCTGCTCAAATTCCGGCCTGAAGCGACAGTAGAGCATCAAAAGCAGCGTATTTTGTCTTGCATGTCCACAATCGCTCCTTATGTGGAGAAGACTACCATCTGTCGAGGCGGTTCGAGGATACTTCAGCAACTGCTCGAGCTGATACGACAGTGCGAAAATGGCATGCAGCAAGTGGATGTGATGCAGTTTATAATTGGAATGGACAGCAGAGGCGTGATGGCTGTTGAAAACCCTAGTATACAGCAGCAAAACGCTTGGCAACATCTTTCTTTAGACAACATCGATGATGATAGCAGTGCCTTATTTGGCGGTCATGAGTTTTTTGAGAACTGGAATCTGTTTGATGATTGGAACTTATTGGGCAGCGATTTTAAATTCTAAATATATTGACTGTAAAGATTAATTTATTAACTGTAGTTATATGTATGCCATATGTATGAGCTTCATTGCATTCTAAGGCTAGGGAAGAAATATCGAATGTTGTGTAGACGCTACCTCTAGAGAGTGTTGGGAATCGCGAACATATAGGTAGGAAAGTCCAGTTACAACCCTTTTCTAGTGTTTCACATGCAACCTTGTTCTTATGGTGTCGAAATTGAGATTCATAGATCCGCTCGAGCCGGTTCGTTAGCCGAAGCTCTCCTTATTAGCTCTCGGAGACCATCCTCCTCCACTTACCTGGGATTCGAGTACTTGTTTTCTATTGCAATGGTGGCTGCTCTGTGAATATCTACCTCGTTTAATATAAATTTAATATTAATCTAATCTATTTATATATAATTAGTTATACTATATAATAAAAAAATTTATAATTAAATAAAATAATATAAATAATATTAATAGTATAAAAAAATTAAAATATATTAAAAAGAAAAAAATTCAATAATTAATTATCTTTTTAATTAATATTTTTCTATTAAATCTACATTTTTATAAGAGAGATAGATTTTGGTCAAAACCGATTGATTAAGAGACATAATGCGGATGTCAAGTCATCTCTGTGGGTGGCCGGAGGCCACGGAGGCCTCTTGGGCTGCCTAACTACCTTGCCGATGAAAATGGAAGGTGCGAAGGACCCCACGACAAGTCGGTTCTAATTGAGAGTTCATTCAGAGCGGTCATATCGAATAATCGAAGTATACTGGATTCCGAGCTTGCTTCCTGTCTCGATGTTGGCCTCAACGCTACGCCATACGGGTTCATTGTTGAATATATTCCGGATGGTCTAACTCTTTCGTATGTTGTATCTAGTCTAGTATAGTTGCATTAACCAACCAAATCACCAACCTGGAACTTTGGAAGCCAGATGTCAATGACCGCTGCCCTCCCTGCCTTGACTGTCTCTAATCCCCTCTTCAAAGCCTCGTCGAGCTCCGAGGATTTCTTCACAGTGGTACCGTATCCAGCTCCCGCGGCCACAGCTACCTGCGCATGATCGACTGGGGGATCAAACGTAACATGTAGAGCATCTGCAGTAGCCGCCTTGCTGGAATATCCCGACTTGTGCACCGCTAGAGCGCTCAGCATCGGGCTCTTCCAGCCCCTGTTGTTCAAGATGATGGTGAGGAAAGGCGTCTTATACTTCCGCGCCATCCAGTGCACGGTTGACGGGATAGAAAAGAGGAAGCTGCCATCGCCGCAGATAGTGACGACGGTCTTATCTGGGTTGGCCAGCTTCGCCCCAACAGCAGCTCCGCCACACCAACCAAGCGATGTGGCGCCACTGGTGAAGTATGTGCCAGGCAACGATCGCTTAAGTACGTCGCAGATTGGACGGTAGTTTGAGATGCCCTCGCTGAGAATGAGGGTTTCTGGTTCGACATGTTCTCTGACGCGGGAGAGGGCGTAGTGGGGGGTGATGATATTGTCATCTGCGTGGGGAACCTCAAGCTTGCGGATATGCGAGACATAAGCAATATGTAGGGCAGAGATAGTCTCTACCCGCTGTTTGATCTTCTCCGTATGGACGGCGACACTCTGTTCGGAGATCCAGGTATTGAGCTGTCTCAACGCAGTCCTTGAGCTGGCCTGGCAGCTGGCTTCAGTATCCAGATGAAACAAGGACATGTTGACCTTCAAAGGGTCGCAGTCGATGTGATAGATGGCGGCCTCGGCGGAAGGCTTGAAAACGCTCTTGATCCAGGGCACGTCACAGTCGATGACGAGGACGACATCAGCCCGTTCTAGAATCCCATTCTTCAATCCTTCGCTCCACTGGTTTCCTAGGTAGAGGCTGTGGTCATGGGGAAAATTCATTGCGCTGGGTACCGCCTCCTATGATTGCTGTCAGCAGAGAAGACCGCCTAGTGGAAGAAGCAAGTCGCGACGTACAATGACGGGAGTACCTGTGGCCTCTGCTAAGCTCACCAGCTCAGATACCGCATCCAAAACCTTACCAAGGTAACTCGTGATAATAACAGGAGATTTTGAGTTCAGCAGTGATTGGCCAATTTCCGTCACAATCTCTGGATCTAGTGCCCTTGGGGCCAGTGGCTTCCACTTCTTGGCATTGACCTGGTAGGGATTGATGCTTTCCTCAAGCACTTCTCTTGAGGCTATCAAATATGATGGTCCCTGGGGCTCGCTCTGAGAGAATTGAGAAGCTCGAAGTATTAGCTGCTTTACATTCCTTCCCGAGCGAATCTCGTGATCCAGGACGGTGTAGTTCCTGACAATGCCGCGTTGGTCGATTGTGTCTTGGATGTAGTGAATGAACTCCTTTGGCCTATGTCAGATGTGCTCCCTTGTAATTTTACGTTTTCAGTCTCGCTATTCTTTGTTACATATTCGGCTTACATTTCGACTCCCAATCAATTCGCCCTCCTCCGTGATGGGAGAAGTACCCGCGATCATGATGACAGGTATTCTTGCTCTCGACACATTATGAATAGCACCGCCCATCGCTAGAGTTCCGGCATCGACGTGAACCAGGATGGCTTGCATCTGGCCGCTGGCCTGGAAAAAGCCCTGCGCTGCGGACAATCCAACCATTTCGTTCGGCGCTGTGATAAATCGCAGGCCTTTGTTCCCATCTTGCTCTCTCTTCGAAATGGCCTCCATCACAGCTGGATGGTCACTGCCGAGGTTGACGAAGAGGTGCGTAACCCCGGCAGACTCGAGTGCCTCGAGGAGAGCTGTAGACGCGGTGTAGTCGCTCATCCTAGCAAAATGTAATGTAATTGGGACACTCGGTGGACACTGAAACTTCGAAAAACAGAAGAGTATCGTTATACTGAACTAACACACTTAATCCTATATCTCAGCACGCTTATACCGCCATGCTCATCTCTACCGCCCCCGCGTGTTGACATCGTTTGGTAGGCCGGAAAAGCCGAGCGGACAGGGGTAACGGAAATTCCATTCCCAAAGAGCAATGCTCGGATGAGCCGGATCATAGCCGGCTGGATATGCCCCAGCATTCCAGCAACCTTCTTACGTGGTGACCTCTGACTACTAGCTCGTACCGGAGGCCCTGTTCAATATGTGGATAAATGGCCTGGATAGAGACGTTGCTCATTTTCCACCTTGTTTCCGCGGTAATAGGGGCACATTTCCGCCTCTAAATAAGGCCATCATGACCTCTGAGGGTGTTATTGCGCGGCGCGCAACGCACAAAATATTGAACACCAGAACCTCCCAGGTCTCGAATGGCTGCCAAGAGTATAACATTATTTGCCGAGGAGACAATTAGATAAAATCGCGTTGTAGACTGGCTTTCCGTGACTAGGTGGAGAACAATACAGCATTCCAGTCTCTGGTTTAGTCCATGCAGCCTCCTTCGTGCTAGTCTTTAGGTACAGAAGAATCCCTGAAGCTATCTCTACACACTGAAATCCACTGCAAAATTTCCTTAAATTGGATAATGTTTGCCACCCGGAATTGCAATGGTGACGACGCGATCCTCAGTAAACTCATTGATACAGGCCGTTCCACCGAATTTTCCGTACCCAGACGCTTTCTGGCCCCCAAGGGGTAAATGCGGCTCATCTAGACCACAAGTTAGTCTCGGAACGTCTAGTTTCGTCTCTTCATGTGTGACTTGCCATGAATGGTCGCTCCGTTGATATGGCAAGAACCGCTCTTGATCTTTCTTGCCACGGCCAAAGCCTCGGCAATGTTGTTGCTAAAAACCGAAGAGACCAATCCATATTCTGTGTCGTTGGCTAGAGAAATTGCTTCCTGGGTAGTCTCGAATTCAAAAAGCGTGACTACAGGTCCGAAAGACTCTTGAAAGTAGAGATCCATGTCTTTTGTGATCCCACCCAAGGCCGTCGGCTGCACGACGGCACCGCGCACGTCCAATTTCCCAGCCTCGATACGAGCGCCTTTGGCTAAAGCATCTTTTATCAAACGCTCCACTCTTTGGCCAGCAGCTGGTGTAATCAACGAGCCTAGTGTCGTGGTCGCGTCTTCAGATGGACCTGCTGCTTTGTATGTGTTGATCTATAATGTTGATTAAAGTGATGCTTTGGAAGAAAGGAAGAAGGAGAAGTGCCCAACGTACCTTGGCTTTAAGCAGCTCAGTAAAGGGTTTTGAAACAGACTTGTGCACGATGATTCTTTCCGTGGACCTAGTTTAATAGTTAATATTTCTTTCCGGTTTGCTTCGTGCCAGCCAAGTGGACTACTTACATGCAAATCTGGCCTTGATGGAGCATGGCACCAAAAGCGGCTGCTCGAGCAGCTTCTTCAAGGTCTGCATCTTGCAGAACAACCATTGGAGCCTTTCCTCCAAGCTAAGCAGCAAAATCAGTCTGTAATCGAAGATTATCCCAACCACTTAGATCAGCATTGCTCACCTCCAGCACTGCTGGCTTCAGATATTTCGCACACAAAGCTGCGATCAGACGGCCGACTGCAGTAGAACCAGTGAAGTTAACACGCTGAACAGCTGGATGGGCCACCATCGCCTCGGTGACTGTGCCAGCAGCTGCTCTCGGGCAACATATATAGTTGAGGACTCCGGCTGGAAGTCCTGCTTTACGGAACGAATCAACGAGCAGATATTGAGTGTATGGGCTAGACTCCGACGCCTTCAGGATGGCTGTATTCCCGCAGGCCAGAGGAGTGATAAATGCCCTTATTCCCAGAATCTACCCCCCCGCAAATGATGATTAGAGAATCTTTTCACATCACTCCACACTCCTTGATGGGAGCACTCACGATAGGGGCATTCCACGGAGCAATTCCAAGAACCACCCCGCAAGGTTCTTTAAGCACCATTGCCAGCATGCCCTTGTCGTTGCTCTGCAATATTTCTCCCTTAACTTGCGTCGCTATCGCTGCACCTTCCAGGACGAACTGAATCGCAGTCTGGATATTGAATGTAGCCCACACTGCCTTGGCCCCTGTCTCTCGGACCATGGCCTCAATAAGCTCATCTTTGCGCCCTTGGAGAATTTCGGCTGCTTTCAAGAATATCTGCCGCCTTTCCCATGGTGTGGAGTCCCGCCAAGTATCGAATGCCAACTCCGCGTCCTTGACGGCCTGGATGGCGTGCTCCTCGGTGGCGGCTGGGGCAAGGTGAACTACTTTCTGTGTGACAGGGTCGTAGACCTCAAAGGTCTCTTGGACAGTGACATCCTTACCGCCCGTGATGAGTCCGAAACTCGACACTGTGGGTGGTGAATTTTCCATGTTGGAACGCCCCGGTAGGTGATACGGACGGGCCACGCAAATTCACGAGTATGGAAAGGAAAGACTTGAGTGCTCGGTCGTTTAGATCTGTCCAGGGGGATTATGAGTGATTTTAATTTCGTTTTCCGACCAAATGAGCCATACTAAACTCCAAGCAACTGGATATCAACATCCGACAAGAATGACTTAAGACAATGACTGACTGCACGGTACAACCCCAGTTACCAAGAATGGATCACCCGTGCTCTCTCCCGGGCGGGGTAGGAGGTGATTGGCGATATGGTCCGGCAACTCCGGCGGCTCCAATGATGTGCAATTAGGCCGACTAAGATCCGTGTAATATTCAACAATGTATTCCGGAATTTCCCTGCAAGACTTCCCGGCCACCCACTGGACACTGATCCATGGTACGGGTGACGAGGAACTTCGCCTGCTGATCCTCATCCGTTCATCCTCCTTTCTCGCCATCTTCAGTCAATCTTCACCGTTTTGCGCCTTCCATCAATTCATACCAGGCTTTTTCGCTCCGTTCCTTATAGCTTCACACAGATTGTTTCATGATAATATCTTCAATAGAGCAACTTGGTGAGCCACGAAACATGGGGTGATTCTCCCCTCTTATACCGATCCACGGAACCCCGAACGAACCAGCTGCGTTTGCTCAATTTACTCGCCTAGCGGATACATTGCAGAGGGATCTCCAAGCGGGAACGGCAGATCACCGCTGAGATCACCCTCCGTTAAATCAAATAGGCCTGCATACGTATTCCAGGACGCCGTCTTCTGGAATTCCATCGCCGCCGTATCTGCCGGAGCTGTATCCCCCGGAGCCGTATCTCTCGGAGCCAAGGGGATCATGCATCGAGTTCTAGTCAGGGCGCCCTGAATCATCTTCGCTGCCTCCATTGCTACGACGGACTCATCCATGATCTCGAGGATCTCAATCGCCATTTCTACAAGCTTATACAAATACTCCAACTCATGTTTGCCTGACTCCCGAGGGATATAAATGAGTACGATCGATGTCGCAAATAGGATGTACATGGTGTTGTAGAACCTATAAACGGTATTTTGTCTTAGCAACGGTACTCAAGCAATCCTGGACTCTAGGAGAGTACACATTTACCATGTGCGGAAGAAGTCATGACGTTGACAGGCTTCATATATGGTCTCGATGGTCTGCTTAGCCGAGTCAAGACACTTGGTGAGCTCCTCTTGAAATCCGGCCGCTGTCGCTCTGTCCAATGTTGACAATTTCGTCAGGAAGTATCCGAACAATAGAATCCTCACGTTATGGTATCCTAAAGGTGTAAGCTGGGCCGGCCACACTCCTTTTCTACTCTTTCCTTCTCACAAAAAACGTTCTACTTACGGATCTTGAGGACCAGTCTCTGCTTCTTGGCATACTGGGGGTCCTTGATTCTTTTAAGAGGCCTTGGCTCGTCTTCACTTGTGCTGGGTCGAATCTGGGCCGGAAGACCCTCGAGCCAGCGCTCAAGGTCCTGCTCAATCTGGCGCGCCAACGCAAGGGCTTGCTGGAGCGTCGACTCGGCAAGGTATATGCCCAAGATGACGCTTTTAGTGATCCTGGCAAAGTCAACCATGGCCTTAATCATGGCACAATGCGGCGGCTCCAGAAGCTCCGGTGGGCTTCCGGAGTAAGCTGGATCATCTCTGATGGCAGGGTAGCGGCGGTTGTGATAGACATCAGCACCGAGGGAGTCGGGCCTCCCCATTGCAAAGGACATCTCTCTAGTCACTGTCTTAGCTGGACTCGAGTCAGATCATATCATGGGGGGCTGTCGACGTACGTTTCCAAAGAATACAAGCTCCTGTGTATTCTGTCAGCTAACGACGTCCGTAGAATACGTCTGGGCATACTCACCACCATGTTCGGCTCGCCGCCTTAGTCAATGCCGTGTCCAGTTTCTGATTCGGCTGCGGTTCCCTGTTGATGCCCATTGCGAGGGCTGTCCTTACCGCTAGTCCACCGTACATGTATGCAGCTATGGGATTTGTGAGACGGTGATGAGATTGAAGGATATGGCGTCCACTCACAGTGATTGTTGAGCTCGTTTTGGCATATTTTGGCCTGGCTGCGTCAGTACGGGAGTCTTCGACCTCTTGGCAGATCGGCCATACCAGAAAGAAATAGCACTGGACCATCTCAATATCCGTCACCATACTAACGCTCGTCCGAGACCGCGCTTCCTCGAAGAATATCCTACTCCACTCCAGATTTTCGATGCCATCTACAGGTTCGTCCTCCCGAATGCCAACAAGGGCCCCCAGCGACATAAGGCTGTAGTAGAGGGCGACGAAGCTCTGAGTCACTGCCGATGCGCCATCCGTCCATAAAGCTGTACACTTGGCAAGAAACTCCGGCTTATCGACCATTGGCTGAAGGTAATGTAGCGTCGTAAAGAAGCTGTCTAGAAAGGGGCGGCATTGCTGATAATATGTGGCGGACCCGTGCGGAGTCGACCAGTCCGAGTGAGCGGCCGCGTTCCTCATTGCGGCTCCGGGTGAGAAGCCAGGATTGTGCAGGCTGGAGACCAGCTCCTCTGCGCCCTCTAAACCATCCTCCACATCGCCAGCTTTTCGAGCTCTGGACAGCAGGACAACCGAGCTCGAGCTGCCGTAGAACTCGACGTTTCGAGTATGCCTGTTTATGCCTGACACTTCCTTTGAAGTGTGGTCTTGGGGAAACTGTTCACTGCCCAAGCCTCGCATCTCCGAGCCGCAGCCAGAACCATAAAACTCTACATTCTCCCGAGGCGGCTCGGCATTGATTGCCGGCGACTGAAAGTCATTGAGATCAGGGCCCATGGCCGGGACGGAGACAGCGGCCGACAGAGCCTTTACTTGCTGCTCAAGCTGAAAAACGTAGCTAGATAGCGTAAGCGGAAATACATTTAAATAAGGGGGCAGGGTGGGTTGTATTTTCTTACTTGGAGTAGAAACGATCTCTACGTAAGTCGATGCCGCGGTACACACACTTTGCATTGCGGCCTAGGCGTTGTGCGGCACACGCATTATTAACCACAATCCTAAGTGAGAAATTATTGCCAGTACCTACTTTTACAGTGCGAACAGGGATACATCTCGTCGCATTTGTTCTTCTTCACCCGGCAAAGCTCACAAGCTTGAGTAGCACGAGCCCGTTTCGGCCTGGGGCCCTCGGACACCCCGTCATTTTCCATGGAGTTCTCAGGACCGCTTCTCCAGAAGGCCATCTGGACAGAACGGATGAGGAGCATTGACGATGAGACTGTAGAATGATGATGCAGACGTTAAAACTTTGCGCGCGTGGTCAATCTCTCGGGGTTCAGTCGATCCGCCTAAGTCTGCTCAGTCCAATCCACCTGGGCATCATGGAGTAAAGGGCGGGGTAAAAAGTCTATTCAATGCGCGCGAGTTCGCTCCAGAATCCACAGGAAAGCGGAGAACCGCCTCAGAAGTTTGAAACTCAAGCACGCGTTGGGCCATGCGATTACTCGCGTGAGTTCGGTTGAGTAATCCGTGCTATTCCCCAAGACTTGCCTCCCCGACTGACATCACTCACGCGAACTCGGGAGGCTTGCCTTATGTAGTTCTCGCAGACTACGATGCCTCCAATCTGCCACCCTCCAAACTATATTAGGACGATTCGATTCCTCGTCTGACTCTCGTTTTCTTTGCTACCTAAACAGATTCCAAAGTATTCATCAAGACAGACCACTGAGTCCATAATTTCCATCCATCTCGACCCAAAACCAGAATCAACCATGTCTTCGGCTACTACCGCTACTGCTACCGCCAAGAAGCCTGACTTGGCTGCCAAGGCCGCTATTGCCTACGGCGACTGGAGAGACGAATTTTTCAGCAAAGGCTATTACATCTTCAAGAATGCAGTGCCGAAGGACAAGGCCGTCAACTACTATCAGAAGAAGGCACTTGACTGGCTAGGGTCCTTTGACAATGGCTTCAAGCTTGAGGATCGCAGCACCTGGACGAAGGAAAACCTTCCCCAGAACTTCAAGAGCATGTATATCAACTACTGTGCAGGGCACGAAAAGTTTATGTGGGATGCGCGGACGTAAGTCGTGAAGCTAAACGCCCCCGTGCCTGGTGATGCGTACTACTGCTAACTGTCAATTATGTTCTAGCGAGCCAGGCGTCCTCAAGCCTTTTGAGCAAATATGGGGCACCGATGAATTGCTCGTATCCTTCGACACTTTCAACGTTTCCCTCCCCCCCAAACCCAACGTCGCTCCGGCGGCTCCTTGGCCTCACACCGACCAGTCTCCGTACCGCAAGGGCCTCGCATGTGTCCAGGGCATCCTCAATCTGTCCCAAGCGGGACCCAAGGACGGCGGTCTGCTTCTGATGGTGGGGTCCTCCACGTTGTTCGAGAAGTACTTTGAGACATTCGAGCCTCGTGAGAGAAAGACACAGGGGAAGCACTACGATCTTTACCGCTTCGACCCGGATGAAGTTGAATGGTACAAGGCGCAGGGCTGCCGCGAAATCAAGATTGAGGCGGAGCCCGGCGACCTCATTCTCTGGGATTCCCGCACCATCCACCACGTGGCGCCCATCGAGACTGATACCATCCGGACCGTCATCTACACCTGCTATGCTCCGGCCGCGCTTGCATCGCCCGAGGACACCAAATACAAGGCTGAGCTCTTCGAGAGGTTTGAGGGAACGACTCATTGGCCGCACTGCAACATCCATGGCCAGGGCAAAGCCTTTATTGATGGCAAGGTCGATCCGTTGGAGAGAGATGAGCCACTGGAAAAGCCAGTGAGGACAGACCAGATCCTGAAGTTGGCGGGGGTGAAGCCCTACTAAGATTGAGAAACCATCGCCCACTTCTCATGGGCTATCTCGACGGTGGAACGGCAGAGGACTCACTCGCAAGATAGCCATGAAGGGCCTAGAGGGTTAAGACGCAGGGCTCGCAAACGTTTAGCACATTATTTATTATATATTAACCCTTGGAGCTCAGCTTTAGATTATATTAAACCTAACCACTCTTCTTTATAATCTAATAACTTAGAAGTTAAATTATATACTATTAATTTTTATTATATAATATAACTAACTATATATAAATAGAAATAAAAAAAACTTATCTCTATATAGATCTTAGGAATTTTATTATAGTAAATATATATTATATTTATAAAAATAAATTAATTAATAATCTTTAGTAATTAACTTTTCTATTTCTAAATATATATTATACTTATAGATATAAACTTAATTAATAATCTTAAATAATTAACTTTTCTTTTATTTCTAAATAAATATAATTTAAATTAAATTAAAATAAATTCTAATATATTAATATTTAGCTTAATCTAATCTAATTAATATATTATCTAATCTGAGAGGTAGTTAGCGATTAGTAATAATAAGCTTGGAGAGGTATAATAGTTAATTATAGATAATAAACATCCCCCCTTAGGGCCTATAGCTAAGTTATATACTTAATAAGCTCTTCTTAGAGTTTTTAGAGATACTATTACCTGTATGCTATATAATAAAAAGTTAAAAAAAATAGAGTTAAAGGTTAGATATAGACTAGAAATTTAGTTAAAAATAAATTATATAGATCTAGTTATATATAGCCTGATCTTAGAATATCTCTTATATATAGTAAAAACCTTAAAAAATATATATATATTATCTAATCTAAATTATTTTAAAATATAAAAAGCTTAATTAATAAATTAATTCTTAAGAGCTATTTTTATTCCTATTAATTTAATATAGTATATAATATACTAAAACTATAAATTATATATTAAGTTATAGTAGATCTATATAAAAAAGTTATTATTCTTAAAATATAGTATTTATTTAAACTAATCTTAATTCTCTATAAATATTTATAATAATTACTAATAGTAAACTATATAATAAAATAATAAACTAAATAGATATAACTACTAGATTTATATTATTAAAAGTAATTTTATTATTATAAATAAGCTTTTAACTAATTAAAGAGATATATATTAAATATAGTTAGTAAATAGCTATATTAGATTATCTTAGATAGTAGTTATTATTATTTTAAAGATTTTATTAGTAGTATTAATATTATAAATTATATTATTATATATTAAGTTATATAGTATACTCTACTTTTTCTAACTAATTATTAGTAGATTATTAGGATCTTATAATAATTCTAATAATCTAGAATAATAGATTATTACTAAATATTAATAATTCTCTACTATATATATATATTTATTCTATTAGTTAAAATACTTATATTAGATATTATAACTATTTAAAATATCTAGTAATTAATTAATTAAGAAAAGTTTTAAAGTTCTAATAAAAAAAAAGTAATTATTATTATTAAATAATAAGCTTTCTCTCTTAGAGGCTATAGCTATAGTTAAGCTATTTATATATCTAGCTATATAAATAGCTTTTATTATTAGAGTTTTTAAGATATTAATATTTATATTTAAACTAAAAGTATAATATCTAACTTTATCTTATAGAGTTAAAGGTTTAGATATAGACTACTAATTATATTCTTAAAAAAAATTATATAATCTAGTTATATATTATCTGATCTTAGAATATACTCTTATTTATAATAAAACTAATAAAAAAAAACTTTATAAGTTATAATTATTATAAAATAAAATATTATAAAAAGTTAGAATAAAAGAAATTTTATAAAATATATATAGTAGAAGAGTATAAGCTTAATAAAAATACTAAATAGATATTATTATCTATAAGGAAATAATTAATAAGTATATAAAGCTTTTCTTTCTATACTGGGTAATTAGTATATTATAGTAAAGTTATAAATAGCTGAGACTGCCTAATTCAGTAGCAGATACTGCAAATTATAGTGATAGCTGTCCAGTGTCTTCTGTATAAAGGTTAAATATAAACGCTTATTTTTTCCAAAGAAATTCGCTCTTAAATAGCTAACTGGGGATTTATTATAGAGAGGCTAGTATTGTAGAATAAACATATAGTGCTTATCCTGTAACTTAGATACTATAGTTATAGAATAGGTCACTAGCTGTAATATCTTAACCCTGCGGTCCAGACTACTCAGTCGTGAGATCACGCTTCCCCCTGCCACCTTTGCCGATATTCTTAACATGGTGTTTGAAGAGGCGGGTCTCGAGATCACGCTTTCCTTTACCACCTTTCTTAATATGGTGTCCGATATTCTTAACATGGTGTCCGATTTTCTTGACCTTGTTTTTAAAGAGACGAGGCTCGAGATCACGCTTTCCTTTACCACCTCTGCCGCCATGCTTCCCATGGTTTTGTTGAATAAAGAGACGAGGAGCAAGATCAGTCTCCTCGAGATCACGCTTCCCTTTACTACCTTTGCCATGCTTCCCATGGTTTTGTTGAATGAAGAAACGAGGCTCGAGATCAACCGCCTCGAGATCACGCTTTCCTTTACTACCTTTGCCATGCTTCCCATGGTTTTGTTGAATGAAGAAACGAGGCTCGAGATCAGCCTCCTCGAGATCACGTTGGTGACGACCGAAGGAGGCAGAGTCTCGAGTGTCAAACTCCGGCTGTTGTTCTGCAGCAAGAGCGAGAGAGGCGAGGCCAACAATGGTAACTTGGGTGAAGATGTCGAAACGCATTTTGAAGATTGGAAACGTGGGACAAGGATGGATTCGAAGGAGAAAAATTAAGAAGATGTGAAAGTCGAAAGTGGAATATTGTAACTGGTTCAAAGTTCAAAATAATGATAACAATGTAGGGGATGAATGTTCTGGATTGGAAGTTGAGGTGTCAGTGGTGATAATTGTAACTTGATGATGCAAGATATCTCATCTTTCTTATATCTTTTATCGCTTGGTGCAAAATGTTCTATTTCGGTCCACATAATCTTTTATTACCAGAGGATTACTTATCCAGCTCTTCTAGTTCTCTTCCGGACTAGTAATAACGCCTTTTTTGTCCATACTACCTCCTGTAATATGTTAATATTATATTGAAACTTCGGAATAGCAAAGAAAGGGAAAATATACCCGAGAACACTAATTGGCTTGGAGCAGGAGATTTCACTGAGTTCCTATTTATATCTTCAATACTTCTAAACACGGCTACTATCTAGAAACCTGAGCATCCCATAGCTATTATTGGGCGCAAGTCCTGTAGCCGAAGTAGCTCTGCTCGCCGCAAGGGGGAGTCTCCTACCGTCTTAGTAGATGGCCCATTGCTATATTGTTTCGATGGTTCAGGATCTCGACCCCTGCATAGTCGGAGCTTCCCCTTTTCGGTAGGATGAGCCGGCAACGCGGTCACTGCCAAGTTTTAGCGACATATTATCGACAGTAGCTATAAACAGTTACTCTCCTCCTGAGTAATCGACAGGGCTAAAATGAATATTGAGGATAGCAATAAGTAGATCTGTTACTGGTTGCAAAGAAGGGGCTTCAGCGCTCCACCGCTGATGCAACCCTATCAACACTGCTTATATCATTATTCATGCAATATCATGTCTATTCAACTGTAAGTTCATATCATATTATGCCAAGAGCCCACGTGCCCAGTTGGAAGTTCGTCACGGCAGGACCATCACAAAAACTCACCCTCACGATCGGATCTTCATTATATCGGGGTCCGAATTACACCGAGATGAGTCTTTGCGACTCCGAAAGAAGCTCCGTGACATGGGCATTGAATTTGTTGGTTTGTTCCGTATCGATCCGAGTGAAACAAAGCCCTGACAGACTTTCTGTACAGTAATCAATCGAGGACATAGAAAAATCTATCGAAATCTGCCTAGCCGCTTGCGACCTCGTCCTACAAGACGATCCCGATTACCCGGATTGGTTATATTGGCTCTCATTCTATACGTTGAAAAGCTTTGAAAATACCGGTGAAATTTCCCATTCATAGATAGCTCTTCAGGCAATTCACCAGGTTCTCAACATTACGCACCAAGAACATGCCGACTATCCTAAGCATCTTGTGCACATATCGGAGGTCCTCAGCCGTCTCTACCGTTAAACAAACGACATGGAAAGTCTTGATGAGGCTATCCAACTCAACGAACAGGCTCTCTCCATCGTCTCAGAGAGCCATTGGCTCTGGCATGATGCCTTGCTCGACCGTTCAATCTTATTAGGCCACAGGTACACTTCGAAAGGGGCACTCGCCGATCTGAATGAATCCATCTCTCTCGGCGAACAGCTCTTTGGGGAAGCATCGAATGATGACGCACCTAGATTCCAGGTGTTGCTAAGCATGGCTAAAATTCTACATAACAAGTATGAAAGGACCGATTCCTCTCTAGATCTTGAGAACGCAATTGAATTTGCAAAAAGGGCCATTGAAGAGCTGCGACCTGACGATTCATGCAAAATGTCATGCTTTACATTGCTATCCAAATTGCTTCTCTCCCAATCACAGTTGTATGAATCCTATTAGAACGTAGAGAAGGCAGTGGAATATTCTCACCAGGCCTTGAAACACTTTGAGAGAAAGAAAACCAAAAAAAAAATTGCAATTACTTGTTGTGCTACATTAAAGCCATACTGGAGAAGTACAGCATGCAAACTTATAATGGAATTGAGGACAAATGTCCCGGCCTTGAGATCGATGTCATAATTGCGATCAGTCTCAATGCAATGAAGAACCTGCCTGATGCTCATTCGCTCAAGAGTTCTTTATGGTTGGTACTTTGTCACCTATTCCAATGCAAAATAGTAAACTTTCCGTGCCGATGGCTTGGGGGAGGCTTTCGATCAAGCTTGCGCAGACGCCTCTTTCAGCTACATAAGATGCCTCTTTATACCTGAAGCACAGTTGATGACGCGCATAGAGGCCGTAGCACATTTGGTCAACACTGGGCTTGCAAATGACAGCAGAGTTACCGCAGGAATGCTGGGAATACTTCTTATTCAAGATTTTCAGGCACAACTATTCACTTTGGAGGACAAACAACATTGGGCAAATGAGATACTTGGGCTTGATAGTGATACTGCGGCAGCGATGATGGCTTGTGAGAGGGAGCAGGCTCAAGCCCGCCCCGAAGTCTCCCACCTTGAGATGGGATGGTTCGCCTTAGCTACGCTGTCTAGAGGACGCGGGATGGTCTTGTCGTCTATCAAAGGTCGTCATTTACATTCTATAGACGTGGAAGGAAGCAACCCACAATTAAGAAAGGCGCCATCGAATGCTCATGTCAAACTCAGAGAACAAATCTGCCAGGGACTGGAACTTGCAAACGCAAAGGAAGCGAAGCCCGACCATATTCAAAGTACGGACGAAGATAAACATCGCGGAGAAATATTCGTCGACGACCGTGTAAATGACATATTGGGTCTCCCTGAATTGGACTATTTTCTCAACGTACCCCCTCGGAGTGATATTCTGGAAACGGCGAAGTCGGGCCCCATTGTTGTGCTGAATCTGAGTGTCCAGTGCCTTGAAGGCTGTGCCATATTTATCATTACTCAGAGCCACCTCAAAGTATTACATCTCGAAGATGTCGAGCATGATGAAATCAGGTATTGGGCACTAAATGGCGAGAAAACATGGAGTCGAAAGTGCCTTGCTTGGCTCTGGGATACAATCACAGGCCCTATTATGGGTGCATTGGGGTTTACCCAGCCACCGGATAATGATGACTGGCCTCATGTGACATGGATCTCTACGGGCGTCATGAGCAAATTCCCGTTTCATGCTTCAGGTAGGCATGAATGTGGTGGCCGTGAAACAGTCATGGACCGAGTAGTTTCTTCGTACGGCACAACTGTCCAGACGCTCGTTGCGTCTCGCCTTCAAGCCCCAATTACATCAACACGAGCGGAGGCTCTACTCGTGGGCATGAGCAACACTCCCAGACATGGCACGTTGCCTCATGCTGCCGATGAAGTGTGTGAAATTGAAAAGATTCTCAAGTGCACATCGGTCAATGCTGCTCAACTACGGGGTACAAGGGAGACATCAAGTCCCGCCTCAGCAATTGCAACATTTTTCTGCAGGACACGGGTACACGGACTATGTCGACCCATCAAAGAGCCATCTCTGCCTGGAAGACAAAAGCAGCCCTGATCAGTATCAGAGCTGTTCGATCTGAACCTAGATCAAGGCGCGCACTTTCTTGCCTACCTATCCGCCTGCGGTACAGGCCTAGTGCGGGAGGAAAAGTTTCTAGATGAAAGTATTCACCTGATCAGTGCATTCCAAGTTTTGGGATTCCGCCACGTCATCGGTACACTTTGGGAAGTGCAAGACATGATTTGCGTGGACTTAGCTCGATTGACATATCAAGTCATTCGAGATGAGAGTATGACAGATAAATCGATTAACCGAGGGCTGAACAAGGCGACAAAGCGGGTACGGGATGAGTGGCTGGCCGAGTATGCGAGACGTAGTCTAGATATAAGGGCTGGGAAGGTTCTTTCTGCGGAAGAGGGTATTTCAACCTTGAGAATCCAAGAGCGAGGAAATGACGAGAGGGAGGGGAGAGACATCATACCGTTGGAAGATGATTGGGGCCAGTCGAGCCCTCCGCCATGGATTGCGTACATTCACTACGGAGTATAGCTGGTAAATGGCTATTGCGAAAGACGTGATGTTTAAATCGAATTGCTACTGTTTTCTTTGTATGATGTGATTAGATGAGAGTGTTGTAAACGTGATAGCGTAGATTGAAGTCAAGATAGTAATGGACTTAATGTTTGATTTTTCCCGTCTGATCCTTACTACTAATGTCACCCATGTGCTTAGATGCGTATGCCCATACCCCAGCCGCCCATTTTTCATAGCGATTGACAGCTCGTGTCTATTCAAGGATTCTCCGCCAGAAGGCATGTCCATGTACTTCGAGTCCCGTATGCCCGTCCAGACCAATCCCAGTATGTCTAGACCTCAACATGAATGAGCATAAATCACCCTCAATTTGCTTATAATGGACATAATAGCGCATGACGCAGCACAGAATGCCCCCAAAGGCCTGTTGACAGAGGGCACATATAGAATTGAATATAGGAGAAGGACAAGTCGCTACTGATCAACTGTCCAAGTCTTCTTTATGATGCTTTGCCTTCTCTCTTTTATAAGACCTTCCGTAAAATGAAAAGCCTTTCTTTCTGTAAGCTGTAGCGAGATGATTATATTATTTTGAGTCTTCCTTGCTTTGCCTCATTCCCTGCCTGAGCTTCAATGGAAGGTCGCTTTATTTTCTTCCAGGTTGGGCTATAACATAAAGGCAAGACAGCCATCGCCACAACAGCCACCGGGGTGGCGATGGCTGACACGTCATTCCTTTACTGTTTCTTTCCGCCACTGGCATTATGTTAGCGAAGTATTCCAGATTGCTGAAATGAACCAATGGCACAACAAACAGAATGGATAGTTCGACCCTGCCCTTGATCTTAGCCTTAAGTTGCATATCAATATTCAAGTTCATGCTGAGTTTGACGGATGGTGCGCCACTCTTGCTCGTCTCTGCCACGTTGCTCTGCCTCACTTCTGGAGTAACTGGTTGGCTCTGGTTCTGTGGGCTCTGATTTTGGTCTCCCTCGCCGGCCAGCTCTTTGTCAAGGGCATCAGTCGGCCACAGAGCAAGGCGGAACTCGCCGGGATTGTCTGCCTCCTTGGTCCGAGCCTTATCTTTCGCCTTGCGATCTAAATGTCTTGTTAGTCAAGTCAAGGTCGGCCGTGGCTGATGGAACGTACTCCGTTTGGCTGCTCTTTTGGCGGCTCACCCGCCATTGCGGGGTAAGAGGATGGCTACCCAGGCGATATGTCGATGGAATCGAGGAAGATTGCGATACAATTTCCCCGATGAACGATGAAAGAAGAGCAAAAGAAGAGCAGACGTGGGAAGAGTCCTTAAGGGTCAGCTAGGAAAGTAGCTCGGCTTTCTCTTGAGGTGAGGTTGCATGAGGCAAAATACGTGTCCGGCGCCGTCATTGGGCAATTCCCTCTAATTTCTTTTTTTATTGTGGACCACTATTTCAAAGCCACCTAACTAATCTCTAATTTATCATTTATTTCCTGTCTAATAGAGCAGAGCAGGAATAAAACGCATATTACACACGAGAATGGGGCCTGTCTACCGTAGCTATTCGTAACACAATTGGTCGAGGTAAGGTGGAGGGCCAACTGTTACATTTGGCCTTTTGGCAACTGCCCATGCACATCACAAGAAGCGCAAAGCCTGCGAAGTAAGCCGGCATTCCGACATTCCGACTTTCAGGCGTCAGAAGGTGTTGACCTTAGCATTTCTGACTCTTATTGCGATTCAAATCGTTCGATAGGCTTCTCTGCTCCATTAATTCCTTGCGACTCAGCCAAAGCCTCCTCTACCCCATGAGCAACTAATCTCAACTTCAAATCTCATTTCAGCGGAGGTTCTTGTATTCGAGACGTTGCTGGTCTTTCGATACGGCTTCAACTCAAAGCGCTGTCATTAGCCATCTTCTCCTGCCGTAAGCGACAGTGGAAAGCAGAGTGTATAAGACTATGAAGCTCAAGAGCATTTTCCTTACACCATGTACGAAACAAAAGCTCGTTGAAAGTTAACGATACCTAGTCAAGAAGGCAAAACATCTCAAACCCATTGAACCGCGTATAAGACTATCGAGTTGCTTCCGTCCCCATGTCCATCAGAGATTTAGGCAAGTTCAGGCGCTGCTTGTCGTCCTCGCACGGCATTTGCTTGATAAAGTCCAAGGACGGGGTCGTGGCTAGAGAATTTCTGTAATTTTAGTGTCCGGTCATCTCCATATTCAAAGCTCACTATTACCCAGACAAACTAGACACCATGTTCTCAACAAGCGCTCATAGAGGCGGCCTAGGGCACCTTGTTGACATATTGGTCAGCTGTGTCCCAAGTACCATCTCAGGAATCTTGTTCCCCAGTCGCGTTCTTCTCCTGCTCCAGGGCTTCACCCTTTCATGCTACATAACAAGTGATGGGAACACTTGCGACAAAAACGGCAAATGAGACCGCCAGGTTTGTCATCAGTGACACGTGGTCTCGAGATCCGATGCCATATGCGCAAGAAAATCCGATACTCTCTGCCGATCTAAGGATGCCGCTTGTGTAAGAGAGCGTGTCGACATTGCTGTTGTAGAGCGCCAGGATCCAATACGTCCAGACGACGGAAGCGTTGCCAGCGATGCTACCCTTTTTTTTTAGCATGCACCTATACAGAACCGATGGGCGAGCTTGAACTTACCTGTAGAGACAGTATGCTACGATTGCCTTGGCGTAGTCCCGGGAGTATATGTCGAGGACCGGAGGGGGCGACCTCGACTGGAGCTCTGCTTGCATGTAGAAGTTGAAAATCCACTGCACCACAAACACAAGCAGCATGCTGTACCAGCCCACGTTGCAAAGGATCCGCTTGTTTCTGAAGAGGGTCTGCGCGTCCAGCAGGCGGCCCCAGCCGACGGTGGCGATGATGCCGCAGATTGTCTGGACGAAGTCGGCGAGGGCTCGGCCACGGACGGTGAAGTAAGGGACAAGGTAGTTGCCCTGGTAAGTGTAGCTCCAGCGAACGGTGATGAAGATGGCCATGAGGAGGATGATGTGTCGAGACTTGAGGGCCTTCCACAGGCCGACGAAGCCCTGCTTCAGAGGTATGCGGGTGAGCCCAGAATTAAAAGTTGGCTGCGTGCCATCGGTCCGGATGAGTTTGTGCGGAGGGGATATGGTCAAGGCGAGAGGCCAATCATGGCGAGGTAGGTGCTCGTCGAAATACTACTCTGCTCAGAGTCATGTATGTTGAGCGCCAGCTGGATGGAGCTGCCAATGACCGTGCCAAACAACCCGATGGCCATCCAAAGACTAATGTAAAGCCCCTGTCGATTGTCCTCCGGATACGCGACGGCGATGGCCGCCTCCGACGTCCAGAGCGCGGCGGCTGAGAAGCCGCACGTCGCCGCCCCAAAGTGGAGGAACCACTGCGTGCCGTACACGCTGTTGCAGTACAATGCGCCAAAGCATGGGAGGTACCCTGCCGTGCCGAACAAGAGAATCCACTTGAGGCTAGAGCGATTTCCGAGCACAGCGAAGATGGGGCTGAAGACGATCATGATCACGTAGGTGATCACATTGGCTGCGTTGAAGAAATAAGGGCTTGCCAGTCCACCGGCCCCCATACCTGTAAGCTGTCAGTCACTGTGTTGCGACGTTCTGGCCGGCTTAACTTACTAGCGAGAGCCGTCCATATCCCTTGTTGACTGAAACTGACTATGCCCAGTACAACGGCCTGGTAGAGCGTGCCTCGATACCAACGCTTAGTATACTCAGCCACGGCTGAGAGGTAGCCTCTGCATTCATAATGGCTTGTGCTACTATTAAGATGTTGCAATGTTTAGGGTGAGAGAGCAACGAGATGCAAGGGAGGGTAGAGGGTGGTAGTCGCAAGGTGGAAGCAGGGCCGTTGCTCTCTTTATAAGACCAGATCAGACCTCTTCGCCTTTTTGGACTCCCTGTCGGATCGGTGAACCAGAAAAAGCTTGCTCCTTTGGGCCAAATTTTACCACCCCATGACCTCTGATGATGCAAACCTACCCTAGAACAGGCGAATCCCAACTTCTTCTGCGCTAGGAGTAATAGTGTGGTTTCGGTAATGCCGCAAGAAGCAAGATAACATCAGCAACAAGCAGAGCCACCACATGAGAAAGGTGGTCCGGGATCAGATGTCGCAATTCTGTGCCGGGATTGCAAGTTCCAGGTTAGAGCTATTGTAGCCGTGGACACATTTAAACCCGAGAATACCTTGTATAAGTCACGTTGTCGCCTGGGTACCCGAGCTTCGGAGTTGGATGCCGCACATTAATGGGCCGTACAAGGATCCTTCAGGACGAGTGAATCATGCTAGGCTATCTCGAAACAGTAGGCCACTCTCACCGTTACGTTCCTTCTCTTTGCCCTTTGTTTCATAGAATGTTATTTTGAGGAATCGAGTAACGACAATAGAAGCATCCATTCCAAGCATATCAAGTTGCCACAATGACTATCTCACTGGGCCTCTCGCCGCAGGGCTCAGCAGCTGTTCCCACGAAACTGTCGAAAAACGACGTCTCTCCCAGCCCGACCTTCACCTCCTCGAAGCACTTGAACTACAGCCCACCTTCAAAGGTCTGATCTTTGCAAGGCCTGGGCTACCCTGACAGCCAAGGTATCTTGACATTTGGAGTTTCCAAGCCGTTTCGCCTCTTTTCCGACGAGGCCATCGACGAGATGCGGAGGGAATTGTGCACCAACCGGAAGATCTGGACAGGCCACCGCTTCTCTAACATATATGCTGAGAGCCAGCTGCGAGGATATGCTTGAGAGTAAATACCTCCTTTATTTGACGCGATCCTACTTGCCAAGACTGACCGTGGTATACAAAGCCATGCACCATTCATCTACAATGCCTGGAAAGCACCTGAAACGCTGCGTATCATCTCTAACCTCGCCGATATCGACGTAGTGCGAGTTTTTGACTACGACATTGCACATATCAACGTCTCCGGGCCGAGTATCCCAGATTTGTCACCGCTTCCAGAGGATCGAGTTGGCAACCCTAGAGCCGAGGATAAGAATGATGTCATTGTCAGCTGGCACAACGATAGCTACGCGTTCGTCTGTGTCACCATGCTCTCTGACTGCACCGGCATGGTGGGAGGGGAAACAGCCTTGAGGACAGCAGAAGGCAACGTGATCAAGGTTCAAGGACCTCAAAGGGTACGTACTTCAATGACACGCTCCATATGGGAATTAACTTGACGATTGATCGTATAGGGCTACGCTGCTGTGCTTCAAGAACACTACATCGACCACCAAGCGCTACGGGCTCTGGAGGGCACAGAGAGTCTCAGCATAGTCACCGCGTTCCGAGCGCGATCCTCGGAGGTGCGCGATGACACCATCCTGAAGCTCGTCCGACCCATTTCCAACATTGATGAGCTTTACAATGAGTATGCACAGTACCGTTTTGGAATGCTGGAAGACCGCTTCAGACGTCGAAGGAAAGGAGTCGATCAGAGCATTCTTTCCAAGGCACCCTTTGATGTTAAAGAGACCAGGGCGTTTATTAGGGAGCAGATTAAATTCCTTGAGCAGATGGAGGAGCAGATCATGGAGGAAGATGATTGGAAAAAGCTATACAACGGGTCTTAGACTAAACCTCCCTGCTTTTCATAAATACATCATGTTTGTCTCTGTATCTTCAGATTCACCAAGTTGTACATTTTCCAGTCACATAGGGCCCTGGGAAGCGTGCTGCTACCACGACCTTGCTAGGCTGCAGAAATCTGCTGGACGTGGGGACGGGCTTGACCCTGAAAAAGGCGCCACGGCCTCGAGGGCAAAACTCCGTTCCCACTTCAGCTCATGACATCCGACTAGCTCCGGACGGGACTGATTTGCGAATCACCACCTCAACAGATATCGCAATCGCCCTGGATGTTTCTCCTTAATTATGCCGTGCTCATGGCCCACTTGAGGAAGTTTTCCCCTCTGGATCCAGAAATCTGGCTAAGCTTGGCGATACATCTAGGCCCGTTGACTCTCGTCTCCTATTTGCGGAGAAGCACAAAAGTCAGGAGAAGCGGTGGATAAATTCACTAGACATTTGGTTCAGACACCGTTTAGGTTTTTCCATGCCCATGTACGATTTCTCTCGTGCTGGGCATTCCCGATAATCCACAGTCCCATTATGAAGAATCCCCATCAGATTCTACAGGTTTTAACCCAATACTAATGAGGCATGCTTGGGAGACTTTGCGGGTGTATGCGAGGCGCTTACTTGGTTTTTTGAGTTTCTTACAGCTAGTTCAGGTTTCCATGTGGGCACAATTAGACTAATTAACATAGAATGCAATTCTTTTTGTGCCACGGTAGTAGACTGACTTGGGGGGCTTTGATTAGAGTTAGTCAAACAGATGTTACGGAATGCCTCCATTGTGAGAATAAATCTAGCTAATATGATTGATAAGTAAGCAATGAATGCATAGTAAAGCTTTTGAGCGTGAAACAATTAGAAATCGGAAATCATTTAAAACTTTACCTAAGTATTGACCTGATAATCAAATCCAAGTACTACACTCAGCTGACCAGTCTATCTGCATACTGATGTGGCAAGCAATAGCTCAACCGTGAAGCTGATCAACCTATCTTTCATCATGATCAGCGATTTCTATGCAGCTAAACTATCTATCGCTCATTAAGACGAGCAGTTGTATATTACTGACCCATGATTAGTGCAGAACTGACTTCGCTGTCTGCCCTCAAGGTTAAGAGTTGACGTTGGACTAAGGTGGTGTGAGCGTGGTGCACGGGCCACAATTGCACTTTTACAATAATGATCCGTGCACCGGCTGACCCACCATAACCTTTGCCAATATCAGGTACCCTATACTGATTGTAATTAATTCAATGCTACGAGAAAAATAACTTGGTAGCCACAACCTACCAATATGGTCAATAATGAACTATCGACTTCACTTAGTGTTTGTCCAATAAAGAACGTTCTATGACATTTGTCCTTACAGTGCATGACGAAAACGCTATTGTATGCATCATCACATTGACGAAAAGTACGAGATACCCATTACCAATGGTATCATTGTCCCGGTGATTCCTTTTCACAACCTGCTACAACGCATCAGAAATATAGACGCAGTGCCCCCGATCAAACGTATAAGTTTAAATTGAACTGAATATTATTCACCGTAACATGTGCAGTTGGCCCGTACGCCAAATATGGAGGCCTAGAGCCGATATAGACTGGTATCATTGTGTTTATGAACTACATTTACTTTGTATATTATTATGTAGGCACCTGGCAAATCTCACAATCACACCGGTTGCCCTGATTCCGCAAGAATGTTTTGCTAAAATTAATGGCAATTTGTTCACCATGCCTCACGTCCCTCGTAGCTTCGACAGCCATGATCCATCTCCCCGATGCTCTACGAGGTATGAACCTCGCCGAAGAGCGGCACGAGTGGTTCAGGTTGCGAAAGGTGCTGGCGGGTCCCCCGACATCAATCTGGCACACGATGGGCTCGCCATCGAGATCGTACCGCCGCATCTCCATGATCCACAGGGAGTTGTACTGGTGGGAGTCTCTGGGCACGAGCCGCCCCGTGAGCTGCCCGACGATGTCGCCCTTGCGGTAGGTCAAGTCGCCCTCGTGCGTGGCGAGAGCCTGGAGGCCTATGCCCTGCTTCCCGAATGACTTGATTTGCGGCTTCCGTGCTGCATTGACTTTCGTACGGCGACAGCAGCAGTCGCTGGCGTCGACGCAGAGATCGCATGACTTGTTAGGTAGAGGTATTTCGACCGGGTCCATGGGCCAGGCCCAGTCCCCTGGCCAGCATGGCGGCTTGGAAGCGTCTGCAAAGTCTCTCTCGTCGTAGGAGCAGTCCTCGTAGCTCGGGTGAGGCCGCACTACGCTAAGCAGGGTGGCCTCGCTCATGTAGCTTTCCCATGTATGCAGCTGAGGCTGGCTCTTCTCCCACACAAACACGGCATCGTGCCTCGTGCCTAGAACTAATGTCTTGAAACGCCGCTGCAGCCGCGGCGAGGCCCGCGACAAGCGGGTCATCGATCATCTGCGCGAATGTGTCCAGCTCGCCTCCCTTCATACTGAGGTGGTCGTTTGCCGACACGTTATAAGGCGCTTCTGCTTTGAGGGGGATCAAGCTCAGCAAGCCGACATGTTCTCGACAGATTGAGCGCCACGACCGGCCTTGTCGCAGGTACTGGAAGAACCGCTGTCGCTCCGCCTCCTTCCATCCGAATTTGTTCATCGCTTTCTTGATCTCGGCCCCGTCGGCTCGTAGTCGCCCTGCTTTGGTATCATCGACTGCCTCGACAATGTGGTATTGGACCAGGCGCGTTAAAAAGGCGCCGAATGTCGCCCATTCCGTCAATACTCGAAGTCGTTTTGTCAGCTCTAGAATTTGCTCGATGCCGGTGCTGTCGACGTTCAGGAGACCCATCTGTCTCGCGCGATCATCTTATATGGATGAGGGAGCAGAACTGCCTGATTGCTGGGCCGCCTTGCACCGCGGCGACCCGGCGCAGCATGATGGTGGACGGGGGATCTACATCGGGGAAGGTGGGAATGCGAGACAGTTTGTCGCGTTCTTGATGTTGTAGATGAGTTTTCGCAGATCCGTCGAGCTCTGTCCCGAGGATATTGCTCTGCTCGGAGTATGATCCTCCTTGCCAAATGATGCCTCGTGTTTTCGACGCCGCGCTAGGACATCTCGTTCTAAGTCGGTGTCATCGCAGCTGGCACCGGCCGACGAAGGTAACCGTTTCCTTGGTACCAAGCCTTGTGGTTGCGTGGGATCAGTCCCCAGGCCAGCAATGGCGGTATGAATGGGTGATGGAGGGGTGATTGGCAAGGGCGGCACACCGACAGTCCGTACTGTCTGTGTCAGAGGCTCGAATACTTTTTGTGACGTAAAAGTGTCGGACACGATGCTTGAAGTTGGAGTTTGAGGAGCCAAGTCTGGGGGTGGATTTAGCGTGGCGTCGGGCTCGCCGTACCTGGACAGCGTCACGTTGGAGGGGTCATTGGATAATTGCAAAACGTCGCGAGCCACAGCAGCTAAGTCTTCAAGTGTGGAAGTTAGCTCAGATTGCGATGCGGAAACGGGCGTGGCAGGCTCGAGCGTTGATCGCAAACAAACCAGATACTCTGTTATGTGTTTTGTATAGGCAATGAGCGCATTGATGCGCTCTAGATCGTAGGACACTTTTTGAGGTTTGTACGACCAAAGGGGAAAACAGGGAAACGATAGTACATGTAAATTGGGACAGTCTAGGCTAGCCCATTTCCACATTGAACGGGCGAATTGCGTGATTATCGCCAAGGTACCCAAGCGAGTGACGAAAAACATGGCACACCAAAGCGCTGGTCATACAAGTCAAGGACCTTATTTTTATGTCAATAATACTAAGCACAATAAGAAGGAAATTAATAATTATTATTCTACAGTGCAGTATTTAGCTTGATATTGTAAATTTATTGATTAATTGGTTTGATATTGCGTTGAAATTCAACGCTGGAGGTTCTAGACACCCCGATGCCTCACTCTTTCTGCAAGAGAGAAGTTGTCTTAGACTTATGGGGCTAATATCAAGGGTCATAGTTAGAAAGGATACTTATGTACTTCAGGTGTCTGGACCTAATTTTAAGTATCTTTAGCTGCCTTTTTTTGTCAAAGGATTCTGGCACTTTTCCAGTTCGTTGGAGTAC